GAAACTCAAATCCACAGGGACGTTATTGTGGCTCTTGGCTTCACGCAGGATTATCCTTGTTGTTGAGGTGAAATCAGGAATTTCTGAGAGTTTTAAAGAGTAAAGAAGCATGCCTGACTGCTTTTCTGAGCTTTCCCAAAACTTTCCTCAGCTTTTCTGAAACTTCCAGTTTATGTTTTTGGTGTATGGCCCTTGGAAAAAGAGAGGCATCATTCCCAAGGGGACAACTGCCAGGTGTCTGTGCCCGAGCCCATGCCTGGACTCCTGTTGTTGTCAGTGGGGAAGTTCTCCTGTAGAAAGTCCTGTTTCCCTGGTAAGGTCAGATGAAGACACCTGAGCATCTTTTTCTCTTTGAATCTAGTTCAAGAGCATTTTGTAGGTGTGTCTGTGTATTTAAGCAAAGTGAGATGCATCAGTCTTGAGTGTGTACATACACAGTCCAGTACCATGTACAAAACAATGTCATCCCTACTGTTGGACTTCCACTCAGTATTTCCTCTGGTACAGCCAAGAGGAGCTGCCTCTGAGTTGCAGCACTACATCAGCTGATGCTGGAGGTGAGATTGTTGCTTCAACCAGTGAGCCTTTTGAGTGTGTGCAGGACACAGCCCATCAGAGTCCTTGATCTCACTTTATTGGTGACTCACATGGCTGAACTCTCCCTTACATTTGCCCCTTCCACAGTTTACTTGCTCTTTGGGAAAATGATCATCCTCTTTTCTTTCTGTTGGTTGTTTTTTTGTTGTTTGTTTGTTTTGGTTTTTGTTTGTTTTGGTTTTGTTTGGGTTTATTTATTTTTGCTTTTGTTTTGGGTTCTGTTTGGGTTTTGGTGTTGTTTGTTTTCCCAAAATGCTGAACTAGAACTATGCAGAGAACTGCTTCCTTTTCAAAAAATGAGAGCATGAGAAAGAAAAATCTGAACTCCATACATCCATGTCAGATTGTTCAATACATTTACAAGCTTTATCAGATTTATTTAAATTTTTTTAATGGCCAGTCTTCGCGAGCAAAGATCAGGGGAAGGTCTTTACACCTTCCAGCCTGCGCATTGGATTTTTTAGATGAGACACAGTGTGCGCGGAACTGAGCCCACCCTTTAATCCTAAGGTTCATCTGCCGGGGCCAAGCAAGCTTGGACGGTGGCAGCGAGGTCCTCAGGACGTAGATGGATTGCCTATTAAGGGCTAACGAGCTCCATCAGCCCGGGAGTGGCCCTGACCGGATCGAACCTGGGTCTCCGCGGTGACAGCGCCGCGCCTTTACCACTAGACCACCAGGGCCTCCAGATTTATTTAACAGCTCCTGTTAAACATCTGACAGCAGTATTAATTATTAGCATTAACAATAGTCCCAGTGTTTGAATTCCTTCTGATACTTTGATATCGGTGACAGACTGGATAAGAACCATCATGAACAGCCAGAATAGTTTAGGTTGAAAGTACCCCTAAAGGTCTCTAATCTGAGCCCTAACTCAAAGCTTGACCAGCCTTAAGTGGCCACTACATCTAAGATAATATTTTACAATACCTGATTCCCCTCAATCTTATAAGTGTGCTATTTATTTTAAAACTGATTTGTTCAGGTTCTGTTTCCAAGCACTGAGGTTACTTCTGTCTATGCCAAGAAGTTAAAGGGTCTTCAACTGGGAGACATCTCATGGATCCTTCTCAATATTATTTTTTTGTAGAAAATGTTGCTTTACATCTCTTTCTTCTCCTTGTTAAGCTAATTAGATTGAGCCTCCTTCATCTCTGGCAGTAAATCGTGTCAGCTGGGAAGGTGTTGGCAAGTTCCAGGGCCATCTCTAGTAGAGCTCTGAGTCCCTCGACCTGGTTGTGCATGTGCTGACACAGCCTGGTCTGTGGTTAGCCTTCTTAGTCAGAAGAACACACTGTTGACCTCTTTTCAGCTCCTCGGGACTTCCCAGATCCCTTCCTGTGAAGCGGATTTCCAGCCATAATCCCCAGCCTGTCCTGGTGCCACAGGGACAGGACTTGGGCTGTATTTTGCTGAGGTGGCTGTCCATCCCTTTCTTCTGCCTGCCAAGGTCCCTCTGAACAGCAGCCCTGCCCTCTAGCATATCAGCCATGCTCCCCTTCACCTCCCAGTCCAGTATCATCCACAAACTTGATGAGAACATGCTGCATCCCATCATCTCTGTCGTTAATAAAGACATTGAACTTCATCAGCCCATGAGGGACATCTCAGGTAATTCATTCATACCATCAACTGTTGAGTTCAATTATCTGCATCATGTGAAAACTTGAGTGTTTCCTCCTAAATCAGGTTCTCCTCTGAGTAGCCTCTGACATACACAGAGATCAGTAACTTAGTCCCAACATCCCTCTCCTTCTCCTTACGACCCATGAGCTGGGACAACGTAGCCAGAGGGTCTAAATCCTGACCCATGGTCCACAGCCAGGTCTTCACTCAGCTTTGTCCTGTGCAAATACAAAAGCGTGTTATAAGCCGTGGTCCAGACTCTGTAGGAACCAACTTTAGGAGCATGGTTTGGTGGAGCAACAAGATAGGTGGATCACCAGCAATACCGGGTCCCATCCCAGGGATCTGTGCCCATAACCCCTTTCCTTCTTGGTGGAGTCTGTGTTGGACCACCCCAGGTCACCTCCCAGGGTGATTGTTTCTTCTTATCTGCAGAAGCTTGTTGTTTTCAGGACAAGGTCACTCTTCTGCACCCAGTTGCTCACTGAGCTTGAGCCTTTACTGGCCTCCATGGTGGGGCTTCCCCCCAAGTGTGTGAGAGCAGGGGTCCTACTCCATCCGAATGGCAGCTGATGCTGCAGGATTATTTGGAACTGAGAAGAGGGAGGAAAGGGAAGAACAGCCCCTTTGCCCACCTGCCTGTGGAGGTAGCTCTCTATTTCCCAGCCTTTGCCATAAAGTGGGCTGTGGGACTGGTACCACTGGCAGAGCTTGCTGAGCCACCATGGTCTGTTTGGTGAGGAGCCTGTTGCTTGGTAGCCAAAGTCACCCTGTCCCAGCTGGCAAGACTCTTGTGGGCCACATGCATCTCTGTCCCCTGAGCTCTGCAGAAATGACCTGTGGGAGCTGTGGCCTGAAAGCCAGTGCTGCATACCAGCTTTGGCTGGAAACCAGCCCTGCACAGCTGCTCAGCACACCAGCACTGCCCCAACGCCAGCATTGCACACTGATCTGCACACCTACACAGCCTACCAGTGCTGCGTGCCAGCTCTGTGTGGGTCTGCCTCCACCACACTCCTGCCTGTCCTCCCTTCCCAGCTGGTAGCTGATGCCAGGTTAACCATTAACTCCCAGCTCCTAGGCCTGCTTTGTTTTCAGGGCACTGCGAAGCTGCTCACCCTGGCCTTTCCTGTGCCGTGCTGGTGATGTTTCTTGTGGGGTTCTGCTGGCTCCGAGCAGCCTTTCCTGCCTGCAGGCAGCTGCACAGTGAGCCTGTGGCCCACGAGGCCTTCACAGTGTGTGGACAGCGTGAGAGAGGGTTGTCCAGGAGCAGGACGTGGCTGTGGTGGTGGGGGAGGGGACAGACACGTGGCCAAGGCTGCGCACAGGACGCCGAGGTTCCTCTCCAGGTACTCTTTGGAGTGCTCCTTTCAGGTAGGTACCTGAGGAGCGTGAGATCAACCAAATAGGTTGGTGACCCCCCCGCCCAGAGTGAGGGAGGTTCTTCAGGAGATGGGTCAAAGGGTGCCTAGTGTGCACCAGGAGTGCCTCCATGGCCTGGATGGCAGGTGCCTGTCTGCAGCACAGGCCCCTCTGCCTGTCTGGAAATGGATCATCTCCAGCCCAAGGATATGTATTAGGGCACTGCTGCCTCCCTTACTGGCCCTGTCTCCTCCCCAAATCCTGCTCATTGCTTCTTGGCACTGTGAAATAGGAAACTCCTGAGTGTTTCCTCTGCAGAGAGCTCCACAAAAATTCTGGAGGTCAAGTCCCACTCCAAGGCATCCAGCCTGAGCTGATGCAGTCACCCTTCCTTTCCTCACATTTGCAGTAGCCCTGGCACTCACTGGGGCTGTGCCTCGGGCACAGGACAGGATGGTGGTAATGCTGATTGCCAAAGGGGAACTTCATATCCTCCCAGTGGTCATTCTGATATGGCCAGGGCCCCTTCCCTGCTGCTACCTGCCAAGCACAGAGGGTCTGTTTAAAAAACATCCTACCAGCTCTGAGCTGAGCCAGGAAGAGTTCACACTGAGTACACCAAGAGTGTGCCAGTGTGTTCTAATCACTGCTTGCTCTCAGCAGCAGCAAGGAGAGGTGTAAGCAACTGCTCGTCTCCTGAGTGGGTGAGTGGGTGGCAAGCGAGGGCAATGACAGCTTTTGAAACAGGAGGGAGAAACTTGAAACTCACTGGCATAGTGTCCTTGGGATGTGACTACAACCCAGGGGAAGATTTCTGCTGAGCAGCCAAGGATGCAGGAGAAATCCTGGCAGTGATGGGCAGTGCTGAATGGCAGCAGCTCCCAATCCCTCCAACTGCAAGCCAGCATGGGGGGCTTGTCCCCTCCTCAGCGGTTACCACATGGCTGGGGCTTGCATTTTTCTGGTTCTGAAATCCTGAATCTCCTTCAGCAAGGTGTCTTCAGGAGGCTGGTGCCGTGCTGAAAAGAGAGGTGTCTGCTGCATGGGCATGTCCATGTACAGGGACATGAGTCCTGCGTGACCCTCTGCAGCCTGGGACCTTGCACATAGGCAGCCACACTGACTGTGGAGCCCTGGATGAGAATCCACTGGTAGTGCACAAACTGCCTGTGCAGACCAGCAGAGGAGGGCACTTCCTACCCTCAGATATTGGGAGCAGGCTATTTTTGGAAACCCTGTATAACCAAAGTAAATGGACTGTGAGTCTTCTCTGCAGTTTCATTTCTCTGAATTCAGCACTCAGAAATATGTTTAATTAAGAAGTTATTTGTATGAACATTTATAGTCGAACTTACATACTGAGAATATTTTATATTCTGAGCTCTTATACTGATTTCAAACATTTTTTCTTTCAGAGTGAGATTGCCTCTGTTCAAAGGAACGATAACATACCAGGAATACACAAGGTCTATACTGTTCACCCAGACTAAGCAAAGCTTTCACCTAAAAGAAATAAAATAAACATGGCAGAATTTACAGGTTACAAGGAAACCTCAAATCGGCACCTACGTTTCAAGTTGCAGAGCCTCAGTCGCCGCCTTGATGAACTGGAGGAAGCAACCAAAAATCTGCAGAAAGCAGAGGATGAACTGCTTGACCTCCAGGACAAAGTTATCCAGGCAGAAGGCAGCAACTCCAGCATGCTGGCTGACATCGAAGCCCTGCGGAAAAGAGTCCTGAAGATTGAAGGCAAGGATGAAGAAATTAGGAAGGCTGAAGAACTTTGCAGATTAATGAAAGAAAAACTTGAAGAGGAGGAGAGCCTCACTCGAGAGCTGAAGTCAGAAATTGAACACCTTCAGAGGAGAATGGCAGAGCTGGAGAAGCTGGAGGAGGCCTTCGGGAGGAGCAAGAACGACTGCACACAGCTGTGTCTTAGCCTCAACGAAGAAAAGAACTTGACCAAAAAGATATCTACAGAATTAGAAATACTTAGAGTGAAAGTGAAAGAACTGGAAGCATCTGAGGACAGGCTGGATAAAACTGAGCAGAGCTTAACGGGTGAGCTAGAAAAGCTGAAATCCTTAGCTCTGAGCTTTATCACAGAAAGAAAACATTTTAATGAAAGAGAAAAGCAGAATGAAAAAATAATCCAGGAGCTAACACAGAAACTAGAACAAAACAATAAACTAAATAGAGCAGATCAAACTAGAAATGCATCCAACTTGCTAGAAAGGTCATCCAACAATCTCCTGGACAGAAATGATTTGAGAATTGAAGATGACTTGACTTCTGCACTGCCTTCGAAGGAGACCAGGAGGAAGGGAAGTGTGGATTACCTGAAACATGTAGAAAATGAAACCAGAAATAAATCAGAAAACCAAAAGAATAAAAACCAGGAAGACAACAAAGTGAAAGATCTCACCCAAGAAATTGAGAAACTTAAAACTCAGATTAAACGTTTTGAATCTTTAGAAGAAGAACTTAAAAAAGTAAGAGCCAAAAACAATGACCTGCAAGACAGTTACTTGAGTGAACAGAATAAAAACAAACTCTTAACAGGTCAGCTAGAAGAAATAAAAATGCAAATAAAGAAACAGAAAGATCTGGAGAATGGAGAGGTTGAAAATGAAGATACAAGCTTTTCCAACAGGGGAAAACATGACCGACCTAAATACAGAGGTGTCCCAGCTGATTTGACAGCGGCCAAGCACAAGCCAAGGGAGCTCTCGCCACAGCAGCGCCGGGACAGAGCACGGAACAGAGACTTCTCTGTCAGTAATGACAGCTACAGCCATGGTGGTAAGCAGGTGCCCAGTTCCTTAATGAACAGAAAAGTGGGAAAAACATCTTGTGCATCTGCCCTTTCAGACACTGCTGTCACAGATACCAAAAGACTGGAAGATAAATCTTTAGTTTCCACTATTTCTCCTGGTCAGAAGGAAGGCAGCGTCATGCAGAACGAGGGGAAGAGATCCAAAGAGCAGCCGTCTGTCCTCAGCCGATACCCTCCTGCTGCACAGGAGCAGAAGTCTTGGAAAGCGCCTTCTAAACCTGTTGGTGACACAAGCCTGAGATCCAAGGCTGAGAAGCCATCTCAGGTGCTCCGTGGCAGCTGCCAAAATGGAGCTGACACACGGGATGAAAAGTCAAGCAAAGAAGAATCAATGGTTTCTTTGGCTGAGAAGCTGAAAACAAGCCAGGCTGAAGTCAGTGACTGCATGGGGGACACGCAGCTCACGAGGGGTAACCACACCTCTTCCAATGGCACAGCTTCGGCATACAGGTACCATCTGTCCTCCCATGTGTCAGCCTCAGACTCTGCTGGCTCTAAAGTAGAAGCATTGAACACTTTTGCTGCATCACACAGACAGCCCTTGGAGGGGAGGGCTAAAAGGGCAATAATCTCCCAGGAAAAAGAAGTCACAAACACATCACTTGAAGGTGTGAAGTTTTCAATGCTAACAAAGCGTTCCCATTGCTCCAGGAGTCAGGAAGACATCCTGCAGATTCTCACAGGTCTTGATAAAGAAGACACAGAGCAGTCTGCAAGTTCAGCAACAGATCATGTGAATATGGGTTTAAAAACTGACTCCAAGACCATCCAAAGTAACCAGGAAAAGCTTAATTCAGATGAAGAATCAGGAAGAGGCAAAAAAACAACCACTCAGTCAGATTTTGAAACAAGAAAGAAAGTCAGTTCCAAGCAGATCTCCAATTCTAGAGGAGTTTTTAGAGCATCGCTTTTTGAGAATGAGAAAAACACTGTAAATGATGAAGACTCCACCAAGTGTATAAAATCATCAGATGCCAGCACTGGAGGATTGAAATCCAGAAGGTCGTTCAGCCCGAGAGAAGCTTTGAGATCAAAAGCCATTATTAAACCTGCAATTGTTGAGAAGGATATGAAGGCAGTCATGGGAGGGACTGTTTCGGAGGCAGAGTCAGAAAAACAGAAGTCTGTTTTTAAAATGGTAACAAATAAAATGACAAGCAGCATCACAATCTTCCCTTCTGAGCCAACAGCTCCAAGGACCACTGCAGATATAGCAGGAAAGGAAAGGCATGTTACCACCAGCAACATCAGAGCAGCCTCAAATGAGCCTTCACCATCAATAACAAACAATGTCCCCACACCCTTCGAGGTATCGATTAATAAGCGTGCTCTGAAATTATCTGAGGTGGACAGAAGTGGAGAGGCAGTGCCGAGGAGTAAAGCCGAAACGGTGGTCTCCAGAAGCAGCATTATGCTAAAGACTTCTGAACTCACAGAGAGGAACAGTGAACTGCCTGCAGAGACAATCAGCTGGAAGAGCCACGGCTCTTTAGATGCAGCTTCATCTGAAACAAAGCATGTCGCTGTGAGAAGTTCCTGGAGAACGAGACAAGGCTTACAGTCCCTGGAGGACTCTCAAACTGAAGTGGAAAAAGGTGCAGCTTCCAGTACAACAAACTTGTGTAGGTCCTCAGTGGACCTCTCCGAAGTGGAAGGGAATAGTGCAAGAACAGACTCCCTGGAGCAGACCTCAGCAAGGACCCGTGCCACGGCTAATTCTTGGAGTGCCCCTGAACTGGGGTCCCGAAGGACCAAAAGTAACTTAAGTGCACCTGAACTGCTGACACGCAGGAGCTGTGCGAGCGACCCTACAGCAGCAGCTGCTTGGCACCGGACTGCGCTACCTGTAAGTGTCCTGGGTTCAACACTCTTCTCTTTCAGTTGATGAGGTTTTCCACATGGCCTGGTAGTTGTAGGAAGCGTGATTTGAAATTCTTACAGCTTAGTTCTTAAGTGCTGCCTCTCCCAGCTCCTGCTGTCTTCAGTGCAGCATCTCATATGTGAATTACCAGATTTAGCCGTACTGAAATTAGATCCATCTGCTTTGGGTCTTGTAATGCCATATGAATAACTACATAGTAGCATTTGGTCTTGCCAAGATTAGAGAAGACATAGTTATAGCTTAAGTAGGGCATGGTATGCTTTTCAGAGTGGCTTTGCATGGCATTTTTGACTTGAAATAGCAATGAAAAAATGCTGGAAGTGAGCAGATTTGAGTGGGGTTGTGCCTCAGGCAGAGCTGTAGCTCTAATGGCAGCTGTAGAGATAGAGCTCTTTTTGGTAAGAGCTGCATGGTTTCCTCACGTGAAACCAGACTCTGGTCTGGAAATGCTCCCCAGGCATCTCCTAAACAGATTGGGTGGTAGCTGGAGGCTGCTCCCTCCTTTGTCTGTGCCCATATTCTACAAGGATGGCTGTGCTCTTTTCCTGTTCCTTTGGCTGGTACCAGTGAGGGTGTCCCTCAAAGCAGTGACACGTGTAGATATCTGGTCTGGTGAGCTGTGTTTGCTGCTGGAGCCGCAGGCTCTGACAGATTTCTTCAGGTGCTCTCAAGGTCACTGTCAGATCAGATTTGCCAGCTATGTGGTGTACATTCACAGCAGCTGAAGTTTACCTCACAGAGCAACCTGAGCTCTGTGTGGTTATCCCAAGGTATCCCAAGGATTAGCTGGCTTCCAGCCTCGCCCGTGTCTCCAGGGACAGGCAGTCAGGAGAGCAGCTGCGTCGTTAATTCACGCAGGGCTGGTAAGGGTTGAGCTCAGTGTCTCTCTCTGCACCAGACTTTACAATAAACTCACCCTTGACACCACGTAGGCACAAACCTGAATTCTTGGTCATAAAGTAAGCGTGTTTTTAGCTTGTAAATGAGGAATATGAAGTTAACCTAAAAGACCATAGATACATAGGTGTACTAAATATAGCAAATGGTATGTATTTGGGCAACTTAAATTATTGCATATGCTCTTGGAAAAGAACCCTTTGGATGGTATCTTCAGGATTATAATATGCCTCATATCACAGCAGCCTGTTTCTGCTGGGATTTATGTTTCATTTAAAGATGTAGTTCTTTCTCTGGCAGAAGGCTGGGCACTGATCTGTGCTGACATTCAGCTGCCCTGTGAAGGTATCACTGTCATCTCTTTCCAGCTCCTCTATCCACAGTCTGAGATTCGCTTAACAATCTTACATGGAAAACATGAGACCTGTGCTGGTTTTTCCAAAATCCATGTTCCTCTCCTCCATTGCAGCCTTCCCTGCCTTACTGCTGATGTAGGCAAATGTCCCTAATGAAGCTACAGGAGTTATTGACAGTCCTGTGCAATACCTGTGCTGCAGAAGCAGCAGTTCTCTGGAACACTGCTTTGGGAGCTCCAGGGAGCAGGATGGGTGCTGCAGCCTGGGGACCAGCTCCCTCTGGTGCTGGAACTCTACCTCCTTGAGTTCCTTAAAGACCTGAGGCAACGCAAGACCTTGAGCAGTCATTCTGTTGGGCTTCATGGTTCAGATAGTGAAGTCGGTATTTCTCTGATCTGATGTTTGACTGATGAAAATCAGTGCAAAGGCACTGGCAGGCAGTGAGCAGATGAGCAGCAGCAATGCCAGATGAATGCATAGTTTTCTTATGCCTCTGACATTAATACAACTGGAGCTGGGCTGTGTGCTTGCACATATTAGACAAAACCTTAAAGGCAGCTTGCTGTCAAAGGAAGCCATCATATTATGGTAGGTGGCTCTCCTAGAAGAGTCTCCCTGACTGTGTCCAGGGATGTGCTGCCTCTCGCCCCTTCTCTCCCCTGCTCTGGGGACTAATGTGCAGTGCAGCTGTGGTGGGTTGACCCTGCCTGGATGCCAGGTTCCCACCAAAGCCCCTCGGTCACTCCCCTCTGTAACTGGACACAGGAGAGAAAATATGATGAAAAGTTCATGAGTGGAGATAAGGTCAGGGAGAGATCACTCGTGAATTACTGCCACAAGCAAAAAGAGACTTAATTGGAGAAATTAATTGAGTTTATCACCAATCAAAATTAGAGCAGGATAATGAGAAGTAAAACAAATCTCGAAAACACCTTCCTCCTTCCTGGACTCCCCTTCCTCCTTCCTGAACTCCACCTCCTCACCCCCAGCAATGCAAGGAGATGGGGAATAGGGGTTATAGTCAGTTTGTCACGTGTTGCTTCTGCCACTGCTCTGGGAGAGGAGTCCTTCCCCCTCTCCAGTGTGGGATCCCTGCCCTGGGCTACAGTTCTTCATGAACTGATCCAACATGGGTCACTTTTCCATGGGGTGCAGTCTTTCAGGAACAGGCTGCTTCAATGTAGGTCCCCCAGGGGGTCACAGATCCTACCAGTATATGGGCTCCTCTCCTCACAGGTCAGCAGGACCCTACTCCATAGTGGGCTTCTCACATGGTTACAGCTTCCTTTGGGATCCACCTGCATTAGGTGCTCCTCCACAGGCTGTAGGTGGATCTCAGCACTCCTGTGGACCTCCATGGGCTGCAGAGGGACAGCCTGCTTCTCCACAGTCTTCACCATGGGCTGCAGGAGAATCTCTGCTCCGGTGCCTAGAGCACCTCTTCCCCTTCCTTCTGCACTGACCTTGGTGTCTGCAGAGCTGTTTCTCACATATTCTCACCCCTCTCTTCCCTGGCCAAAATTACTTCTGTACAATGCCTTTTTGTCATTCTTAAATATGTTATCACAGAGATGCTGTTACTTTCTCTGATTGGCTCGACCTTGGCCAGTGGCATGTCCATCTTGGAGCCAGCTGGCATTGGCTCTAACAGACATGGGGGAAGCTTCTAGCAGCTTCTCACAGAAGCCAGCCCAGTAGCTCCCCCCACCTACCAAAACCTGGCCATGCAAACCCAACACAGCATCCATCTCCTTTTCACTCCTGCTGACTCCTCATAAGCTTCTACTTAAGCAGCCAGCCATATCACATCAGTGGTTTCATCTTTCCTTGGACCTCAGTAACCTTGTCCATCTATTCTGTTTTGTGATTCTGGACCCATAACTTGGGTTAAAATTACTGGACTTTTAAAAAAATCTTTGTGAAATAGTACATAAGTGAGGCCATGCCATAGCTGGTCTGGTGCCCTAAGTCTCTCCTTGCCAAAGGGACTCAAGGCAGTAGCTCACACTGCCAACCCAGGACGAGAAGCCCAGCGTTATTCCAGACCCTTCATGGTCCTTAGGTCCCAACCCTTTTTATTTTCCTTTGCACAGGATGAAAGCAAGGATTTTGTGTCCAGTTCCAGAAGGAAGCAGTACAGCTCTTCTGAGTACCTCTTACAGGCTGACATTCCAGGGAAAAGGCCAGCCACCAAGGTGGAGCTGCAGGACCCTGAATCCAACTCCCCTGCACAACCAGGTCTCCAAGCAGAGGAGCAGGTATGTGAGGGAAGGTGGTTACAAAGCAAGAAGCCAATATCTGAACTGACATCCCAGTAACATAAAGAACTTGTCCAAAAAGAAAGTATACCTTGTAGAAGAAATCCAGTCTGAAGTTAGCACTTCCCAGGGATGGAGTGGCTGCTGTATTTTCTGTTATAAACTTGTTTCAGCTAGCTTTATGGCTAAAAATATTCTCCAGGGACTAAGAGGCACTGCATCTAGTCATGCTGTGGTACATGAGTCAATCAGGGATGGAAAAATACATTTGGAGAGACAAAAGCAAAGTCTCTGCTTCAGCTGGCTGCTGGAGTGCTTCTCTGCTGCTACATACTTGCTGCTCTGCCTCCTAAAATACATCCTTCTGGACACACAAAGAAATGCAAAATGGCCCACATTATAGTGACTATGACTTATGGTCTGAAATGTGAAAAAAAGTGTGTCTTACAGCCCCTTCACAAGGGGCCTCCTTCTGAGGATATAGAGGTCCAGGCAGACTTTAATTCTCAGGTGCACAGGCATGCTTGTGTCTGCACAAAAGACTTCCTTTTTCTCCTGGCATTCCCTCTTGGCCTGTGTAGCTGCCCAGAGCAAAGTGTATCTTTCAGTTTATGGGTCACCTACAGCAGGGAATCTGTCAGACCCCAAGCCCGTTGCCAGTGTCTGGCACTGGACACCACAGTTGCTGAGTCTTGCTGTGAGAGCAGCAGGACTGCAGCAAGGCAGCTGAGTGCCCTACAGAGCACCTTATGGTGAGGGCACAGAATTAAGATCCCAGAGGTCCATGGTCCCAGCTGACCTTCGCAGACTGGCATTTGAAGAAAGATAGTGTTGGCAGCAGAGATCAGTGAACTTACACTGTCCTTGTCGGTAGCTGAGGAAAGAGGCACCCCAGCACTGCTCTTGTGTGGTCATCAAGGGGTGATACTCACAGTGGTATTCCCTGGCCCGGGGCAGTCCTGTACCTGAGACTGTGTTGTGCTTTCTTTGTCTGCACAGACTGGATAAACAGCAAATATAAAATTGGGTAAAGTCATCCCTGTAATGTACACACAATCATCTGGGTCTGGTGCCTTGCCCAGACCGCCACCAACTGTAGCAGGAGCCTGAACACCACAAAAGGTGTGCTCTGACATTAAATCAACACCAGTGCCTCTATTGTCAGGTGTTCTGCATCTCACTTGCAGGACCCACATGTTGGGTGTGGAAATGGGTACAGAGTATGCTACAGCATGAAAAAAAGCCTTGTGAGGCAGGGCTGGGTCCCTTTGCTTTGGGCTTACTCCCAGCTGGCAGAGCCTCTGTCTTCCAAACTCATCCTGTCACTGCTCTTTCCCACCCCACCATTGGACTGGGATCCTGGTGGGATTTGGGGTGGTTGCCAAAGGCATTTGCAATCCTTGTCTGCAGAGTAGAAATGCCCCGGGGAGCTGCAGGTCTGGCCGGTCTGTGAAGCTGTGGGTTGTCTCTTGCAGGGCACTTCCCGGGCCTGCCGGACATCTCGGAGATGAGCTGCATTCCCTTCTGCTCAGTGAAAACAGTGGAGCAAGAGGCAGAACAGTACCAAGCTCCCAGGCATCACACCTGTTTGTAACCTCTCCAGAGGCTTCAGCTAGTCTGAAACCATTTTTGTAATGCGATTTGAAAGGTACAGGAGCTTTACCAGTGAATTCTTTTTCTTCATTGCTGAAGAGGCAGCTGCAGAGACTTTGCTCAGGGGACTCCCTTTTCTCATCTCTGTACCTGCAATCTTAATCTTCCATATAGGATGATAAGTCTGTCTCCATATGGAAACTCTGACTACATAGCCTCTCTGAACAATGGTACCCCCTGGACAAGAGAGAATTTCTTGTTAATCACTTACATTCACACAAGATCCCAGCAGTGTCCCTGTGACTATGTCCAGCCCATGACAGCTGTCCTCCACAACTGAAAGCTTTCCGTTCCTTGAGACATTTTGCATTGTCCCTATACACCCTTGTTGGCTGGGGTAGTGGTCACATCACTACCTGTGTTCCCACCACCCTCTCTCTCTAGGTAGGAGGAGACCATTCGTCACTGGTTGCTTGTTGCTTTACACATTGAGAGGGAAGGAGAAGATGTTGTTTAGAAGCAGTTTGTTTCCTGTTGCTGTCAAGTCTCTGCAACAAGCCTTGCATGACCTACTCATCACCAGTTGAGATCCCACACCAAGAAGCCATCCAGTGAGCCAAACAAACCAGTGTTGCAGCAGCAACACTTCCTCCTGCTGGAAGTGCTGGAGTGCTATTTACCCAAAGCTTTATGTCTCTCACACTCTGCAGGCAACAGCTCTGCAGTTCATTCTCAGCAATTGAGCCATAAGAGAAAAAGAAACAAGTGCTTTTCCTCACAGACAAGCAGAATGTCCTTGTTGCTTCCCAAAACAGAGTGGAGTCAGCAGGATTGAACCCTAAGCTGATTTCCAGTATAGTTACAGCCTCCATCTGTGCTCTATCCCTATCTACTGTGCCTGGGACCCAGGTGTGATCAGAGACTGCTTCAAATATGGAGATGTGTCCCCCTGTCAGTGCTCCCAGGCCACGGAATGCAGTTGGTGTCACTGTCAGGCAGAGAGACCGTCCCTGCAGCTCCAGGAGGGGGGCAGGTGCTGGAGCAGCATCTGCCCTGAGCAGGGTTATTGCTCCTGGCTCGCACATGGCTTGGCAAGTCCCTCCTTTCCATTCCACCCCCCAGCTGGTGGGCTGGCCTGTACACAAACAGCACTGACCCCCCAGTGCTTCCTGCTGCTTGTGATTTTCTGCGGAGGGACAGGGATAATGTGCCAGAAGGAAAAGGTCCCTGATGTGTTTCAGAGGTCCTGTGGAAAGAGCTGCACCCCACACTCATTCCCATCTCCCACCTCCAGAGAAGCAGGTACCACAGCTGGGTGTCTGCACATCCCTGTGCTGCAGCTCCTCCCTGGCTGCAAAATAGCTATGAAAACACAAGAGGTGTGTTTCAGTGATATGATTATTTTTTTATAAAGATTGTTTGGAGGAAGGGAAAAGTTATTTTTGACAAAAAGTGTTTCCTTTTGCAATTTTAAAGATGTTTTTCCAAATTCGTATTTTTAACCCTTCGTTTTATTCTTTTATATGTCATGACGTGTGAGTCTCAAGTTGCCTAACAAGATAAAAAGATAATGCTTTTAAATTAGTACTGAGTGGCAACTCTAATAATCTTTAAATTATATTAAAATAAATTATATGAACCACTCTTTGTTACCATTGGTATGGCAGTGCTAGTAGAACAAGATAACAGGAAAAAAATTTAAATTCAAAATCCAAACTAAAATGAAGTGAAAATCTGAAGCTAAATTCAGATTTCTGAACTGCTTCCCCATGTGTTTATCAGGAAGGATTGGAAATCCTTGCAGATTGTGCAGTCTGAAACCACAATTTCTTTGTAACAATCCTGTGCAATGGTTGTGTCCCTCCTAAGCACCCTGCTCTACTCAGCACTCACCGTGTGTCAGGATCACTGCCATGCCCAAAATCAGATGCTGCTTGAGCAGCAGCAGCTTCCCTTGCCTCCCTGTGCTGTGCTGCCCCCACAGCAGATCCAGCCCAGCAGCCTGCCCGGCAGTGCCCAGCTCAGCACTGCTTCTCAGGGCTGCTGCCTCTTGACTCTTTACCCCTTCTTTTCATGTTCCCCTCAAAACTAAAGCTGCTGTCTCAGCAGCCCAAATGCCTCACAGTACCTGCTTGCTTAACCTGGGGGCAGCTGGGAAGCACCTTGGCATGCAGCTGCCTCTGCAGTTGTCACAGGGATTATTATTTCCCTCTGTACATTCCCAAACCTGCTGCTAAGCGGCTCTGCAGCTGTATAACCTGTACCAGTCACAGTCACTGGTTGCTGCTGGGCGTTGCTGCTGTGCCCCCAGACCGCTGGCACACTGGGGGCTCCCCTGCCCTGGGTCACTCTGCCCAGCTTGTTGTACAAACCAGCAGACAGCCTGCACTGCACTGCACAAGCATTGCTTTGGGCAGCAACTGAACGGCTTTCCTCCCAGTCCCAGCCCCATCCTGCTGCAGGGCACTGGTCCACATCCCACAGGACACCCCTACACATCTACCAGCCCTCTCCTTGTCTTCCTGATATGGATCCAACTCAGCATGGTGCTCCCAAGGCTTCATCCAAGGGAACTGGTTGCAGTCCTGGCCAGGAAATCTCTGCATCCCTGTGACACAACACACAGAATAAACACAGGTTTCCCTGTACCTTCCCACAAAACACTGGCTTATCCATCAGCTTTTCTACCCCACAATTCACCCCAGGAACCCCTGTGTCTAAATTGCAAGGAAAGAACCACCAGCAGCAACAGCTGTTGGGTTTTCCACTTGTCATCCAGGACCAGGCTTTGCTAGAACAACGAGAGGGCTTCACCTGGCTGCTCAACTGGCTTATCCCCAGCTACTGCCCCAGCAATGCAGAATTGCTGGGCACTGTCTGCTCTCCTCAAGTGTTTCTCACAAGGTGACATCTCTCCTTTCTCCAGCTGCCTCAGTCATTTGTTCAATATTTTGCAGCAGATATGGTGAACTCCTGCTCCGGACTCAGTCTCACTGCTTGTAAATACTGGACACAGATGTCACACTGGTGGTTTTTACCATAACTGAGATTAAATCTGAGAAAGAAAACCCTCTCTAGAACAGAAAGGGGCCATGCCCTCTGGTCAATGAGTGCAATAGGAGCTGATTGTATTATTAACCTTATAGCAATGACTTCAGGAAACACAATGTGTTTACTCAAATTGCACACTTTTTTTGAACAGCTGTAAAATAGAGTGTATGTGTAAATATTGCCATCACTGAAGAAGTATTTGTAATTTTAGCATATAAATATAACCGGCTTTTCAATAGGCTTGATGATGCACAAGGCCACACATCAAGCCCTTGGGTAATTCCAAAGTTGTAAATGTATTTGCTGTACAGAGGAAGTGTGTCAGTGCTTGCTGCTCCCACAGACACTGAGCTGCTGGTCCCTTTTGGAGAGCCAGTGGCTTTCCCCAGAAGGGCTGGTGCCAGCCCGAGGAGCAGCAGCTTGCTGCTTCACAGAACGGCTTCCTTCATGCCCAGGAACAGCTCTGCAGCCGCAGAGCTGCCTCTCCATGGCTCGGGGAGTGTGGGTGGGACAGCTTGGCCACGCGCCCACTGGTGCTGTGCAGTGGGCCTGGCTGTGGGGAAGCCCTGTGGCCCTCCCACAGGTGGGACCTCCAGCAAGGGGAAGGGCAGGAAGCACAGGGTGGGTGAGAGACATCTGACACAAGCACATTTCCTAACTCCGGATCGAAGCAATAGTCATGTTGGTGTCACCTCTAACGTAGCAGACCTTATCTCTGCCACCCCTGCACAGCGTTGGAGTGATCGGGGCCCTGCTCCAGGCCAGCCTCCTGAGGGCTGTGCTGTGTGCAACAGAACACGAAGCCATTGTTTGCAGATGCCTCTGATGATCAGAACCCAAGTCCCAAAGGATCATCCTCCTGGGCTGCCCCATGTGCAGTCCCAGCTCCTGCCTTGGGGAAACAGCACTCCAGGCTGCATGGAATGTATTTTTAAGAGAATAAATCTATTTTTTTGTATTTGCAAACATATATTTGGGCTAGGGCAGCTTAGTTAGAAGACGAATAATGCAGGAAATCTTTTCATAATCACAGATTCATCTAAGTTAAGCAAATTTTCCGGGGTAACATTATTGCCTTTTTCCCTAAAACAAACTTTTGTGTCCAAAATAGAGCTATCAGCACTGTTCCACCCTTTCAGAACTTGCCTGTCTCAGCATGCTGAGTAGAGGAAAGCCAGTGCTTTCCTCCCTACGCTGCCCATGCAGTGGATACTGATGGTGCTCACCTCCTTCAAGTGACACAGTGCTCCTAGTCTGCATGCCAAATGTAAACACACACTTATCTGCATGTCTCTCCTGACAAACACTGTCAGTGCTACAGTATATAACCAATAAACACTTCTCTTTTTACGTGTGTGTGATGTGGTGTTTCCAGCTGGACCCCTGCAAGTCCTGTTGCTCAGGGGTGTCGCTGCCCCTGGGTGAGGTGTTGAGGCAGCCCTGGTTGGCAGCAGGGTGTGTGTGTGTGGGTCAGTGCAAGAACTGAGCACCTTGTGCTTCATTCCATGCCTGTGTTGAGGTGCCCCTCACACACCCATTGCAGGCTGAATTCCAGGCCCAGTTCAGTGGGCAGGGCACACACAGCACAGCCAGTTGACACAGCCACTCTCCACTGTGGCTGGAGGAGCTCAACATGGCACTGCTGATAGCAAGGGTGTTACTACAGAGGGAAAGAAGCCACCACTTGGTTAGAGCTTTGTCAGTATTGATTGCAGTGAAACCAGGATCTGTTTGTCACCTGGAAGGCGCTGGAGGATACAGAGGTCAGTACAAGTACAAATCTCATGATTTCTAACTATTTCTAATGTGCAGGTACAGTTAGCACAGATACAGGTACAATTAGCACCTGTCACATTCAGGATGAGCCCCTGTGACTATAACTTGAAATACACTGAGTTGTAAGGTGGGTACCACACTTCATAGACAAAATTATTTTCCTTGTCTCTGGATTATTCTGTTTGCAAAACAGGATGTGTTTCCAGCAGCTCTATAAAATGGTTTGTTATTATGGACAGACATTTTAGGAGTCATCCATAGCTGTCTCTTCAGTTACTGCTCCCTGGGTAGAACCCATTAATGCAAGGTGAAGTCCTACAGAGATACCCTCTGTTAAATATTTGTCCAAGAAAATGAACTTCTGTCTTGGTTGAGCCCTTTCTGTCCCAGTTCACACAGGCAACTACTGAGCATCGTTAAAGAGGTGGTTGTTTAACTGTAGCTACAACACAAATGCTGCTGTGTCTGGCCTGCTAGGAGCAGCAGAGATCTGTAAACATGTTAGTTAAACATTATTTCCAAAGCTGCCAAATCTGGTGCCAAATCTGGCCTTGTGGTTCAAGGCCAGGCTCACCACTGCTACGTGGGGACACTGAAGAACGTGAACTCGACCAATGGCCACCCACCATGGCATTGCTGCTTAAAAGCCAGGAAACTTTACTTTTTCCAAGGCCTTTTTTTACTGTGATCTTTTCGATTAGTCACATCTGCTTGTTTTGGTGGGTTTAGGTGATCCTCCTGTTGCCTACAAATGGGTGTACTCTCTTGTTACTTCAGATGCAAACCTCTCTGCTTTAGTCACACCTGCGAGAAGGTTGCTGCTCTGTTTATTGGTGAGATGTTGAGCCAGACTCTGTGTTGCCCCTGCCCAGGTCATTGCTGCTCCTGCCCTGGGTTCCTGATCAGCTGTTCACAGAAGGCAAAGTGCACATTTCCCTCGGCGTCACACCCAGAGCAGTGTGTACCCACGCTGCAGAGGCAGCTGACAGCTCCCCTTCACTGTGATTCCTGACCTTGGAAAAGAGCTGTTCAACATCATTACCACCACCCCAATGCAAAGAACAAGCCTAATGCTCACAGCCCTGTAGAGAGGTGGGGAACACCCAGCGGCTCTGGAGCCAGACCCGCTGCCCTCCAGATGCCTTTAGCGTGCAAGGCTGCTGCTCACCAGCACAGGGCCTTCTGCCTGCCTGTGTCCAGCCATCGTGCTCCCAGCATCCCCGTTAGTGTCTTCAGTAAAATGATTTTCAGTCCAAGGATCTGAAACCCAGACTCGTTCCTTGCTTTTGGCAGTTGCACAGATGGACATACTCAACTGTTTTCAGTCTCTCATCACAACATTGAGACAAATAATACATCCAAATGATTCCCACTTCCAATACTGATTCCAACCACCACCTTACTTGTGCTGAAGCTTCCTGCCATCCCCTCTGCTGTCTTTTGGAATGTATTCACACCACTTGTAGGACATGGACCCTTCCTTAAAGACAGGCCATGGAAAGGGCACAGACAATTTACAGGCTAATCCCTGAATAGTTGCAGATAATCAGGAATACAAGTGTCTGTCAGAAGTAGGTGAAGATTCTTGGAGCAATGGATGGTTGCCATGAGCCTGGTGTCACAGATGCCAGGTGGGCAAAGGGTGTCATTGGCTCTGCTGCACATTAAGGCAGAGTGTCACAGCCAGCCAGTGTTACTGCACTGGGAGTCAGCCCTGTGCCAGAGTTTTCCAGGGAGGAGGAGGATATGACCTTAATGAAGGCATTTTACCTATGTGCCTACATTGAATAGCAGCTCCAATCCAGGCTAGGGATGTCCTATCGTTCCTCCCATCCCAACTAGCATTGCCTGTTGTCCTGGTCCATGAAAAGTTTGACTGACAAGCCGTGGCATTTTGGTTACATGCACTGGGGCAATTGTTGCTGTCTCCTTTAGGGAGTTAAACACAAGGAGGCGTTTGTTGGTTTCACGTACTGCAACAAGTAGGCAGCAGGATCCCAGTGGGTGCAGAGTTCACCTCGGGACTCTGAACACAGTTCAGTGCCTTCCAACTCCAGCCTGTCTCTGCTGGCAGGAAGAAAGATGGAATCCCAAACTTGCATCGCAGGCTGAGCTGTGTTTACCACAGCTGGTGACCAGCTACAGGTAATATGGTGCAGTGAGTTGCCCCTGGTTGGATGCCAGGTACCCACTAAAGCCCCTCTCTCACTCCCCTCTGCAACTGGACAGAGGACAGAAAATACAACAAAGGATTCGTGATTTGACATAAGGACCAGGAGAGGTCACTTCCTGATCACCATCACGGGCAAAACAGACTCAAAGCGGGGATATTAATTAGATTTATTACCAACAGGATCAGAGCAGGAGAGTGAGAAATAAAATAATCTTAAAAACACCTTCCCCCAACCCTCACTCCTTCCACATTGTACCTCCTCCCCTCCAGCAGTGCAGGCAGATGGGATTGGGGTTATGGTCAGTTGTTGTTTCTGCCGCTGCTCAGAGAGAGAAGCTGGAGTTCTTCCCCTGCTCCCTGTGGGGTCCCTCCCGTGGGAGACAGTCCTTCACCAACTTCTCCAGCGTGAGTCCATCCCACAGGCAAGAGTTCTTCCCAGAGTGCTGCACCATGGGTCACTTCTCCGTGGGGTGCAGTCCATCAGGAATAAGCTCCTTCCAGATGGGTCCTCCACAGGGCCACAAGTCCTACCAGAAAAACCTGCTCCAGCATGGGCTCCTCTCTCCAAGGAGAGTTTTCAGGGTTTGTTTCATCATCTGAGCAAACCCTACTGTTCTCTTTGCTATTACATAGCCCTTCAGGTCCTGGTGGTTGATGCTGGACACTACCCTGTTGCCAGCAAAAACATGAGGGTGACCCAGGTCTCCATGTCCTGCACTTGAAGAAAATAAATCCAGACCTCAGATGTCTGAAATTGGGTTCAGAGGTAGAAGTCAGGGTTCATCCATCAGGCACTAATGAGATGGGTCTTCCCATAGCCTTTAGGGCTTCCCAGGACTCACAAGCCCCTGAGTTTTGCAGGATCACAGGCACAATGACAATAGAAGGCAATTTCAACAGAATGGGTTGTCCCACATGTGTCTTCAATGGGAATTGATCCCTTCAATCGTAAAGGTGGCACCTGTCAGTGGCCCAGTAGGAAAAAACTTTCAAATCTTCAGGTTTCCATGAATTCCTCAGCAGTTACTGGCAATGATGACTGTGTGTCTCAAACACAGATCCCAACTGTGCCATGAGACATCAGCATGTCCTTTGATCAGGCCATCAGCCTGCTCTATGGTATCAGTACTTGCCTCAAAGTCTGTCAGATTCTAACAAATTCCCTGTATAAGGGCTCAGAGCACAGCCATGAGTCATTTTTCCCCGGGTAGGCAGAGCTGAGGTCAGGTCAACAGGCATTACCCCTCCAATATTTAAAGCTTTCCTTGATGGTGTAATTCCTAATTCTCTGCCTGCCTTTTATTCAAAACTAATTTGGGCCCTTGTATCAGGAACATGTCTTGTGCAGTTCCTAATCAACAGACCACTGGTAAAAATTCACCACACTGATCTGGTGGCCTGAACCCCAAACCTTGGCTTCCAGTTTTTCAACTTCTTCAGGTCCTATTGGAAAGATGCAAAAGGGTTAATGGCACACAGCTGGAGGACACCTGTGTCCTGGCCCCTATCATCCCTTTTGACAGCTCTGCCCCTTGCCTGTAGGCTTGGAGGGCAGCTGACTGTATGTGTGACTTCCCTTGGGCCCTCCCAGCCCTTGGGCCCTCCCAGCCCTTGGGCCTTTCCCGAGGGATCCTTCATCCCCTGGGTGGGCTCCATTAGCTCTGCCTCAGGGAGTTGAGGCTCTTGAGGGGTGGAGTGGGGGCTGCTTGGAGAGGTTTCCCACTAGTCTGTTGAACCCTCTTATTCTGCTGGCCCCACTGCCCACAGCAGCTCCCCCCCATGCCTGCAGGTAAGTGGGCTGTGCAGCATCTGCCCAGGTCACTGGAGGTGCAGGTGGAAGCTGATGGGGTTTGCTGATTCAGTTTAAGGTGGTTGGGGCCCACTGGCATGGCCATGGCATGCTGTTGTCCCATCTCGTACATACCAAGATCTTTCCTGTGTTCCCACCCCACTTCTTGGGCTCTTTGCCCATGATTAATTTCAGCATTTGGACAATGCGCTGGGTTGTGAACTTTGTTACTGGTGCCAGCACAATTTTAATTTTTTGTTCAACAGAGGTGTCCACTCTCTTTCTTTTCAGTTCTTTAATACCTTTATCTTCAGCTGTTTCTTCAAGCTCCCTTGTGCCTGCACAAGGCACACCCTGAGATGCACACACAGCTCCTCTGCCTTTCCCATCTTCCTTGCTTTCTTGGCATTGATGCTGTGGGGGTTGAACTTTGCCCTTTCCATTCCCAGAGGAAGATGGGCACAACGCTGCCTCTGTAACAATTCCCTGCTGGCATCCTGCTGATTTGCCAAGTAAGAAATTTGTAAGTTCAGGCTTACAAAATCAAGACAAATAATATATTCAAGCAAGATTTATTTTATAAACTGTGAAACCAAATATACCAATTAAAATTCTGCCAACACTTGAATACAGATCATAGAACCATACAATCAGCCAGGTTGGAAAGGACCTCTGAGATCATCAAGTGCAACCCTTGATCCACAACTGCCGTGGCTACCAGACCATGGCACTAAGATTCATGATGCCCAGTGGAATTCACATGGCCTGGGATAAGAATTCCCAAGATATTACAAGAGTAACCCAAAATGTGCTCTCACGAAGGCTACTGACTCTGAGGAGCTCCCTTGAGTGGATCCCAACCCCCGGGAAGGCCCCAGCCCCACCTGTTGCTCTGAGGGCTGACTCAACTGGCAGAGCTACAGCCCACTATGATCTGCATCTGTGGTCAGGTAAATTCACATTAACCCCTCTGGCCGGGGTCTGACCTTTTGCCCCACCACAGCTGCCAGGCAGGGGTGATGGGGTCAGCCTGCAGAGTCAGCACCACACACCTGATGCCAGTCACAACACAGGTCAGTGGCAGGCACTGGCTGGAGGACTCAGTTCCTGCTGGAGCGACTGCACCTGCCACAGTTCTCTGCACTCAGCTTCAACTGGAATTCTGTGTGGTGTCATCAGGATATGCAAAGGAGGTTTAAGGATATGCAATGCCTTCGGTCCCCAAAGACTCTGTTAACACACTACCCAAGCTCACAGACAGCACCAAGTCAGGCACGGCAGCCACAGCTCAAAGAAAACCCCCAAAACCCCAGATAGAACAGTCACGTTTGTATTGCGTGGTAGCCTTGACTCCACAGGGAAGGGAAGGGAAGGCCTGTTCATTCTTTTCAGACTGGAGCACGTCCAGGGAAGGGCAACAAGGCTCGGGAAAGATCTAGAAAAACAAGTCTTATGAGGAAGGGCTGAGGGAGCTGGGTTTGTTTGCTGTGGGGGAGGCTCAGGGGGGACCTCATCGCCCTCCACAATCCCTGACACGAGGCTGGGGTGAGGGGGGACCGGTCTGTTCTGCCGTGAGAGCACCACAGGAAATGGCCCTAAGCTAAGATGGGAAATTCAAATGGGATATTAAAAAAAAATTGTTTCACTGTTCCAGCAGTCAGGCATTGGAATAAGTTGCACGGGGAGGTGGAGTCACCATCCCTGAAGGTGCTCAAGAGGCACCTGGTTCTGGTGCTGGGTAATGTGGTTACACATTAAAGGGGTTACAGTGGTGGTGCTGGGTGGATGGTTGGACTGGATGACCTTTGTAGGTCTCTTTCAACATTAATGATTCTTTGACTCTGCAATAAAGCCAAGTAGGCCTGAACATGACTCCTGGAGGGAGATGGAGGCTCAGACAAGACCACCCCTTACTGTTTCCTTCATGCTCTTCTACTAGCTCCATGCTCTCAGGTGGAGCTTTTCCAAGTGCCCTCAGGCCTACCAAAATCTTACCAGCTGCAGCCATTCCCATCCCAGGCCAGATTCCAGGTCCTCCTTTAAGGAGCAGCTTGGCTATCCTTCCTCCTCAAATGGTCCAGCCACCTCCAGAACTGTGGTGAGTTGCCAATAAATGGTAATTTGTTTTCTTCAAAAGCTGCAGCATCTCAGCTGCTTCTGAAAACAGGCAGAGTCTGCACACTTCAGCCATAAGGACCTGCAGGTCACACCCAACCCAAAATCCAGGGAAGTGGTATTTTAAATCCTTACCCATTCAACAGGCACGTTACCTCTGCTGACCCAAAACGAGCACGAAGCGCTGCAGAGATCGGGAGATTCCAGTCCCTCCGGGCCAAGGGGCACACAGGAAACATTCGAGGGGGTGTGCAGGGCTTCATGAAGGCCAGCAGAGCACATGGGAGAACTGCAGCCACACTCCAAACTGCATCCTCCACCACCCACAGCTCAGAAAGCACTGGCTCCTGTTGCTGAGCAGAGATTCAGCAGTCTGATACTTACGGAGTAGCTGCAGTGACAGTAACTCACACACTTCAGACCATGCAGAAGCAGCCTGGCATTTGTCTGGAAAAAGACACCTTTGACTACAGTAAGTTCAGGACTATTTTATTTTCTAGCGGGCCTGAAGTGCTTTTAAGAGTTTCTGACACTTTGCTAGAGCACACAGGATGTCATGACAGAGACAGCACCATCATGAATCCCAACAACAAACCACCCTACAAATATGGAGACCCAATTACATCGCATATGTGTGGCACAGCACCCCAATTCTTTTCCCATCTTCAGTCAGAGTAGCCAAGAGGACCTCAGCTGCTGGTGGATTTTAAAGGTCTGTCACATCTGTCATCCTGGAACAAGTTTCCCTGGATAGTGGTGTTGATGAGCATAAGGCAGCAACTCTTGAGTTTCAAACGACTCCCTATTTACTCTCCTTCACCCCTAGACACTCCTCCTCCATGCCTTGCTGGACTTTCAAGTCCTGCCCCCCTTTAATGGCACTTTTCTAACCAACCATGACAAGTCTCTCTTGTCCCTGGAAGGCATGGCAAGAATGAGTGGTGTTGCTCAATACTAACCCTTTTCATCAAGGGCTCAAGTAGCAACAACATTTGCAAAGTCAGAGACCTGAGGAAGGTAACACTGATTTAGATGGAGATTTGGCATAAAGGGTCTCTCCAACCACTTCCAATGGGTTTAGTACTTGACACCTCTAATCTCTGTCCCCTTCACAGCCCAATACCCTGGCCACATAAGCCCTTTCTCACAGACCTCAACATGTCAGGAGAAAGCAACCAGAAGACATGGTCAGGAGGATGAATGATATAAACAAATGCTAATATTTTTTTCTCATTTTTAACTTAAAAATATCCAATTCTGAAGATTTCTTTTGTTGAAAGTATTTAATAAAACAGTATGCTTAGCATGCTCAATGATACCAACTTACTCTCTACAACAGGATGCAGATGGTGTAGCAGCCAATGGACTATTTTGAAAGGAATGTGATTTGCTGTTACTGATAGGTAAACAGTTGCCCCAAATTCTCAAAACCAGACAGGAATAGAATTGGTCAAAAATATTAGTCTTCAAAACAAAACCACAGAAAAACCACAAAGAAGTTTACATAAATTCTACACTAAGTTACTATTTGTAGCAACCAGCTTTTAGAGGGCTTTGTGCAATTACCAAATTGTAAATACACACATAGGTAGAAAAAAAACCCATCCTAAAAAACCTCCAGCTATAAGCTTGACTTTCAAAAAGTATCTGCAGAACCAAAGTCCCTCACCAGCTTCACAGTAAAGGATTCTGTTTACACTGTCCCTTCAAACAGCTCTAAGGTTTTTAGAAGGCTGCCAAGCCCAGGGCTCAGCGAGCTTCTGTAAGGCCATTCTCACACCAGCGTTGTGCAGTAACTCAGGTCCTCTCCCAGACTCTGCCGGGGACTGTGGGAGTGTCTCCATCCCAGATCCACAGCAGCAGCACCGTGGGGTTCTTGTGCTGAGGCTCCCTGCCCTCACAGGCTGGCCGCCTGCTGCGGGGGCGCAGGGGGCGCGGGCTGGCGCGGCAGGGTGTACATGGCCCCCAGGAACTGGTCTGCGATGCGCCCGGCCTCGCGTAGCCCGCTCAGCAGCGCCCCGTGCACCGTGGCGGGGTAGTTGCGGATGGTGTGCTCTCCCGCGAAGAACAGGCGTGGAACGGGCTGGGGGACAGAGGGCACGGTTAGGGGTTGCTCTTGTGCTTTCGGATCCTGCAGCAAATGATACTTTAAGGACGTTAAAAGCCCTCAAATCACAACACAATCTCCACTAACATGAAGGTGGTGCATATAATGCAGTCCCTAATGAAACTATTTTAACCCGTGTACAAATTACCAAGAAAATAAAGCTCTACTCAATAAGCAATGTTTGCAGAGCCAGAGAAGCAGAGAAGGTTCATGTCCCAGTTGTACTGAAACAGCATTTGCACGTTGTATCCGTAACTCCACAGCCAAACTGTCAAACGTATTTAGGAGGAATGGTTTCTGATCCTGGTACGTGGACTCCAGCACAGTTAGCAAACAAAAACTTTAGCAATTCATTAAAATCAGCTGTTTCTCTTTAAACTGAGACCTAAAGCAACTGCCCACAGAATCATAAAATGTAGGAGAAAAACAAGTACTCACGTATTACATTCTGCAAGGAATGTAATACACTTTATCCAAAGCTAGGTGTATTAAAGACTTGTATCATTAGAACAAGAACCCAAATAAAGCTAAAGCTACAAACCCTTTTCTGGCAGGGCTTTCAGAGTAGATGGTGCTTTCAAACTTCCATCCACTCCACATGAACTAGAGATAACTCCTGCCTTCATTGTGTTTGTCCCCCATTTGGGACAGACCTTTTGATTCCTGGTCCTCTCACTCTGGCCTTTTCCCTCTTTCAAATCACTACAACTCACTTAAAATGGTGATGGACAATAAAAATACAGAGGATGAAACACATGTATAATATTAAAAACTCTGTTCAGACATTACCACACTGACTTTCTGAATAAAAATCCTTTTTTTTTTTTTTAGCAAACAAATGACACCAGAACTCTGTGAAGGCAGAATTCATAAGTGGAAAAATAGTTTTACAGGATTTAAAAATTTATTGTAAAATGCAAGTTATCTAAACTTGTGTTTAGATATGTATGCAAATTACTCAGAGAAATCATCCTATTTTTTAACTTTTTGTAAAAATAACTGAAACATATTCTCACCTGTGGAGCACCTGGAATGGCTGGACCTGGAGTAATTGGCTGAGCCATCAAATCATAGTCATTTCCAGAGGATCCAGCTGCTACATAGGAGTATGACCCCCGGGCCCAGGGGTCGGCTCGCCAGCGGGACACCACGGTCTCTTTAGGCTGAGACAAGACAGGAACTTCAGTTGTTGAGACAGTGCAAGTTCTACGGCTTGTGCCAAATATGAATGATGCAAATTGCGGCATAAGGAACAAAGTCCTTGAGCTGATGTTAATGGTGGAACTTCACATTTATATTCAAACACACATTAAAGTAAATCTTTCATGGTGATTCCTTAATCCCTCCCAATATGTTACCAGACCCTGCTGCACATGCCTTCTCAACTGGAACTCACACTTTGTACAGCTGCACACACCCACTGTATTATAGACTATTCCCTCTGTTTCTTCTCCCATTATCAACAGGATGACAATGCACCTTCCCACTCCTTCAGCCCCAGCTGCCGCCTGCACTGACCTGGGGCACAGCACTGCTGCCAAATATGCCCTTGAGGATAGCGAGGCACCGACCAACGATGACATCATCACTGATGTTCTCCATGATCCCCGCTGCTTCTCCTGCTACTAAGGCCAACAAAATTGGCGCTGTGGGGGGGTAGGGAAGGAGAGAGAAAAAAACACTTCAATTGCTGAAACTGAACATTTCAGTCAGACAAGTTGGACTTGGCTATCCAAGATCTGCAGATAAGTCACAAGGTTAGAAACTGAACAAATCCAACAAAAGTAGTCCTAAATCTTCCAGTATCATGCCAAAATAACAAAAGGAAAATGTATTTATATATGCCATGGTACTATTTAGAATTATCAAGAGAACTGATATATTACAAAATAAATACACGCATCAGGAAGCACAGCATGCGGAAGAGGGGATTTCTTCAGTTCAGATGTCACTTATTCGGCATAGGAGCATGTTAAATCCACTGGGATTTAACACCCAACTGTGCTACATTTAAGGGAACTTAGTACCTTCCAAACAATCTAATTTAGGCGTGATTAACATCAGCAGAGCAGTATAAGTACTCCCCTCATACATATATTTAGATTTCCTTTTTACCAAAGAACATTCAATTAAATAATCTCAATGGAGTGAAAACAACGAGCAGTAGAACAATTTCCAGAAAAGCAGCAATTCTGAGAAGAATTCAGAAGTCAAATGGACAGGTATCAAATAACTCAGCAGCCATGAGATGCTGTGGTTAACAGTGGTAATGTGATTCTAGGATACACACAAAAGAGATGATGTTGTTTTCCTTCTGGCCAGCTGTGGTAAGAATAAGTTCGCATTTCCGGTAGTCATAAAGTCATGGAAAATTTTAGGTAAGTACTGAAGAACCACCAAAATAACTCAAGGGCAAGAAACAGGTATTTACAAGTGATTCAGACCTCAGCACTGTTAATGAAAACTCTCTCAGTTGATATTTCTCCTTCTGGAGGTATTCATGAACTCTTAAATTTAGCAAAGAAAATACTACAACTAGAAACAGACATCAAGCATGCTGAAATGGAAAATAAAGTCCCTGTTAAAAATTTGGCTTTAACTTTTGTATAGGTTTCCAAAGTGATCAGTGAATTTGTTCTGTCCTGGTACAGACGAAGATCTCCTGGTGTACATTTCCATCAAGTCCTTAAGGACAACTGGGTGAAGTTCAGATCCAATACACAGGTAGAAATAGCCAATAAAGTATTCTGGTTAAAAACAAAAGCCTTTGAAATTCTGATAATTACACTACTTAAGACACAATTAAGACACTTAAATAGGGACTAGAAGCAGTTTATTAAAGAAACAAGATACAGGATCGCTCCTTTAATTTAACTCAATTATTATATTATTGAGTTATATTATATTAACTCAAAGATTAAGGCCAGTCATCCAAACAATTGAAAGAAAGAACAAAAAACTGGTTTCCTATCATCCATAGGTATTGGGGATTTTTTTGGTCATTTCAGCAGCCAAGTCTTTCCTAGTTTGCCATCCCTGACACAATGAAATCCCTGAACTTATTAGCAACTATTCAATCAACATATTTTTTCTTAATGGAACAACTACATATTCAAAATGCAGCTTCCAGTGAATTTGTCACTGAAAACTTGTATCCAGACAACCCCAAAATATTTCTATGGAAATCCTTCCTTTTTTGTAAGCATTTACCTAGACCTGAAAATACTGCCACTCAGCCACCTGGTAAATTCAGAACTGTAACAGAAGGGCAGACAGGTGCAGCAGAACAATGACTATTTTGCGATGCAAATACCCAAGTGCTGCTCAGAGAAGCTTCTGGTATGACGAGCATGTGTCACTGCTCCCCAAGAAATTCTCTCCTTGAGGCAGTGATGTTTACTAAGCCTTGATACCAAACACCAAGCAGAGAATGTGGTTTAGCCAGAGATCAGAAATCACAGAGATATGATGATGAGGACCTTTCTCTATCTCATCTCCAGGAAAAACAGAAGAGTCAGGCAAGAAAACAGAGACTGAAATGTTACTGGACTTCCAGAAAACACTGAGCATTTCTGCCAGGCATTCCTCTGCCCTGTGGATAATTTCTCCATCTTCAGAGCTATGACAGTAACCCAACAGTGTGGTGGAGCAAGAGGCACCAGCAGCACGGGTCAGTTGCCCCAGGCTAGCACAGCATTCCTGAGCCCACAGGTCTTCTCAGCAGTCATTACCCTGGGCCAGACTGAAACCACTGGGAGGATTCCTGTCTGACCTGTAACAGGTCACCCAGAACAGACAGGTGCAGTCTTATTCATCTGATCCATTCCCCCACACATCTTTAAACACTTCTCAGAGACCAACTGGTCTCTGACAACCCAAGGAGTTCATGCAGCATAGGCTGCAATAATTCTATCTTCTGCTACACTTCTTATTTCTGCAGTAATAACTTCTTCAATCAGTTTACGGAGTTTCTGCCTAAAATACTACAGCTACACAAATGCAGAATATGACAGCAATAAACAGCAGCTTCTCAAGTTCAGTCAGGTCTACTTCAATATTTCAGTCTAACCACGTTAACTGCCTCCCAACTATCCACGATAAATGGTAACTGTTCTTTTGACTTCAGCCACCTGACTTGTGTTTCAGCATGGGGTTTTACTGCATTGCTGTTTTATTTCTACCTGCTCTGCCTATTTTCATGAGAAAGAAGGCTTTGATCCTAGCAGCAAAACCTTTCTGTAACATGGTCTTTCCACCTCAAACCAAAAACCTCCACGCTACTTGTTAAGTATGTAATAAAGCAATCCTAAAGCCACAAAAGCCACATGAACAGCCTTGCTATCCAAGTCTCATTACTTGTATTTCTCCAGTGAAGTCCTATCAAACATTTTTACAATTCAATACCCTAGAAAGGCATTGTCCTTGCACAGCAACTTTTTGCAGTCAAAAGAAAAATCTGGCCTGCCTATGACAGAATGGCATTAGTAGTTTTGGTTTATCTGCAGCTGGTGCTGCCACAATAGATTGCCATGAGATCTCTGCAGTAAGCATACTGGGGGTTTTACTGCCATATACGAGACGATCAAAGCAAAGGAGTATATATATAGTGAGCCCTATTAAATGAGAGATTTGTCTTGCAGATGACCAGGGGGTTTTCTTCCAAAGTTCATCTGTAGAAAAAGGTAGAGCATTTTCTAAAAAAGAGTTCTGAAATTACCTGTCAGTCTGAGACCCACGGTCTACAGTCACAGACTGTTTGCTGCTCAAAACAGGAACCAAGGTCATCCATTCAACAAACTGCAGACCCCACAGCTTGCAGGGGGGGGCACACATCGATGGGCCTGCAGCTCATGAAGCTGGAATGGCATTGCTCAGCAAAAGGAACAGAGCCATCCCAAACCCTCCAGTCTGCTCCACTGAAATCCAGGTGTTCAATACTCTAAAGGCTGCACTGTACTCCCCAACAAACTGAAGGAGGATAACTTGCAAGTATTGAGTTCTGCACTCAGCCACTTAAAGGAATATACAGATCAATAGAACCTCTCACATCCGAAAAAAGTGTAATTTATCTTGGTCAGTTCCTACACACTCTGGTGTGGAATCCTAGGCAGCAAAGTCACCTGAACCGGAAAGGACTTGAGGTCAGAGATAAAAGGAGCTCATGTATATTTATCAAATCATCCCAGATTAGATAGACAACCCCATGCAAGAGGTCTGGCTTCAGACTGCCAGTTCAACTTAAAAAACATCCAGGAAGATGATGTTTTGAAAACTAAATTGGATGCCAGTCCCTTCTGGCACCAGAAGTTCAGTGAGAGGGGAAGAGCTCAAACAATGAGCCAGAGAAAAACTCAATTTCAAATATATGTACGAACTAAGAAATGGCTTTTAATTAAGAGACGCTGCAGTGACAAATCACCTTTCCTTGGAGAACTCAACACACCCTCCTGACAAAGTAGATAATCAGGACAACACTGGAAATTGAGTGGTTCCAGAATACCAGTGGCAACTAAAGGATGATTAATGGAAGCAAACAAGGTAACACTGAGTAGGTCACAGGACAACTCCACCAAGGTGTAAGACAATAAAGTGGCTATAAAAGTGCGTTACAGTAGATAGTAATAATGCAATTTAACAGGCACAGCCTGGAATCTAGCATTAGTAAACTCACATTCACCTGTGTGCTGCCCTAATTTACTACAGAAGTGTTTGCAGTCAGTGCTGCTCTCTACTTCCATTTGCCTTCCTACAAATACTATCTTCTTATCATATCCATATGTGAACATTGACAGCATCTTAAAATGTCTTTTCTAGATCTGAAACTACACAAATGAGACACTGGCAAAAGTAGAGATGCACCACAGATACCTTTGTACAGGTTCCAAAAGAGGAAGAGTTCTCCTCTGCTTGCAGTAGTGCTCCCAACATGGCCAAACAAATTGACACTCGGATCCCAGAAGACACGATCAAAACATAACACAACCTAGAAAGAAAGAGTGTCAACAGCTAGGAGAAGCAGATGGAAGAAATAAAAATAAAGACAACTGCCTTCATTGATGTTTATATCACTGGACAGGTCAAGAAAGGGAAATCTGGTGAATATATACTGCATATACATAATAAATAGGTGTATAATAGGTGTGTGCCTACACTGCCTTCCCATAGGTTAGTGTGCTCTCATAGTTTACCAGTTTGCTGGTTAACAAGCTCCAGCAGACCTACTTCTGCAATGTACCTCTTTAAAACCTGGAAAATAGAGAAGAGGCCCTTACAGTTCTTGAGACAAATGTCATTGAACCCTAGCAAAACAGCCATGGAAAAGACATTCTTCCTCTTCCCCACCACATATTCCACCCACATTTCAGATTTTTAACCCTGAACTACAGCAGTTTCCCCAGTGACAGCTCACCTTGTTCAGGTTGCCAAATCCCATACGCTGCACTGCAGAAGTTTTCCACTCTGGAAGAGGGGGCACAAACTGAACTGCTGGAGGCTGCTGTTTCAACACTCCTAAGGGCAGAGTGCACAGCACAGCATCACACTTATAAATGAAGGTCTGGCTGGTAGATCGTGTATTTACAGCTATTACTTCACAGCCTGCAAAGGGGAGAGAAAACCAATTTAATAGGCCGGGAGGCAAAAGCCTTGGATTAAAAATTAAAGAAACTATCACATCAGAAAATATTTTGTTTATGGAGAGAGCTTTACACTAACAACTGATTAACTTACAGGCAAGTGAATGTTACTGGCCATTTAGTTCCACTGCAGAAAAGGTAATTAATACAGCATATGAAAATGGCCTTAACTGGGATAAGCCTAAACATTTATTCAGTAAATGATATTGAAATATATGCATAAATAAATGCAAGTAGAGAGTGAGCCTCTCATTGCATTGTTCTCCCAGCTCAGTTTCGCAAGCCTAATAATTTGAAGAACAACAAAAAGATACATTCCTTTCATTATATTAATTTATATTTCTAATACCAGATCCTGTGGCACTGAGCCTTAAGCAGTCCCAGGCCAATTACTCCAAACACTTTGACTGATGAAGTAAAGAAATAAGAGAATGAATGTGAACAATCAGTAAATTCAACTGAAATGGACTGAGTCAAATGAGTCATAGAAATAAGCAAAAAACCATTCAAGACAAATAGAACTCTAACAACTTCCTACAGAATTAATCCCAACAAGAACCACATCTGTTTATCTACCCCCATGTGTATAACGGAGGTTTCACACACCTGATGCTGTGTAGCGAACCTGTCGAACTGCTGTGTTTAATTTGATATCCAACCCTTCTGCCAAGGCTACAGGCACACAGGAATATCCATTCCTCACAGTCAAGTGACTGCCTGTGAATTCAAAATCATCATCCTAAAATAAAAAGGCACAAAGTTACAATGAAGTCCCCTAAATCAACAGAAAATAATCAACAACTCTACACAATGGAAAAATCTTTTCAAAATCTTTTTTTAAAGAGTCAAACAAATGTGAAATTCCTTCTGGTTATTAGTCAGGTAACAAGTATAGAAACTTTCAGCAGACTACCATTAGAGATTGGTTTGGCACTAACAAAAAGCTGTTTGGAATTTCATCGGCAAATAATAATCACGTAAGAATTCAGTATCTACACAAAAGCAGACAGCACTTAACAGTTAGAAACTATTAACATTGAGAAACTTTCACGAGAATGAAATAAAATAGCTGAAACTTTTAGTACATTGCTGAATAAATACACTGATTACCTACCTGGTCCCAGTGCTTCAGTGAAAGTGTAGAGAGGGGTGTAGCATTAGCAAATTCTAGGTTTGCAAAATGCCAGTCAAGTATTTGTCTGTCTCTTGATGACAAATAAACATCACTAGAAAAAACAAAGATAACACATTCAGTTTGCTAGAGCAGGATGTTGCAAATGCATTGCTTCTGAAAATTTCTCCTCAAACAAAAATGATTGTGTCCCTCCTTAGTGAAGAAATAAAAACATTAACAAACAACATAAGCAGATTCTGTTTCAAACATCTGGACCTCCTTCATGAAAGCTGAGGATCAAACCCCATCAAATTCAGATTTTTAAAGTAGAGTTCATACTCTAAGGGGAAGCTAGAAACTTAAATTTAAAAATAAAACAGGTTACATAAATAATGGCTTAAGTAGTATGCATGAAGACAATGACAAAAAAATGAGTAAAAATCACTCAGCACAGAATAATAATACTCTGCCAAAATAAGTAGGATTGTATGCTATCATTTCTGACAGGGATTTCAGATCTCAAAGGCCTCTTGAGGTCAGGCACTGGCTACTGTCAGGATTCCTGCTGAACCACCCTAGCTCAGAAACACCTTTTCTGCTCAGGTCACCTCTAAAAAAAGAGGAAGCTGAGTTCTAAAGCTGAGGGAGCTCAGACTCCACGTTCATACCTTCCTAAACCCTTGAGTTACCATAATTAAAGTATACCATAGCAATTTTTGAAACTCAGGGAAAAGTAGTAAAAGAACTGCTTTACTGAGTTTTTTATTTTGTATCTTTACCTTGGTGGATTTGCTTCCAGTTCTTGTAATTTCTCTTCCAGCTTTCCTTGTGTTTCTGCCAATTCATCATACTCCTAGTAAGATTAAAAGCTAACATTAAAATCAGTTGACATGATTTGAAGACATCATGTAGCATCAGACTGGATCTAATCTCAAGAGAAATTACTGTAAGATTCACAGATTTAGTGGAAGCTAAATCACGTTTGTTATTTTTTTCAACATTTAATCCAGCATATTTTTGCTCTTCTGCTGTTTGAATATACAGAACTCTGTACCACACTGTAGAAAATATTAGTCTGGTGACATTTCAGGAATTTAGACACTCAGATTTGAAGGTCCCTTACAGTCCTGATATTTTAAGGGTTCCTGTGGTATTGAAAGCTTCATATTCCACAAAATATTTCTTCTATTTTAATTTTCTCTCCTAAAATATTATAGCTAATCTTGAACATGGAGATTTCCAAAGCAGAAGTAATCATGCATAAAAGATAAAGACATGGTCTAATTCAAGCTTCTTCCTGATTTTAAAAAACTTTAGTAGAACTAGGTATAAAGGCAACTGCCATCTTCCTTCAAGGCAGAATAACTTGGAGTGTCCAACAAAAGCAACAAGAGGACAAAGCTGTTCACTGGTGACAAATTAGGAAAGCCACTACTTATGTATACACACACACACAGAGCTTCCAAATAAAGGTACATATCTTATGTTGAACAAGTATCTGAAAAATGATCTTTGGTTCTACCTGCCCTGAGATAGCAAGAGGTCCATCAACATCTATCTTAGTTACAGGGGCTGAGACCAGTTCATCACTATGTGGGTATAACCAAAACTTGTATTCTACATCCTCCATGTCACTTCTGATGGACCCTTATTAACTGGATAGTTTGCAGCAGCTGCCCAGGGCACACCTAACACCTCAGGCTACAAGCCCAGTATTAAAGAAACCCTGCGAGGCAGAGGAGTGTTCTTTTGTTTGCATGCCAGTGACTCAGCTGTAATAACTCCCCTGGGAAAGGCATTAACACCTTCACCCCCAGCCTGAGGAGTCATCTCTGCTAATGGGCCACCACGGGCTGGCATAATGGGCAGCTGCAACACCTAGGCCATCGGAGATTCCAAAAATATCCCACGACTCACAGAGTTAAATCACCCACGGTGAAAGTCTCTGCCCTGGGGGAGGTACTGGGCATTTCCACCTGAACTTAAATATATATAAACTTTGAGTTTTGGGACTTCTGGTAGGACACATTCGATCGAGAGGAGGACCAGAACTTTGGCAGAACTGTGACCATTATCTGGACCAACAGGCTTTCTTTTCCTTTTACTTTGCACCCGGAGGGACCATGTGGAGCTCAGCACAGGGGCTAACGAACACTGCTCTGTTCTTGTCCCAGGGTGCTGGGTTATATGTCTGTTCTTGTGAATTAAAACCAGTTTTTCTCTGTATCATTGTATTTATTGTTATCTTTTTATATAAACTGTAACTCTGACTTGTAATCTCTCTTGAGTTGGGTTCATTTCTCCCAACGGTTTACTTTTAAACTGGCACAGTATCATAGAAAGAACAGTTTTTAAGGTTTCCTTTTTAAGGCACATTTCTACATCAAGATATCCCCAGAGAGGGGCAACTAACTCTGCTTGTCAAGATAGAGCTCTGTACATTATAATCTTTGGATAGAAAGAAGTCTTTTATTCAAGAAACCACCTTTTTTATCTTAGAGAAAAGGTATTTCTTTTCAAATGCAGATTTCATTTCCAGATTATTGTGAGACCCAGCTGTACTAAAAGATCACACCTGACATAAAATTTCACCTTCAAAACATTAAGTGTTGTCTGACATGAGTCATTGCAGACTGTTACCCAAAACTGAGTTTTCAGCATGCTAATACTCCCCACCTAAAAGTACTCAATGCAGCCCTATCAGTGTTACAATCCAGAGTTACTACCATATTCTCTTGAAAGCACTGCTCAGAGTGAGAGATGTGGAAACATTTATACTGGCTAATTTTACCTGGCTGCTGAAGTCCTCAGAAAGCAGACTAATATGCTATACTTATGTCATCCTTTACCTTGCAAAGTGCAGTGAGATCTCTGTGTTTGCTTTTCACAAGGAACTCCGCTGTAATATCCCGAGGTGGCTTCACATCTGATGCTTCCTTGTACTGCTGATGAAGTTCTTTAATCTTCTCTTTTAAATTCACCATCTTTTCAGACAGAGCAGGAAAAGGAAGAAAGAAAGGGGAAAAAAATATGTGGAAAGGTAGATTTCAACAAGTTACTGTGTAAAATGCATATTCACCTCAAGCTATGCCATTATACTGAAGAGATTTCCTGGTTTTGGCAGATGTTACTTACATGCAATTCTACCTCCAAGAAACCATAATAAACATCACCAACCCCCAAAACAACATCGCTTAAAACCAACATTGATTTATTACTAAATATGTTGCAGACAACTTAGTATGAGAGTTGTGCACAAAAATTTTTCATTGGAAAAAATTCCACAGAGAAGAAAAGATGTCATCTACCCCAAGCAAAAGTATCGGAAGGTCTAACCCACTGTTTTGTACTACAAATTAGATTTGTAGTAAAGACAGTACACATTTTTAAATAACCTCTCAAAAGCTTCAGTCTGTACCAGCATCTCTAAAGAAAGCTATGAAACGTCACAATTTATCAAGTCTGTCCTCTTCCTTTCTTTTCTTGTATTTATGTTTTATGGTTTTCTGCCTAATCTGCCTTATGTTCCTCCTCAAGAGGAACATAAATTCAAGGGAACTAAATTCTGCCTTATGTTCCTCCTCAAGAAGGAAACACCTTTGTCCTAACAGGGCTTCTAAGCAGGTCTTAAGCAAAGATGTATTTTAAGAACAGCATTAATAGCAACTTTCTGACATTTTTCTTTGGACATTTTTGTACATTTTGGCACTTTGTCAGAAACACAGTGCTATTGTCTTGTTCTAAATGTCATCATCTGACCTTGTTAAGAAGATCTTTCAATTCTTCCTGTGTTTTCACAATTTTTTTCCAGTGTTCTATCTGTTCATCCTTCACATGCTTCTCCTGCAACCTGAAAAAGGTGAAAAGTGAAAGTCAGTTCAGCAGAAAATCCTTGTGTTAAAGAGAACTAATTATCACAATCAAATTAGTGGAATGCAATAAAAGTACAGGTAATGGGATATTCTGGTAAATATTTTTATGACAACTGGAAAATTATTACAAGTTTCTGTAAATAAAGGATATGTGACTACCTAATTGTGAGTTTGAAGTCACCTGCTATTATCAAAGGCCATTACATTTGCCATTAGCTTTCAGGTAGTGTAAGTGGGCTGTATGCACACTGAGTCAAGTATCCACTATTCATCACTGTAGCAGCGATTTTCAGGACACTTTCAAGAATAGAGGTTTGCTCTGTGGCATATTTTTCTTCAATAAACAAGAAACACATATGCAAACGAGCTCAGCTGATACCCACCAGCTGTATTAAGAGGGTAATGCTTATCCTAGGAGCATCACAGTTGTTTCAGGCATTTTTGGAAATTCATTCACAAAACAGGAAAGTCTACCACAAAGAGAAAAGTCACTTACTGTATGACAACCTCCAGAGCCTGACCTAGAGAGACAGGTTTATTATTGAGAACATTAAAATCCAGCTGATGACTGAGATAGGATGTGGCTTCCAGCAGACGGTTAAATTCTTGCTCCACCATTTCATCTTTCTCTTTGGGAACCTAGGAGACAAAAGAACAAACATTCTTAACTTATTCATAAATAATACAGTTACTGAGACTAGCCCTTGTAAAGAGAAATTTAATAACCTCCACTCTCTCAAACGGTCAGACACCAAGGTCTGTACAATACAGTGTCACCTTGTCAAAAGTTTGACCACAGGGTCAAACCACTCTGACAACAGACTTCTCTTGTAAGAGGAAACTAAACTAACTTATGGGTTCACAAAGATTTCCTTATTGGAAGGAAGATGTGTTCATCGAAGATACAAAAGCTTGCCAAAAGACCACTCTGATGGTAGGATGGCTCTACACAATCACAAGTCTTTACAGGGCTTGGCATAGCTCAGTGAAGTAGATAGGCTGTAATTTATCTTCTGGAGTGGTCAGTGTGACTAAGAACTACCAATCCAGCTTTTCTAGGACAATGAAGGAAGCAGGACTCTTCCAGAATGACAGTATTTGATTGTACTGGTGATACTCAGTTAAACAGCGTGTGCTGCCAGTGTGGAAATATCTGTTAGATGATGAGAATTCATGTGCTGGAAAGAGTAAACCTCACATCTGTTAAAGAAAGGATAGAGAGAAAACACTAATGAAGAGAAAGAGCAGCATGAGGAGGAGAAAAAAGTACCCTGGGGCTGAGGATGGTTTTGTCCAGGTGGATTTCCAGAGAAAAAGCCAAAAGTTCCAGTAATGCCTTTGCCAATTATATATTTAAGAAACAGAAGAGAAGGCGGTTGTGCAGTTGAAATTGGCAGCAGTAGCCATGTAGGAGAGGCGGTAGGCCCCAAGTGGGGGCCAGGCCTCCCTCCTTCCCCAGCCCTGGGCAGGTGTGGCACTGAAGCCCCCCTTCTCTCATGTAAGAGAGTAAAAAACCCAAAAACTTTAGAGGACTGACTGCTTGGATGAAAACCACTGCAGAAGAATTCCAGCAGAGAGATAACGAGGTGTTCAAGGCCAAAGTTGCAGCAGGAGAGCGAAGTTCGAAGGGGGGGGTCTGTTTCTCCCCCCCTTTCACTCTCTCCCTTCAGCAGGGAAAAGACTGAAAAATAAATCCCTGCTACCTTTGAAAAATTGTTGGAGTGAGGAGCCTCCCACGCTGCTCGTGGAAGAGTCTACACTGGAGTAAGTGGGTGCATGAGAAAGCCGAGACTTTATGAAGAGACCTGAGGTGAGGCAGAGTCCTGTTGAAAATCTGTGACCTTGAGAGAAACCTACACTGGAGCGAGACGGCCCGGGTGGGATGTTGGGATCCGCGTGTGGGATCCATGCTGCTGCTGGAAATTTGTGACCCTAAGAGAGATGAAACTTATGCTGGAACGAGAACGGCTCGGGTAAGATGTTGGGATCCAAGTGAGGGATCCACGCTAGACCCACGTCGGACAGGTCTATCAAGGAGTGTTCTCCCGTGGGGAGGGACCTCCACAAGAAACAGGGGTAGACTCAAAAGCCATTATCCCCTGTGACCCTGTGGTGAAGATCCATGGTAGGCAAGTGTCCCCTTGCAGTCCATGGAAGAGAAGACCTTCAGGGCCTGGGCCCCCAGCCTCCAGTCTTAGTCCAGGAGGGGGGTAGGCCCAGCCTTGGAGCCAACAAAGAGAGATAGAGAAAGAGTTCCAGCTGCGACGAAAAAGGAGTGTCATCTGAGATAACAGAAGAGCTTTAGAGCGCTGCAGAGTTATTGAAAAGACCTGGAGCTCCGAGAATGGAAAATGATACTGCTTCTTCTCCTTGGACTGATAAAAGGGGGAAGAGGTATTTCTGTAAATACATAGCACTTTTACTTAAGTAGAATTGTTGTGGATATAGTTCTTTAGTTTTATTTTGTTAATAATAAATGTTAATATTATTTTTCCCCAATCAACTCTCTTTTGTCTGCATAAACCTTCTCTCAACTTACAGTAATTGTGTGGGGGGTGAGAAAAATTGACCCAGAGCAAAACCACCACAGTTGACCACTTCTTTGTAATAAATATTGGATTTTTTTGAGCTTTCAACAGTGTTTTGGTTTCCATTTCGGCATCTCTTTGAACTCTCCCTGGAACACTGTGATACACCCACTGCTGACTTAACCTTGGCATTGCAGTACCACACCTGAACACCAGGATCTGCTTTAACAGCATGAGTCTGCACTACTGTGACCTTCTGAGTTTTTTAATGATAAAAAAGAAAAAGCTGGAAATGAAAAGGCCTGATTTAAATGACTTGGTTTCTAGAATACTTTCTTACAGTCAATCCACAGGTAAGTGATTCTGCTTCTGAAGAGAAGACCCTGCAGACAGACACGATGATGCTACAGCTTCTGTCTTACGTAAAAGCCCATCTTTGTGGGCCATGCCTTAGTGTATGCCCCCAGGAGAAGACTGTGAAAAACAGGACTTGCTACTAAGCATGGCCTTAAGGTTGAATGGAGGCCCTCCACAGAGTCTCCACAGGGCAGCAGCACCATGGAGTACACTAATAAAGATGAAATGAGCAACACAAGTCAAAACACACAGCTTTCATGGCAAAACTGCACTACATCTGACCAAATACAAATTTTCTTTTAATCACAGATGCAGATACCACAAACACCAAAATAACATTGATTCTGTGCCATTCAGTATCTGGGTGGCAGAAGAATAAAAAATTGATTATTATTCACACCACAGTTTCTCTCCCTGATCATCTGGCATAGTAAAAATGGCTTCAAATCAGATAGTTTAGTAAAACATTATAAAGTTGGCAAGGCAGCCATGCTAGGAAACAAGCAGCACACAAAGGCAATCTGATTTAATTATTGATTTTTTTTTTTTTTTTTAAACTAAGGAAGAGCAGGCTGGCTCATTATGTAGGCAACGAGACAACATTCAACACAAGGAAGTGATAAAATTCAGTCTGGAACATATATCCAGTTTTACATATCAAGCTTTGTTTACAATAGGTAAGCTGACAGATTTTGTGACGTGCCTCTTAAAAATGAGCTTCCTGTCACCACGCCAATATGGGACCGCATCTGAAGAGAAGCAACTACCTTTGAACGTGGGAGGTGATGTTACCTGTCCCACCAGCTCAGCCAAAGGAGCAGTAAGACCCTTTTCTGTGCTGAGGGATTCCTCCCCACAGCAGGGCTTGGCAGTATGCAGCCACGCTGCCAGTCTCCATCCTGACTGGGTCTCCTGGGATCAACAACACTCGAATGCAGTACAGGAAACATGAGAGTAATCAAGAAGAATATTCTTTTTCAGAAAAACACTCCCACTGGAGTAAGTGCCTAGCTGATGAGCAAGAGAAATTCCTGGTCCACAGGAACTGCCTATGCCTGAGGGGCATAGCTGGATAGAACTGATCCAGTTGCTGCATACTGGGGAACAGAAAGCATTGGGCTACAGCAAAGAAAGCTGCAGGATCAGGCTGCACACATCACAGTGTGTACTGAGCCAACCAAAGCATGGTCTGAAGTTCAGCTGACCTGTGTCTAAGTGGGTGGGTGGTGTTAACAGAGGGAGTCCCAATAGCACAGGGATACATTCATCTGCAACACTGAGGCATTCTTTGGGCAGAAACTGAAACCGTGAGACAGGGAACGCAGCAGTGCAGAGACCAGCACAGGACTGGCTTCACCACACAGGAGCAGATCTGAGCAGTACTGTAGAACTATCTCCAATGCCTTTGCTAGCTTTCCCTGAGCCTAACCTATTGACTCACGCGCAGTAAGAGGAGCTGCAGGTCCCAGGTTAGAAACAGGTTGGAGCCAAGGATCACTTTCCCAGGCCACCAGCAGGATGCCCAACATCCTCACCTGTCTTCTTCCAGAAGTTACTCTTTGTACCATGATTTCAGATCCATCAGGACACTTCTGGACAATACATGTATGAGATTCAGCACTACACTAAGATCTATCATTTCTATCTCTAACAGCATTCCTTGACATTAGAGCAGAAAGAAATAAGGCTACTTAAGTTTGTGAATCACAGCACAATAATAATAGATTATTATTGCTGCATGCATTCAACCAGCTGGCATTGGCTAGTCAAGTCTTCAAAAAGCAGCATCCAAAGTACAACAGCCAGAACAAGCTTATTTCAGGGAAAAGTAGCAGCAACAACAACAGAACCTTGAGTGCCAGCATAGCAGGTAATTGTTTCAAAGAGCGAGACAGACAAACTGTCTAAGGAAAAACAGTAATGGATTTGGGAAGAACAAACAGGAACTTGGCTTACACAAAACCTCTGGAATGTAAAGGTAAAAACTCATGTGGAAAGAGGAGGTTTTAGAAGAATATGTGCAGATATGCTAGCGTATTACTACAATGCTAGAAAGGGAGACACACTTGTTCTTCCCTCTCCTTGGAAGCCATCTCCTGCAAGACCAATAGCCTGGTAACAAATACACTTGAGATATACTTCTTTTTAAAAGGTTCATGAAAACAAGATCAGACTTACAGCTTGTCCATTTGCTTCATAAAGTGGGCATTTTTGTTTGATCTTTGCCAATTCCATATTCACTTGTTTGCTGACCACAGCCATGGGATTTCCTCCTGGAAAAGATTTTATATAGTTAACAGAAATTCCTGCAAAATTTGTCTGCAGTTACATAAAAACTCAACAGTTAAAGCTATTTCAGACATTAAAACATCAGCTCCAGCGACCTAGTGTAACACTGTCAAAGGTGTGCTCTTCACAGCAATTCCCGCAATGAGGACATGGAAAAAACCCTGCTAACCAACACATGAAGGACAGGATGTAAAAAAGCGTGATTTTACAACAGAGTCCTAGAGTGGCAGCAACCTTAGTATGACTGAGGGTTTATAGCTATAAACACACCTGCAAGCAGGGTATTTGAAAAGTCAGGGAAAGCTCTCACAGATGCACAGGAACTTCAGGAGCTTTTGCCCAAGTGTGGTGACACAGAAATGGAACCAAAAGAATTCGGTCCCTAAAAACTCAGTGGAACTCCAACAAGTGACACTAGTGAATACAATCTGTAGAAGATGAAGCTTAAACACCAACTGTACCTTGAAGCTGTGTTAACTAAACAAATTAGGAAACATCTGAGGAGATTCCACAACTGAACAATGAGAAAGGCAGAAAGTAACAACTTTAAGCATCTCAAATCCCTAAATATCAAACTGAGTACAGCAGAAGAAAGGAAAAGAATAGACACAAATGGGAAACGGTATAGAACAGAAGCAATACAGGCTTCCTCCACAAAATTAAATTTGGGAAAAGTTTTTCAGGTCTAGATTTCCAAGAGTCTCTGATTTTGCAACCCGATTGAACTCAGAGTGTTTGTTCAAAATAGAGGGGGAAGCTCTTCCACCCTAATACCTTCCGTTCTTTAGAGGTGACTGAACAAGCAGAAGACAGTTGAAGTAGGTCTAAATAAGTTCCAATTTCTAGTTCAACAACCTACTAAAAATTACAGTTCTTCCACAATTTACTATCAAATCCAGAAAAGATCGCATTACTTCAGTCTTTCACCTTCCCAAACCACAAACTCAACCCCTTCAGTAACCTTCTCTCTTCTCTTGCTGATTCAGAAATATGAAAGATGCCTTTCAAACCACCTCCATCCTCACAGGAATCTTTCTTCATAGCATATGCTGCCTCATTCAAGACAATGGGTAGATTCTTTTAGAAAGGAAACGAATGGGTTTAGAAAGTCACAAATGGGTTACCATTTATGGTTGAGGTTTGAGACCATCTAAGAAACCCTGAATGTGCACAAGTCCATGGGACCTGATGACATTCACCCGTGGGTCCTGAGGAAGCTGGCAGTGGATGCACTGGAGGGAAGGGATGCCATCCAGAGGGACCTGGACAGGCTGGAGAGGTGGGCTGATGCAAACCTCATGACAACAAAGCAAAGTGCAAGGTCCTACACCTGGGTCAGGGCAATCCCAGACACACCTACAGTGGGGAAGTGATTGAGAGCAGCCCTGCGGAGAAAGACTTGTGGATAACGCTGATGAGAAACTCAACGTGGGCCGGCAGTGTGCGCTCACAGCCCACGAAACCAGCTGTGTGCTGGGCTACATCCAAAGGAACGTGGCCAGCAGGTCAAAGGAGGGGATTCTCCCCCTCTACTCTGCTCTTGTGAGACCCCACCTGGAGCACAGGGCACAGTTCTGCTGTCCCCAACATAAGAAGGACACAGAACTGTTGAAGCAAGTCCAGAGGAGGCCACGAATTTGGTGGAGCACCTCCCCTACAAAAACAGGCTGAGAAAGTCGGAGCTGTTCAGCCTGGAGAAGAGAAGGTTGAACGGAGACCTCACAGCAACCTTGCAGTATCTGAAGGGGTCATACAGGGAGAGGGATTGTGCCTCAGGAACTGCAGCAACAGGACAAGGAGTAATTGGTACAAATTGAATGAGGGGAAATTTAGGCTGGATATTAGGAAGAAGTTCTTTACTGTGAGGGTGGTGAGATACTGGAACAGGTTGCCCAAGGAGGTTGTGGACGTCCCAAAGCCGGCAATGTTCAGGTTGGATAAGGCCTTGAGCAACCTGGTCTAGTGGGAGGTGCCCCTGCCCATGGCAGGGGGGTTGGGACTAGATATCTTTAAAGTCCATTCCAACTCTTTAACATTCTATGATTATACGAATTAAACATAAAAATAGTAGTTTTCCACTAGGCAACCTGAAATTTCTTTTTCTAGGACTGTGCCATTTAAGTCTTTTGTCTGGAACCAGATTCTGTATGCAATGTAATAAGACTAATCACAAGACAGACACCAAGTTTACGCAGTCAGTAACTCAGTTTTAGTATAGATTTTATATTATTTTATTATCTCACTGCATTATTGAAAGATATTCCACACTAAACACCTCCGCATCTTCTTAGCAGAGTAACCACAGCAATAACTGATGCCATACCATAAACCAGCAATAAATAGGAAAAAATACAGCTTGTTTGCCATTACTTTTACAATTATTTTTTAAATCACTTGGAGAAAGTACTTTTGGGGTTTAAATTCTGAAGACAGGCTCTAATCTGCATTTCCCCTCCTCCCTTGTTTTTCAGTGTAAATGAAAAAACACATGCCATCTCTTCGGGGTCACTCCCATCATACAGCCTTGCTACTTATAAAAAATGCTAACCACCAAAGAGGCTGAACTAGAACATGTACTTTATAATAGTTAAAAATACCCAGTTATTTTGGCCAGGAAAGAAAATAGCATTAAGGTTTCAAAATTGTAACATCTTGTCTTTGTTTTCCTCCCCACTCCTTTTGATTATGAAAAACTCACCCAGTCCTGTCACCACCATTGCTCCCAGATCAGCAACGTAGTTCCCTTTGCGAAAGGTGGCGACTCTTCCTCCCACTCGGTCCTTTTAAAAGCACAGTACAATAAACCTCCAGTTACAGGCAGCAAGACATCTCACTGAAATATAATCATTGAAGCTTCTACAGAATGTGGTGCAAGTGTTCTCTTAATCAAAGGTTCTGAACGTACACTGTTTCAAAAACCACTGCAAATGAACACTTGAACACAATTGGTTCGTGTAAGTTAAGGAATAAAGTGTTTAAGTTGCATTTAAAAAAGAGAAGGAACAAAAAAAGCAAATAAAAACAGGAAAAAAAAAGTGCCTAATCTGATTTGGGCAGATTTAACTCTATCTACAGTAGGATCTACTCTGATTCCAAAACCAATCCTGTATTGTCCATGAAGAAATTAAATTACGTATAAATTTCCTCCTTCTCCTACTTTCTACTATTAAAATTCAATAGCTATATAGGAAATTATTCAGCTGTGCTATCAATTAAGAAGAAAATCATGAATCAGCAGCCCATTTTGGAAGCTAGAAAAAAAATTTTTATCCTTTCACATCCTACTAAAGATGATACTTATTTCTCAACCACTTTAAACTTCATAGGAAAAAATATCACCCTTCCCTATTCTCATCCAGCTAGCAGGATGGTATCAGAGAAAAATATTGGTTACAAATGGGCAAAGATCCCAGACAGCTACCAATTAATATAAAAATGTTAAGTTTGATTTTTAGTAATTAAGTTAGCAGTTCAGAAGCATGTAAACTGATAGTCTCAAAGCTATAGAAAATGAGTAGAAATAATCAAACTATCACTCAAATCACAGAAATCATAATGCACGAAAACACCAAACTGCATTAAAAATAAAACATACAGGCTACTCAAGGAGAGTAGTCTAGAGAAAAATGGCTGAAAAATATCATGCGTTATTATAAAATAGTTTTATGCTGGATTTACGTACTGTAAATTAAGTATTTACTTAAGTATAACCAAGATGCACAGAACAAAAGCTAGGTTACAGCATGAATCTCTTAATTCCAGCTTCAAAAAAACCTCAACCAACCTCAAAACTCAAATAAGCAAACAATAAACACCTCCCGCCCCCCCATCAGACATTCAGGTGAGCAGGAGACTCCTAAACCATCAGACTGTTGCACTCTACTTTCTGCAGTGGTGTGGCACAGTCAGCAGCTCTGCTCCCCAGCCAGAAGAGCAGTAACAATATTAAGAGCCTGAAACATTAATCTTATAATAAAAATTTGAGCAGATTATTTTAATCTTTGCTATAAAAGTGTGAGAAGTCAATGTACAACCAAAAGAAGCCAGGAAGTAAAACATAAGATAAAGTCCAATTGGTCAGTGGATTTAGTTTAACTGTGTATTGAGCTATTCTCAATTTGATTAATTACAAGAAAAAACTTCAACTTAAAAAAAAAAAAAAAAAAAAAAGATATTCCACTTCTGTCTGGATATGAAGAATACCTTATTCCTGAAAGAACAAGCAGTTAATTCACATACCACAAACTGTAGCCCTATATAATTTTAAAGTCTCTGTTAAGCACACAGTAATAAGCAGGGAAAGAAATGTAGACTTAAAAGTTACAAGAAAAATATGTTGCTTGATGTTGTAAAACAATTCCAAGCAATGATTCTATTTAACAAGCAAGTTCTCAAAATACAGACTTGCATTCTGCTTTCTGATGAAAAACGAATTTCTAACCATGAAAGGAAGAAGGTTTTAAGCTTCTCCTGGTGTAAGCACACAACACTAGCACCTGAGAAAGCATCAGACAGCTCCCAGCAAGAATAGATCCACTTGCTGCCCTGTGAGACACGTTCAGGATCAGCAATCCATCCCAGATGGATGCTGCCTGGAACAGCACAGACACTTATCCACCCTGGGCACGTGTCTGGGACACAGCCCTGTGCTAGTACGAAATGTGGTTACTGGTTAAGTTGCTATATTGAAGTAAAACAGCACAGAAATTCATACTCTGGCTTCCAGAACTGTGACATCCATTCCAAAACTCTGCAACTGGCGAGCTGCTGCCAACCCAGAGACTCCAGAACCGATAATGATCACCTTTCCAGTCTTCTTGGCTAAAGAAAGGAAAAAATCAGCTACAGTGATGCTCTATATATGCAGTCCTAGATTGCAAGCAGTTATGTTAAAATTTCATTTAAGAGGCATGAAGATCAAAAAGCAGCTTCCTTCTCATCAGTAGCTCTGACAGAACAAACTATAGCAAAAAGAAAACTGAGTACTGTACTAACACTTAATTTTTTTTGATGAGATACATACAAGAAAGATGCACCAGTAGTACATCTGGGACAAGGAAGAAAACAGGAGGAAAAATACTTCTGAAGGACAACCATCTGAAGAAGAAACTGATTCTTATTAATTACTTACTGATTCTTATTAATTATGGGACAAGTATCATAGTTTCATTTCTTTCTGCCCCAGAAGAATAAAGTCTAGAAAGGGCAGAGAAGTTCACTTGCAAAATTCAAACATCACATAAGCACGTAACAGATCTAAGTACAATATTGTGTTTCTGACTTTAGTTATTCAATCGAGAAGCAAAGATAACTCATTAAACAGTGACAGTCACCAAATGATCTAAAGAAGATTTGACATAATTTCTCCTCTCAATTTATGTAAGTACATGGCTTCTCCATGCCAAAACAAAACACATTAACATCTATAGCCAGTTGGCTTTCCAGACTTTTATTTTCCTAGCACTGCAATTCTAAAAAAAAAAAAAACCCACTCAAAAATTTGTCCTGAGAAATCACAGAACAAAAAAACACAAAACTTCAACCAGAAACAATGTTCAAGTTTCTTACTTGGAAGAGGCTTCACTCTTTTGTAGATCCCAAAGTTGATCAGCCCATGCCGCTCCAGGTAGCTGTGAACTCTGTGAACGAGCACCGTGTCACCTAAAAGAATGTGTAAGGTTTTAAAATTATTCTTTATGTTAAACAACATGTATGGACTAAGGACATATTCACAGCAGTAACTCAGTCAAGTCCTGCTGAATACATCGCCTTCCGTAGCCCTGCTGCCCTAATGACCAATCCATCTTCCTGAAGGTGCCTGAGCCTAGTTTTTCTGGAAAACACAAGCTGTTTTCCATGCTGTACTGCAGTTTAAAGTCTTGCCTGAAAAGCTGCACAGGACATTAAATGCTTCTTTTAATCTAGTGGGAAAGAATACCTTTTCTGAAACTGACTGCAGAATCCTGAGATCTTGACACAGAACTGTGATGGGATTTACCAATATTAAGCTAACCCCTTACTGGAGCACTGAATTCTCATTTTTATTCTTAAAAGTACAATAATTCACTCTTTTGCAATCCCTGACAGTTGTATCTGTGTTCATTTCAGTACTATTTTCTTCTTAGTTTTTTTTTATGGCTTCCCTCTACTCTTTTCCAGCTTACTGAGATCTTATTTGAGACAGGTAGAATAGTCTCAAGAAAGCCTCAAGTATTTGCAAGCAGTAACTTCTCACTCTTTCATCACATCCAGTCTGCTCAAGTCTTAGGCAACTTTTTAATGCCTCCCAATACCCATATGATTAATAAAGTCTCACAGCTGAAAACCAACTTGAAGCTGTAGCAAACCTTAAAAGATGCATGTGAATTAACCCTGCAGGAAACTTCTGTAATAACCCACCTTTTTAGCAGCTTTTATGAATCCTGGTAGTGGTATTTCCTTACCAGACAAGTGAATTCCACCAAACCTGAATCATGAACATAATGCACTAACACAGTCTGCACATGAACACTCACGGAGCTGCATTAACAAACGACCCATCTGAAGCAGCTTTTCCCCAAATAAAAGTGAGAGAACAGCAGTACCCATGGGACAATTTTGGCAGTGAAAGATTTGACTTACTATTATAAGGTGCTTCTAATTGTTGGATAGTTGCTTCAAACGTCAGCTGAATCTTTGGGTTATCCAACCAGAGCTGCAGCTGTATTTAAACAAAAAAGATGACATGTCAGATTAAGCAATAGAAAAGAGGTGTTTTCGAGGTGTGTGTTTGCTACTAAATACTGTCAGGAGATGAAATCCTCTAATGAGTTAAACTTTGGCAGGACTACCCAAGCTGCACTGAACTTCACCTCAAAGTGTTCCTTAAGGTACAATACAGTCTACTTGAAATTCTCACACCATTTCAAGTAAGTGGAAATACACCAAGGTAGCATAAAGATGCGTGTCACTGACATCATCAGCCAGCATTGTCTTTTCGGCATCAAATTTCATATTTTCATAAAAGCTACAGCAGTAATTGTCATGTTACAAGGTTTATCTTAGACATTTAATCATTCAATCCATCTTCACCAATGTAAGACACTACCACATATACACAAATTACACATATATACTGGCCACATACACATAAAAAGCATATTTAGAAGACAGTTACAGTTCAAAAATAGAGCAGGAAGAACTGTCTGTAAAATGTTAATGTCACTTCACGCTAGGAAAAAAACCTGTTTTCCCAACAGAACTCCTACTTTGTGGTATGGAGGTAGTAGTTAATTAATAATTGTACTGTTCCATGCCTAGATCTAGGTCATACATAGCATCTCCACACCATTTTATATTCCAGAATTAGTAATTTTTGGAGGTATTTCTCTACAGTTGCACTACTTAACTTTACAGCGCCTCACAGATATTAAACAAATCATACAAGTATAATGAATAGGAAGGATTAAGAAAAAATTTCCATATAATTTGGGAGGTCACTTGAGGCAAATTTCATCTTTCGTGCAGTACTTTCTTGTACTCATTTTCCCAGTAATTTCTAACACTGCTTTTTCTAACAATTTCTGAGCGTGAAACTAACAGTTTCCCAGTGCTACGTACCACAGTGCTAAGGCTCCATTCTCAGAGGGAAGAGTGCAAAGCCCTTAATGATATTTTTATATATAAATCTCTATGTATGTATATATACAATTACTTCCACTTTTTCTACAAATTCTGATTTTTAGACCCTCTACAATCACAGAACAGCACAGGCCTTAGAAGATTTCAAAGGCTTCAAACTACAACTGCCCTGCACTGTCATGACAATAATTTATACTACATTCTGCTTTGTAGATTTTTCATCATCTGTTTTAAGTCACAGCAATTTAGCAAGAGCTTTTACTGGTTTGGGTTGGGCTTTTTAGTTAGTTGGTTGGTTGTGGGGTTTTTAATGTTATTTTGGAGTGGGAGGGATTCACATAAAAGATCAAATTACTGACTTCCCTTTGTAAAAGCTACTGTAAGCCTTCAAAACTGTATTTTTACTTACCAGATCATTCATTCAATTCTTGATTCCAGCTCAAAGTAAGAGATTGTACACTGCAGTTCCCAGCACTGCCAGAGCTCTGCTGAGCACCAGGTTCACATCAGCTGTTCCATAACCCCTGCTGTTCTCCCTGGAGGAGAGCCTCTCACAAGCCTTCCTCAAATGGGATTCCTGCTCAGGAACTTCTCCAAGTTCCTCCATAGTGAACAAGACCCACAGACCAGCAATGCTGGTTTTCCCTGCAAATACTCCTCTCCAGTAATTTCTTAGTTTCAGTGGAAGGCTTTTCTGCTTCTAACGCCTTTGTAAAAGGATTACTCATTCTTCGTTTTGAGAGAACAGTTTTTCAAACTCTTTGGCATGCTTTGGTCTGTTTTCACACATTTCATAACTTCCCAATATTTACAACTTGGGTTAGAGGGAAATTTCAAAGGAAAAGCATGAAGATGTCCACCACATATAACTTCAAGTTACTAAGCACTGAGTGCTACCAGGGTCAATACACTGGGATGCTCCTTGATCATCTTAAGTCTGTGAAAAAAAATGAGTGGTACATAAGGTGTTTTCTCCCTTAACTACAGCAATTTTCAAAATATTTCTTGCTGTCATACTGTTAATTTTTTCTAACATGACTAAGTTTTCTAAAACACACTTTTCAAAATAAAGGAGAAAGTCCTGATCCCCGTTAGTATGCTGAGGACCCTAATAGTGTTGTCACAATCTGCAAAACAGAATACTAATATTTAAGTTTTGTTAAGGTTTAAACTTCAGGCATGTTTGGCTGAACTCAAGTGAGTGAACTCCTGAATAATTATTTGAATACTGCCCCTTCATTCTTAAGTTGCATGGAAGTTTTGAACTGGGGCAGAAATGCTACAAGCATTCAGAAGTAGTTTCATTTCTTCAACACTACAATTTCTTTTATGAAATCAAAGCTGGTAAAATAACGGTTCTGGTCTGAGAATAAGCCACATGATTGGCTTGATGTCTCAGAAATACAGCAACTGAATGCTAAACAAAGTAAAAAATAAAAGCTTAGAGGTTTGCCTTAAGCAACAATGTGTTTCATTATTATTTTTAAGTAATCTACAGAAGCTTATACTTTAAGCTGAAACCAAGTAGTAGAACATTTGCACCAGCTTTCTGTTCCTTTTTAAAAACTGCATCAACTGAATCATGTAGTTTGCTATGACTGTTTTGGATACTGTAAATACACTACAGATTCTTTATGCTGCCTCACAGCACTGCTTTGATCAAGAACTGGATAGCAACTTCCTTAGCAACTTAGAGCATGACAAGATGCCAGAAATTAAACCCCACCATCTCAAAACAAAAAACAGTCTACCAACTGTTAGACATGGTAACTGACAAAAAGTCTTTGCAAGGTACACAAATGTCCTACCCTTTTTTCATCAATACTTTACAACAAACTTACGGTGCGGTTCCTGATGTACAGAAACACCTTCTGAGTCTGCTGTGGCCCACTGATTATATCAGGGAAGCAGGCAGCTTCTTGAGATGTCATACGGTCATGTGGAAGTCTACTCTGGAAAGCTGCACCCTCCACACCTACAATAAAAAGACAAGTTGTCTACAGGCACTCTAAAGGAACACCACCCTTCCTAGCCAGTGCATCCAGCCGTGAGGTGCTGTGGTGGTCAATTTCATATCATGCTTTCAATTAGTCCTCTTATTCACTTCTGTAAGACACACATGTTTCCAAGTCAACAGTTCTTTGAATTACAGGTATCATCTAGAGTTAATAAAAAAGCTGGACTATGGGGGGAATCAAAAAACAAACAAAAAACTCCCAAAAACCAAAGCCTGAAAAGTAAGTGGGGCAGGGCACATATCAATATGTTATATATAACACATATATAATATCAATAAAATGTAACTACATCAAACTACTTTTGATGCTGTCCATAATTTGTGTGGTTTCCAATTTCTAGCAGAATTGGGAAAACATTTTGGAACCTATTCAAAGCCAAATATCTTGAAGAAACAAGCAAATGTCTACTGTACCCCCTCACCTGCTTCTCAAGGTTTAATTTGCATTGACCTCCTCCAGCTAGAGAAACCCACCTTAACCTCTCTTTTTGCGCATTTGATATATTCACATCATGTAGTGCAATGAAATACAATCACACACATTTCCTGTGCCCCCTCCCAAGTGCTGTGTACACTACAACTGCAGATTTCTTACTTTTCCTTTTAAATGCTCCACATGTAAAACACTGGCGCTGAACCTTTACAGGAGAGGTTTTCTCTAGGGAAAGCCTTCATTCATACAGGCACCTGCACTTCTGTCAATTCACACACTAGCAATGAAGTAACTATAGTTCTGTACCCTGCTTTCCTCAGTCTCTGGGACGTTTTACTTCAAAGTAACAAACTAAGACACAACTGCATCAAGTGCTACTAGCATGAGTGAAGAAAGCACACCTTGCAGGCACAGTGAGCAAAATGAACTGAGATGTGAAACACAGCAAGAACAATATCAATCTCCCGTGTCCTAGGAAGCGACTTACGATCAGGACAGGCAGAGGAGAGTGCCTTCAGTCTGGAAAGATAGAAACCAATACATCCCAAGGGGAAAAAAAATCCCACAAGTAATGCAGTAAGATTAAGATTGTTTACCGAAACTGGAATTGTTCAAAGGATTATTATAAATATCAAAGAAAATACAAGCTTGCAGTGTATTACAGTAATCAAGAGAACTCTCAGAGAGTTTGAAGTTCCCCTGCAGCGGTACATGTAACTTGATCAGGAAGAGAAATTATCTTCCTCCAGTTCTGGTGCCACCACACACTCCTTTAACTTTCAAGCTTTTTACATTCCAAAGGTAATGAAAAAAAATTGAGGAAGGAAATGGTTGTGAAACTAAAAAAATTCGCTCACAAGTAAAGATCAAAAGATCTAATTGTGTGATATCTCAAGGTAAAGAAAACTGTCTGTAATCCAGGAATTTTACAAGAGGAAATTAGTAACAGAGGCTACAGAGCACTACAAGTAAAATTAACCATAGGAGAAATTGCCACACCCAGAATGCTTCTTGCACTGATATTCAGCTATGGAATAGAAACCTACAGCTCTGCTAGAACTTCAGTTTCTCCAGTAATAACCATCCCCCAGCCCCTTTGCTGTCCTTCCATCTAACACTGGCCCAAGCGTGTCAACCTCTGCATAGAAATGCATATGCTCAACTATAAATCCTGTAAAACTGAGCATGGAAATCAAACCAAAGTTACCAATTTTCTGATACTTCATTAATGTTAACAAATCTTAACTAGGGTTCTAGATCCTCAAGTGCTAGCAAAAAGCTCAGCAGCACAATTTCAGAGAATGGCCAGTTAATGACCTGAAATGCTGAATCTGACTCTGTCTTACAGACTTGTGCTAAAAGAAGTGTGCTTCTCTGGGTACCTGCTAAAAAGCCATGAATCATAAACAACCAGGGAACTCAGACATGTGGATTTAAGGCAATTCAGTATTTTCTTGAAAAGCTTTGGGATTTATTTCTTCAAACTGACCAGCCAGAGATTATGGTATTGCTAATATTTTTGTAAAGAACACCAAGGTGGGTTGTGGTGTTGTTGTTGTTTTTTTTTTTTTTTTTTTTTTTTTTTTTTTTTTTTTTTTTTTTTTTTTTTTTTTTTTTTTTTTTTTTTTTTAAGGCCACGTCTTTCATGGTAATACATGAACTTTAAAACAAAAATGTCAGAATAGGTCCAGATGAGCCACTGGTATTTAAGAAAAAAACCCGAAAAACCTAACCCACAATAGCGTTTGATACAAGAATTTAGCAAAAACATAGCTATTAAGAGCAAAGATATAATTTTTATTTGGCCAAGCGGTGGAAGATCTTGTAAGAATCAAATGTCCTTGAATTTACTTCTGCAACTACACAGCTCAAAGCTAAATGGATTTGGATTTCAGGTTGCTTAAATCCCACCCATTCCACACCTCTATTGCTTGTATTCCATGAAAGCAACACATTACAGGGAGTACCAGTTCAGAACTACACGTGCTCCTCCTTGGGGTAGGCAACTCTAACACTGAAGGAATGGCTCTGCCTGGACTCAGCTCCTCTCCACACACATTCGCACACACACTTGCCACTTCCCGACATTCAGCATCAGGAACTCATGTGCTGAAGTTTTGATTATCTTCTTCCTCACAGAAGAGATTCTGAGGGATGTTGCTCATTTAAAGACTCACTGAAACATCTGCAGATGAAAAACACTCTGAAGGAAAGTTTTCTGGCCAATGAATTGGACAATTGTTAAAGCATACTCTTATCATATATACAAAATGCAAAATATGCAGAATTTCCAATTAGCAAATGCCTGTCTATAAATGAAATAGGCAGTGCACCCTTAAGCCCATGAGCCAGCAGTTCTGATTAAGTGGTAAGATCCGTAACAGTACTTGGCTCCCTTACTTAGAACAGCAAAGGATGTACTTTTAGATGAGTATCCCGAAGTTCTGTTTTCTTCAAAAAGAGCAACTTGGATGTACAGAACAGGTTATAGAGCCTTTGACTCCTTTGCTTAACCCTAATCCTGAAGTGAGAGCAAAAGCGGCAGAGTCGGAGAAGATTTTCAGTAGCATTCCAAGTACTTAAGAGTTAAGACACCAATCCCGTGACTGAAGCAGTAAGTGCGTACTGCCAGCAGCAGTACTGAGGCCAAACGGCAAATGCAATTCACAATCAAGTCCAGTGAGCTGCAGACTACGAATGTGTCCAGTAGATAATCTCCTGGACTAACCGCTGGCACACAGTTCAAACACAAACCCTTTCAAAAGGCAAAAATAAAGGAGCAAAAAGGTACTCCATGCTACATTTCTTCAGCAAATTAGAAAAAAGGTCTTACTGTTCTAAAGCCCAGGGTTCTCTCTGTCAGTCGAGGTGGTATAAACTGGCTAGGTAAGAAATAGCGTTTTGCACGTCTGGACTCCTCTGAACATGGAGAGGAGTGGAGGGATGAGAGATCGGCCTGAGGCATTTCAACACAGGTTAGCTAGTGCCCTTTTTCACAGTTGTTATAGTCCTCAACTGAAATCTGAAAATACCCTTCACTTTTTAAACAGGTGGGTACACAACTCCTACATCTCTTGCTAAATTTGGGACAACCACACCCATGCGCACTTGCAAGCATCAATCCCTAACCTGGCGGCTCTTGCTACTCAGTGGCAAGCATCAAACGCCACCCTCACCTGATGCTTGGCCGTCTCCATACCCTCCAGAACTGTCGTCTTGAAGTCCTCCTGCTTGCCCTGTGGAAGGAAAGAGGAGAACTCAGGGACCTTACTCCATAAGTTAAACCACACTGGACATAAAGGCCTGGCAAGTTGGCGTTGTAGGTATTAAATTTCACCAACTAACTAAACCCATTTTCTGATAATCCCATCTTCTGGAACCTAGATTCAGGGCACCAAACTGTGATCTTCTAAAGTGTTATCTGTGTTACTGGGAACGCTTTAGATAAGATTTTATGGGAAATAAAGAAGTACTCAATATGTAGCATTCCTGGTGGCTAAATATTTATAATCAACTTCATTAATGGCTATGATTTAAATAATCAGATCACATTTCTTACTGCCAAGCTGGATGGATACCATCAGATTCTACAGATCTAAAGCCCTAAGACCATCAGATTCTACAGATCTAAAGCCCTAAGAATTTGATTAGCTTGCCTTTGGTGCTCCCGAGTCTCCTCATATGCAAGGGGATAGTCTGAGCCATTCTGAAAAACCTCTTACATTCAGGAGAGCCTATTCTTAATGTTTTTGTCATAAACCCTTCCTTGAAACTTGATGCCATAATATTGCTTTAAAGGTTCAGATCACTTATTTTGGCTTCAGTGCCTTTGATACACCATCAATGTTCTAACATACTAAAACTGCCTCTGAAGCCAAGTACACATCAGACCATTGATCAGTGCTGTGATCAATACCCAGCACTGAAAGACATCAGTCTTTCAACATACCCAGTGACAGAAACATGACAAAAGGCTAAGCACTCATCTGAAAGATCTGAAGAAGTCTCAGAATTACCTTAGCCTGCATGAAAGTCCTGAACAGCAGCCTTTACCAGACCGCAACACAAGCAGGAACAGAGCACGTTGAGAAAAGAGATGAGTACAGCTGCAGTGTCTGGCAGGAACAAAGCCACTACAGGTCACCTCACACACTGCTCACTTCACAGGAGACACTAGCTTTGGGTTGAGCTCATGGGCAATATTCCTCCACAGTCAAATGTTTGCCTGGCATCCTGTCACCTGCAGAGCGCTGGAAGCCACAGCACACTCCAGAGATTGCCATGTGCTGTTCAGCTGGCTGCTGCTGCACCAAGGCTCTTTCAAACCACATGCTTCAATAGTCAGCAATCCCAACCCAACCCCCACTGAAACACACTGCTGCAACAGTCACTGGAGTGCAACAGGCACTTCCTAGAGCACAACTGCTCGAGGTGCCATCTCCACACAGGTAAGAGCAAGGTCTAACCCGTGGCTAAACACACTCTTTAAAAGAGTCTGGGACAAGGTGGACAATTTTGCCAGAGTGTAGTTTGAGGCTCTTAGGGGATACACTAACTTAGAAGAATTTCATCTGAAGTACAAATTTAACCCCTAAAGTAAGACAGAAAAAGTGAACCAGATATTTGCATACTGTGATAACCTGTATTAACATCTAGAATGTCTCCACATTACACATCTGTAAAACAAAATAGGAATTGAAACAAGACAGACATTTTCACTCAGCTACAGCGGAGCAATAGTCAGTACTTGTAGATAATCAGTCGCCCAGCAGGAAAATTCAAAAACTCACAAGAGAAACTGTGACAAATAACTGTATTTTGAAAGGCCTTACAAGACCCAAAGTCAGGATTCTATGAACCAACATATCTGCAACAGCAAGATAAAATTCTCTACTTGACCTGCACTGCAAGTATTTTATTTTGCTGGGAGCATTTTAAGACCTGCTTTCATTCGAGCAGAGACTAACACAACTCAAACATTAATATTTACACTCAAATCATAGGCCATTAATTTGCAAAGTTTCACTTAGGCCTTCCATAAATTAAGAAAGTGAAAAGATGCTGACATCAGTCTGTGGAATTCTTTATCCCTGAATTAGCACTGACAAGGAGCAGAGAGGACAAAATTGCTCTCAGCTTATTTACAGAAAGAAATCTGTATTTTCCTCTTCTCATGAGTATTACTGCTTGCTTGGACACAATTCTAAATGCTACCCAGTCTGAGCACAGAAGTGTGCAAACAAGGCCTGCTAGTGAAGATTGGCTCTCTTTCCCTGGAAGAAAGTCAGGTTCTAGTTGCAAAGGAACAAATCAGCAAGCAAACTGCTGATCCACGATAACATCACACTATTGTAGCTCCACAGTACGCATGCAAGTCTCAAGGCAACAGAATAACAGACCATGAGCTGAAGAGTAGTCAGGAAGACGGTCCGCAAAGGAGTCCACTTCATACAATTATCCCATCTCAAAATAAAAAACAGCTGCACACGAATATCACAGAGTATTGAACTTATTTAAAAAACCAGACAAAGCCAGATGACAGAGACAGAGCACCACTAAGAATGACTATTCACTTGAGGTTAATCTCGATCATACTCAGTTCCTTGGAAAAGAGAAGCTAGGATTACCACAAAGTAAGAATACTGAGCACACTAAATGTCCAAGAGTTGATAAAGAATATCTTCAATAGTAATAAAAATAAAAATCCAATTTGGTGAGGAAAAACAAAAAACATCCTTAGAGGAGAAAAGCAAAAGTAGTAAGCTCCTTAATTTCAGAAGGGATACTGGCAGACAAGAACACAAATGTCATTCAGCACTGAAAGGGAATTTGGAAGCCTTTTGCTATTAGAAAGCATTTCTCGAGTAAAAAGAGAAGAGAAAATCTAAGGAAATTATATTAACCATGAAATACTGTCACACCTTTTAAAACTGCTCTGCAACAGCAGGCAGTAAATCTTGCAAATCCAGACTATAATAACGTATATAGCCTATAGCAAATCCAGACTGTAATAATGTATATAACACCTGGAATTCCCCACAGTTGAATACATCAACAGGACCTACCTCAATAAGACCAGCATTTCACTCTCACCTGAATTGTGACACTTAGTAACCTACTTCACTGTAAGCTGTCTGTGGGGACAACCTAATGCAGTGCCAGGCACTGGCACCAAGACGTTTGTGAGTTGCACAGTCAGGCTTTTCAACTCTGAAGGGCATAACCTATAACATGACACCTTTACACCTCTACTGCATTTCCTGTGTTTTTATAGGCTTTAAACACAGAAAGGGAAATTTTAAGGTCTGCAATGAGAATAAAGTAACAGTAATATACAGGCTAATTAAAATTCTGCTAAATTTTCAATGTGCAATCCTACTCTAGTATTACTGTCCAATTTAGTGTTTCTTATTCAACACGTCAATTTTTGCTTCAAAGAGACACAGAAAGAGAAAACCTCAATTATAAACACTGCTTTTATATACAGCAGACTCCATGACTCCTCCTTCTAACAGGTGCCTGAATTAGAGGTTTCAATGCACTTTAACAGCCAGCATAAGATGACCTGATGCTCTTGACACCTGCATTAATAAAGACAAAGATAGAGAAATCCACAAGTGTATATAGCTTGTATATCAGCCTTCAAAACTACAGCAACACTAGCTATGGAATGACACCTGAAAATTTGTCCTTTTCCTGCTTTTCTGCTTCATGCATATCACAGAATTTCTAGGAACAGAGAAATTATATGATGACCTGAAGTCAACTCATTTCTAGACAGTTAGATAGAGCCTGTTTGAAAAGTGATTGTATTTAGATGGCTAAATACAGTGCTTGCAGAATAACTGCTTAACAGGCTGTTGTGTGTATAGAATAGCATGACTCATCACTGCTCTTATCTTCCACATTTCTTCTTTCATGGGATAAAACCTAATTCACTGTACTTCACCAATTATGCCTCAAACAGATTTCAATAATCATTCTTAGAGGTATAAAATGGAATCTGAGAGAAATAAAAAATGTATTAATATTAGGTCTCAATGATTAAACACAAGGTCTAAGCAAAACTAAATAGTATACTTAAGATGCTTGCTTAATTACATCTATTAAAGTTCAATTTTTGATACATCAGCTACAACTGAGGGAGGAGGGTTTTTATTATTGCAAATATTTTAGTCAAGCATATCAGCTATAGTATTCCTGTATCAAGGCAGGAGCCAACAGCTGCAACAAGGAGAGGTTACAAAGGGAAAAGCCTAAGAGATAAAACACAACTGTGACTTTTAATAATTTTTCTGCAACTAAAGTTATGTATCCCCAAGCCAATATCAGTCCTATTGCCTACATTCTCAAACCTGCCAGATAAAAAGAAAATTAAGAGTGCAACTGCAGACTAGCAGTAATAAGTGATGAATCAGCAAAGATTCAACTACTAGATTTCAGCTCTGCTCCAAAACAACTAGCACATGTTATCTCATAAAATCTCGGACTCTGAACTTTGTAAAAGCACCATCTTGTAGACACCTGAGTGATGCCTCACCACCAGACCTCACGAATGATGGGAGCTGTAAACACAACAGAGGTAAGGGATAGGGTACTGCTACTACCACAGATTTTGAAAGCTGCCTCCTGACCAAAAAACTTTTAACTGTAAAGTGAAGCTCTGTCAAAGATAATGAAGAAAACACTGAAGTTCAAGTGAACAGTATTCAACCAGAACTTAAGATTAGAGTCATAGTTTAAAGCTATAGGAATCACAGTATACTAAATTTGTTTTTCTGCACGGAATCTCCCCCTATAAACTCAACTTTTTCTCTCTCAGAGTAAGTGAGTGTCGCTACATGAGCAGGTGTGGCACCAGAGAGCCAAAGAGGCTACTCTGGTCAATAAGCTTCCAAAGACAAGTCAATAAGGATCATGAGAATCTAGTACGAGTTTGGCTTCATTTGGAATTAGATTCATGCACATTCTCAACTTTTTCAGGCTGCTCTTCTGAGTTTTCCCTCTCAGGAAAATGGGGAAAGCAAATAAAACACTGTAGAACAATCATCTGAAACTAGATCAAACCCACACATGGAATTCATGATGATGCCACACCTGGCTCTGCTACATTTCTGTTAATAAACTAGGTAAGCAGTGTCAAAGGAGAAGGTCTCTCTTTACTCACCAGATGGCTCCTCTGGCTCACTTTCATTCTCTTCTTCTGCAGGAGCTGGTGGAGGTGGTGGGGGTAGTTTTTTCTCTTTCTCAGCTTTAGCATTTCTCTCTTCTTCAGAGTAATACTCATCTTCTGACAGGTTTGCAAGACTCTCATCCATCTCTCTGTACTCCACCTGCAAAAAGCACAACAGAGAATAAACACACTGAAGGTATCTGTAAGGTGGGCTACAAAAATGAACACTGCAAATAACAAAACTGCTTATAGATCAAAGAAAAGGCTTGTTACCTTATGCAGTCTTATTATAGATACCAGGTTATAAAGTGCAACAAAGCTTAACAAGTTCCATGTTTTCACCTCCACATAAAAAAATGTCTCCAGTACCCAACAGTGGGAGCTTTCTACTCACATCAAGCCCAGTTTACCTGAATTTGTTGTATCATCATTTAAAGCCCCTCTAGTTTTCTTCCCTTCCTTCATGTCCCTGTCAAACCTGGGGATAACAAGCTGCCTCTGTGTCCTCATGTTCCAACTTGACTTTATCTGCCAAACATGGGTGACCAGAACCATACACAAGATTTCTGAGGAAATCCCACCTGTGTCCTGTACAGTCTCCTGGGAATCTTGTCCTGACACAGAGGCTCACAGCTGCCTCCTTTCCAGGACAGTTACACTAGTGGCTCAACACCAGAACAATGCCCTGCTCCCACCTGTTTCTATCGCCATGCATGTTTTGTACTGCTCTCCAGTAAAAATAAATAGTATTACAGCCAAAAAGATGCTGCTCCAACTTAAAGGAACAGGGAAACCTCAAAAATAGCCTGGAAGGGATGCATCTCTTACCGTTTAATAAAACAAAGTTCCAAAATAAGAAAGGTTTGTACAATGCTATTGAATATCCCTATCTACTGGGAAGGAAAAAAGCACTTCTCAACATGCAGTCATGGGAAAAATAAAAATAAAGCAGCTAGTGACCCTCCAACATCTGAGAGGTCAGTTTCCACCACGAAATGACAAAAGCAACTCTGCATTTCTCATTAAAAGAACAAAAAATCTTTCATAGCCCAAGTTCAGTCATTAAGAAAGGGCAGTAACGGGCACAGCTCAAAACACAACTGTGTTTCTTTGGGAAGCCTTTGTACAAGAAATCCTGGATTCAGTAAAACACTAACACATACTCCATGATTTGTTCTCTTTTAAACATTTACATTCCACAATCTCCAGCACATTAGTTTTTCCCACTGTTGAGCAAATGTTGCACCACCAGGACGTTCTTCGAACTCCACTCTGAAGCAAATTACAGTGACCCTCCAGCACATCTGTACATTACCACAGGTATTTGAAGCCACATTATTTTTGCACAAAGGCCCTCAGAAGTCTCCCATCCCCCCTGAGTTCACAGAGCTTTCTAAGAACAATCAAGTCCAACAAAAAACCTAAGCTCTTCCCTAGGTTTATTTTTAACCTGGGTACCCCCCCAACTAAATTCACACCACAAACATTCACGGTAAGGCAATCTCGTACTGGGCTGAAGTGCTCATGGGGACAGAGGGTGTCACAAGAGATGAACAACCCTTTGCAGATAAGTACTGTCAGTGCAGAGAAACATCATCAACACACAACCCACACAGAGCACTAATTCCTTACTTGTTAACAGACCACTACAGAGCAGGAATGCTGCTTCTGAAGATCACAGAATGGTTTGGGATGGAAGGGACCTTCAAAATATCTCATTCCAACCCCCCTGTCATGTGCAGGGACACCTCTCACTAGACCAGTTTGCTTCAAGCCCTGTCCAACCTGGCCTTGAACACTTCTAGGGATAGGGCAGCCACAGCTTCTCTGGCCAGCACCATCCTCATAGTAAAAAATATCTTCCTTATGTCCAAGCTACAGCTACCTTCTTTCAGTTTAAAACATGCACCAGACTGACCTACCCAACAGCTCCTGTGTGCAAATGACCAGTCCAGCTATCGCATCACACAATGGCTCTGAAGAGCCACACATTCAATACCACAGCTACAGGACAAAACAATTCGGAAAAGTAATTTCAGCTTCCCTGCCAAACACCCCAGCTGTGGGCACAGCTAAGATCTTCAACATCTTCTGAAACAAGGCTTCGAAGAAAAAGTTTCACAAAAAAAAGACAGCGTTCTCATATGTTCAGAACAATAGATGAGAGTTACATATTACAGACCCAAATTACTGGAGACTCGTTACGATTGACTCAGCTCACCAAAGCCAAGAGAGGGAAGGTGAGGAACAGTGGACTGAGCGTGGCCATCACCTTCGCAACCTTGCAAAACCAGCACAGCCCCACGAACATGAGCCTCCAGAGAATCTGCATCTATATACTCCAGTGACAAGAATGTACTGATTATATGTAAGCTTATGAGCATTTGGATGCACTGTCAGGGACTTGGAGTATTTTCACTGTTCGGTATCCGATCAGGAACCCCAAAAAGTTCCTGGGTTGCTGCAAAATGCTCTCCTTTGTGACACGCACCGTGTCACACCATAGTCCACGAAGAGCTGGGACACCACGGGATCTGGACCGGCACAGCCTTCTTGCGCGCCCTCGTGTTTATCCTCCGAACTCACCCCCTGAACCCCCTCGGGCACAGCGCTCAGCCCCGCGCCGGGCCCGGTCCCGCGGGCAGCGCTGCCCCGCGCAGGCCGAGCCCGCCTCCGGCCGCGGCTCCGCGCCAGAGGGCCCGGAGCGCCCCACACCTACTTTAGCCCGCTTGCGGCGGCTGGTCCTGCGGCCCTCGGGGGTCTCGGCGATGCCGGTGGTTTCGGCGCCGGGCGCAGGGGCGGCCCCGGTGGCCGACGGCTCGGACACCCCGCCCGGGGGCGAGGCCCGCGGCGGCTCCTTCTTGCGGGGCGTGCGCTCCGCAGCCCCGCCGCTTTCGGAAGAGGAGCCCAGAGCCCCCGTGGTGGCGGGCGGGGGCACCGGCGCCTCCGGCCCGGTCTCGCCGCCCGCCGCCGTCTCCGCGCCCTTCTTGCCGCCCGCCGCCAGCATCGCCCCGGCAGACACAGGGCGGACACAGGGCCGACAAAGGGCCGGGACAACACAGGGCCGCACAAAGGGCCCGCCCCGCGCGTCACATCCGGGCCCGCGCACAGCGCCCCTGCGGCCCGCAGAGCGGAACCGCGCCTCGGCCGGGCCCGCAGCGCCCCCGCCCGGCCCGCAGCGCTGCCGCCCCCACCCCCGCCCCCACCGCCCCGGCCCGCCCCGCCCCGCCCCCACCGCCCCGGCCCGGCCCGCCCCGCACACACCGCCCCGGCCCGCCCCGCACACACCGCCCCGGCCCGGCCCGCACACTGCCCCGGCCCAGCCCGGCCCGCACACACCGCCTGGCCCGGCCCGACACACTGCCCGGCCCGGCCCGCCCGCACACACCGCCCCGGCCCGCCTGCAACACTGCCCCGGCCCGGCCCGCACACACTGCCCCGGCCCGGCCCGCACACACCGCCCCGGCCCGGCCCGCACACACCGCCCCGGCCCGGCCCGGCCCGCACACCGCCCGGCCCGGCCCGGCCCGCACACACCGCCCCGGCCCGGCCTGCCCCCACCGCCCCGGCCCGGCCCGGCCTGCCCCCACCACCCCGGTCCGGACCGCCCAGCACACACCGCCCCGGCCCGGACCGCCCAGCACACACCGCCCCGGCCCGGACCGCCCCCACCGCCCCACCCCGCCCAGCACACACCGGTCTGGCCCGCACACGCGGCTCCCCCCCCCCCCCAGCTCGCACACAGCAGCAGGACCTCCCGGCGGCCAGAGCAGCCCTGTGTGAACACATGGAAGCTATTTCATCATTGAATCACAGACTGATTCCGGTCAGAAGGGAAGCTCTGCCTGGAGCACGGACAGGCACACCTTCCACTAGACCAGGTTGCTCCAAACACCATCCAGTCTGGCCTTGAACACTTTAAGGGATGGGGCAGCCACAGCTTCCCTGGGAAACCTGTGCCAGTTGAGCCCCACTAAAGAATTTCCTCCTAATATCTGATCTAAATCTACCTTCCTTCAGCTTAAAGCCATTCCCCCTTGTCCTATCACTCCAGGCCCTTATCCCCAGTCCCTCTCCAGCTCTCCTGGAGCCCCTTTAAGCACTGGAAGGGGCTCTAAGGTCTCTCCGGAGCTGCCTTTTCTCCAGGTTGAACACCCCCAGCTCTCCCAGCCTGGCTGCAGAGCAGAGGGGCTCCACCCCTTGGAACAACTCTGGGCTCATTCCAGAAGGTCCATGTCTTATATTGGGGACCCAAGTGCCGGAGGCAGCACTGCAGGTGAGGTCTCACCTGAGCAGAGCAGAGAGGCAGAATTCCCTCCCTTGCCCTGCTGCCCAGGCTGCTGGAGATCAGCCCAGAACACAGGGGGTTTCTGGGCTACCAGCACACATTGCCAAGACATACCAAGCTTCACATCCACAAAGCATTAAAATTTTAGTCTTCCTGTCACCTTCCAAGGTCTGGGAATTTTCCTAACCATGTCCTCTCTTAAGTTTCTACCTTAAACAAGCAGAAAAAGCTGGTGAGGTAGGGAATGGGAAACTGGATCTCCAACCTTTGGGCAGGACACTGCTGATCAATGCCCACAGATGCCTTGGAGAACTGCCAGAGATGTTCTGTTCTGGGTTCCCTTGTCTCAAGTATTTGAACAGTATTTGCTAAAGATAACAGGTAATTTTCTTGCCTCTCTCCTTAAAACTGGTAATCCCTTGGAAGGACTGATGGCTGGTCCAAGCAGACCTACCTTGTCATGAAGCCGGTTTGTACTGGCTGTGTAGACACTATAGGAGTATTGAGGACCTGGAAGGCAGAAGCTGCACAAGAAGACTCAGGGGTGATTTCAACCATTCTCAGGAAGACAGGAAGCAACTGGAGGCTGTAGGTCTGCAAGGTGTAGATGATGTGTTCCAGATGTCTGCCCAGCAGGAATGTGAGCAGGCAGGTCAGCAGCACACACTGACAATTCCAGAGCTGAGAGGTGACTGGAGCAGAATGGAACTCTTGTTCAGGAGGTAGATACGAAATCTACAATCTACAAGCTACAAGAACTGCAGAGATCTACTCTAAATAGTGACAAGGAAGAAAAGGAAGTAACAGGCAATTGCTGTAAGAATGCTATCTTTGCCTGTAAGCCAAGTATTCCATGCTTCCATAGGTACTAGCATTTCCTTCACCTTCCCACTTTAGTCTCCCTTTTGTTTGTGTTTAGCCAAATTTCTGAAATAACCACAAAATTAATTTTTGTGTATAATTTTTACCTAATGGATGAGACGAATGGTTTTCTCAGAGCACATTTAACATGTTTTCCATAGCTTTAGACCAGCCAGCATCTCATCTCATTCAACACCTGACACATTTATTCTTCTGAATTTACAGGTTCAAGTTAATCTTTTTATTTTTGAGGGCCATTTATCAAATGCAGTTAACATGACAAATATAGGCTTTCCATATTTGTAAAGCCAAATCCTAAATCCGTATCTACAGTTTAGCTCTGCATTTGCTGGGGTATAAACACAATTAGAATAAGGCATACAAAGGACTTTGCAGCAACATCTTGTTGCATCTAAGACATCATCATGCCCATCATCTTATAAGGTATTTTTCCTTACGATCAGGAAAGGAAACAAAGCTAACAATGAAGGATCTAAGAATACTATGACATCTGAAACAATGGCAATTTGCTTTGATGACCTCTCTCTTTGTAGAGAGCTGAGCAAAACTTCTTAATTTACTGCAGATAGAAAACCTAATTTTTATATGGAGTATGAGCATTCAGACTGGTCCAAAACATTTGAATGCACATGCAAACTTATATTTAACTTCTATCTTTTTTTCAACAAAAGTAAATTTAATTGCATCTTTCATTAGGAAAGTCAAGCCGTTTCCACAATTACTCACTTCATTCTTCACTAACTGATGTGGGCAAACTGTTTCCTGGGCTTTTTATATATATAAGAACAATTTTTATACATAAGAACAACGACAAAGAACAAGTATTCTGGCACTGCTATTGGAACTGGATTCATATTAATGGAAAACCCTCCATGGAGTGGATGACAAACCCTCTCAGAATGAAAGCTTGGCTCTGATACACTGGCTGAGCAACTGGACACTTCCATATACACAAAAAATCTAGGCAAAGAACAAGAGAAATGGAGGACCTGAGCTGTGGGAAAGCTGTTAACCATCCCATTTCCAAGCAAAAGAGAGAACAAGAGAGAATTAGCATCTTTCTCTAACATGTGCATGCCATTCTGATTTCCTGTAACATCCTTCCACACCCCCAGCAGCACAGTGGGGAAGAGGAGCAGCCTAATCACACTATAATGCTACTAAATACCAACTAATGCTCATTTTTAAGGAAGCCATGGTACATTTCCTCAGTTGTAATTCATCCTTCTTCCCACACTTCAGAGAAAGGTTTTATTATGTAGCATTTTTCATTATGACAGACATGAATCCAAGAGAAAGGCCTGCAGTTGCATTCAGCTTTTTAAAACACAACACACTGACTGGTGAGTACAGATATCATTGTCACCCAAAGCCTCTTCACTGTGAAGAGGGTACAGAAAAAGGATCAAAAACAAGGTTCAAGGCATAGACAAACTGAAGAAAAAGGTGCTTTGAAGTCTACACTTGTTTTCCTCCCTTTAAAAGTCTATACTTGGAATAAAAGTCAAGGGAGGGGAGGGAAAGGTCTTCACCCAGTACTGTTTCTAAACTAAGTTCCACAGTTTTGTTTTTGTTAAAAAGAAGTAATTTATAATTTACTACCTGTTCAGGATTCTCAGATCTGTGGTGCTGTTGTTAACAGTGCACTTAATTGGCATTATCAATTTTTTAAAAAAAATTAAAAAGCAGCTCTGAACTTTGCTTCTGAGATAGAAGCACTGTCTCTGAACCAGCAATGATTCCTGTCACTCTTGCTTTGCATCTTTCAAGGCCTGAAGTCTTTCTAAAAGGGGTGGGTGGGAGTAATGCCACATTGAAAAGATCCAGTCAGAAACAGGGAATCCTAAATTATCTTTGTTTAGCTTGATCAAAGCAGAATATAGGTCTTTAGCCTTCCCAAGTTCCTTGGCAAATGCATCTGCTTGAAACTCAAACCGTCGGCTTAATACAGTCAAACAAAATGAAAGAACCTGTGGAGAGAAATGTATTAAAAATTATCTTAAAATTCAGCTATCTGCAAATTTCTTACAGTAAATACTACTATATCTACCTTCCCACATCCCACACATCACTGTGGCATTAGAATGATCTCACTAAGGTTTATCCAAGCCACACCTAAAACTGGGAGTCTTACTCAACATGCAGCACTAACCCTGATTATTAAAACAAGACACCCAATATGGCCCCTAGAAGCTTCAAACTTCCCCAGTCAAAACAAAATCATTATTTAAATAGGATGATACTTCAGCGTCTACGTCTTGAAAATAATTTACCTCATTGTAAGGTGAAAAAATGAACTGGAAAATAATCATCAAGCCTATCAGGGTAGGCTGGGTGTCATAGAAACCAAATGCAGTAAAGAGTTCTTTTCGGCCAATTAGCACAGCAAACAAGAAGAAGCAGAGGAAGGAATTCATCTAGGGAAAGGAAACAACATTCTTGATTAAGACGAGTCTACATAATATCACATTCCATATTTGCATAGGAATGCCACTGTAAATGATTTTTGAACTAATGTACAAAGAGGAACAAACAGCTGGTCTTTACCTGCTTTCTGAAAATGCATGCAATAAAGAACCATTATTTTCAGTCAATGAGCAAAAAAATAGGCTAAGTAATGAAGGAAGATGAAAAGGTAAGAAGAAATTGAGGAGGGAGTAGAAGATAGAACCCATCGCCTTGGAATTAAGCATAGGTTCTAAAAAGTTTGAAGGCAAACAAACTGCGTCTGTGCTGTGCTGTACTTCTTTTGGTGGAAATAATCTATGCTTCCATCTAAGCCATGCAGCCCTGGGTACAAGCACTGGCTTTTCAGAGCCAAAAGGCAGGACCAAGCCTTACCCAGTTCTCCAGAGAGGGTGGTCTGTACCTTTTCAATCTATCCAAGCGTCTGGTCTTTTTACAGTAATGTGAAAGGTGCTAGAATACTTTTTGTTATTGAAACATAGGGAACAGAATAGAGGGGTGACTGTGACAGCCAGCAAACAATACAGAAAAAGCATAAGACATGGCAGAAGAATTTGTGAAAAATTTCTGAAAGTGAGGATAAAGTCCACCTATTACAGCAAAATAGTAGTATCTAGAAAGTGGATCCAAAGACAAATTACATGAGTTAGGAAAGCAACAAAATTACTGTAACAGCTGTTAGCAGAGATTAGTGCTGATGTCAGAAGTTGGAAGGTAATTGCCTTAAAGAAAGCAAGAAGAGCCTCACTGAAGTGTTCAGCTGCACAGGTAAGAAAATGCCAATGTGGAAACAGAGATTTTCTTAAGCAGGAGTTTAACTGTGATATTTATAGCCTGAGAAACTTGTGAATAGCCTTAGAAAAAGAACAGAACAGCATTCCTGGAATGGTGCAAGCATCTCAGGAAAGACATGATGGAATTACAGAAGGTGCTTGGAGGGCAGCTAAGAGAAACAAAACAGAAAAGGCTGAGAACTTGGAGAAAAGCAGGGTGAGTGATACCTGGAACACAGATTTACACCAAAGCAATTACATATCTCTACAGAGATTACTTCATTATTCACCTCCATTTGGGCAAGCACCAAGAATGGCACAATGAAGTTATTTATCAATAATTAATGCACAAGGTGTGAGAATACAATATAAGTAAGTAAGAATGCCCTCCTGTGTCAGATTTCCTAATCCTCAATCACATTCCTTCTCAGCTCTACAAGGAATGAGGCTGATAGAAGCTCTCAGACACATTCTGTAAAGCTTTCTCAGAGGTAAAGACAAACACCTAAAAAACCTCAGGCCTGGAGTCAATATTCATCTAAGCCTATCCCTAGCACAGGGATGGAAACAGACCTTCAGAGAAGGCCCTAAGATTCAAACAGACAAGTGCTACACAGCAAAAAAAATGTGTCCCAGTTTGTCCTGGTATCACCCAGGAAAGGGTTAATTTTTACAGTAGCCAGGAGGGGGACGGCCAGGACCCAGAGGTTATTCTCTATCACCTCACATCACTGCCACTGGATATGGGGGGAAGGGAGGTTCTTCTGAGAAGAAGGTGTTCCTTCCAGTCAAGAGATTTTGGAAAGGGAGCCACCCAGTATTGTCTATTATTGTTTTGGGTTTTTCTTCTTCTTTTCTTGTACCCTCTGTCATTAGTATTGTTGCTGATACTGTTCCTTTTCTTATCTCATTGCTGTTTTCAATAAATTGTTCTTATCTTAACCTGTGATCTTTGTCTTTTGTGCCCCCAATTCTCTTCTGCAATCCAGCAGCAGGACGGAGGAGAGGAAAAACAGGGGAGTGACAGGGAGCTGTGTGTGGTTTGGAACGTGTTGGTGGGGGCACTAATTTGGGGAGTACCTTTCCTAAACCTCAACACAACTTCAGAAGGCTGCAGAGATGCATTGAAATGGCAGCAGACATGCTTTCTGACAAGCTTCCTACCAACCACATGAAGCAAGGAGGGGACTGAAAGGTGAGTGCATATTCACTGTAGAGCAAGGGGAAAAAAAAACCAAACCAACAACTTTCTGTCACAGACCATATCAACTGAATGTACACTTACAAATCTGGAAGCAAGTAGACATCTGGAAACAGCAATAATTACAACATACTCTGGAAAACACTCCAGTTTAAATAACTTACCTGGCTGATGATAATATTTTTAACAGTGTGACCTAGTTTCCAGTGACCCAATTCATGACCAAGTACAGCTAGAACTTCTTCATTTTTACATCCTTGTTTCTTATTCTGAGGGAATAACAAAGCAGAAGTAATATCAGCTATGACTGAACACAACTGAATAAATTTCTTACTTGATCACTTAAGTGTCCCTAGGTCAGGCCATTCCCTTCTAATAGCAGATACACACACAGAATTTCTTATTGAGTCTTTTTCATGAAGATACTTACAAAAATATAACCTTTTAAGTTCAAGAAGATTCCTACCATGAGGTGGTGTTCCCTTATTTCTATGTATGCAGACATGCTGATGAAAACCTGGAAGAACTCTGGAAGATTTGCCTTCCAAACTCTCTCCCACCATCCCTTGATTTCATCCTGTTTCTTTACTCAAGAAAAGCATTACAATGGAGGCAGGCATTCAGAGCTGCAGACTTCCAGAGAGAACTGAGAGCAAAGCCCTCTCCCTACTTCCTTCAACACTCAACATGTAGCCTTCCTCCCAAGGCACCACTGTTCCTCTAAAAAGGAATGACAACATCCCTGCCCTCGTCAAAAAAACCTTTGAAATGCCTTAAAGCTATCATTAGGAAGGACATCTGCACCTTCACAGGTACATCAGTAAGTCAAAAACAAGCACAAGGGCTGAAGAACCTGTTGAAATGGAACAAATGAGTCATTATAACTAGATCAGGTGAGCCCAAAATCACCCATTTCTGCAGTTTTTGCTAAACCAAATCCTGGACAAGGAGAATTCCACCACCCACATGGTGCCAAGAAACAGAAGTTGGTCTGAGCAACAATCTAGACATAGGCCAAACCTTAGCTGCACAAGCCATTTGTTTTTCTCAGAATTACTCCTTCAGGTTCTTCAGAAAGTATTCCATCAGCTTTAACCATCCCCATTCTCTCCTGAGTCCACACCAGCTGTTAGAGCAGGCTCCTGATGGAGAGGCCAATGCCAGGCCACCAACCCCTTCTTGACCAGGGTGGTGGGACAGGATGCACATGTGGAATCTGTCTTTGTATGCTCACGTGTGTTCCTCCTGCACCAAAAATTCTGTGTGCAGGAAAAAGCACACAAATGACACATTGAGAATCAAAAGCCTTTTCTGCAAAAGGAAGCTTTGGTGTGGCAGTTCCAAGAGAAGGAACACTAACTAAAACCCTGAACAGGTCCTTTATTCAAACAATTATACGGAAGGTCTAGTTTTTACATGTTTTGCTAAAGGCCCTGCGGATTTTTCGTGTCCCTTTGGTGCTCTAACAGCCCCAGAAATTCCAATTAGCAAACCAGGAATACTTTGGTGTTGAAATCATTAGGGTTTGGGTTTTAGCAACCCACTCAGAACCTTTAAAGTATATTAGAAAGCACAAGGGAGTATCTCACCAAGAAGTTTATGTAAATAACAAGATGAAAAACAAACTCACTTTGATTTTAGACTTTGTTTCTTCATTCTCACCATCTTCTCCTTCTGCTGGCTCTTTGTTCAATGCAGAATAGTCTTCCAAGAGGGTGTCAAAGAGCACTATCCGTTTATTCTTGAAGAATCCGTAGAAATAAGCATTGCTATGAGAAGAACGCTTAGAACCTGATGGGGAAAATTTACATTAAAGATCATGATCTGAATAATCCCCTGCACCAAAGCCTGTGCAGCACGACACAGACCAGACCCCTCTAAAGGAATTCCCAAAGTCCCCAAATGAACAGTAGACAAACTCAGGCAAATCATTTTGCAGACAGAAGCATATTTTAAAATCTAAGTAATGACGACTCCAATAGAGAAATGTAACACTAAAAGCAATAAAACTGTAAAGCAGTCATGAAGATCTAATATCCAAGAATAAAAGCAAATTCTATTGCAATTTCAGATTTAGACTGGAAAGAGCTTTCTGCATTGACGTTGCCTCCTGGCAAAGAACCTCTGCTAAATAATTTACAATGTGCCAGCAAAGACTGGAAACAGATGAAGATTTTACAAGAAACAAATAAGAAAAAGATGAAGAGATGAAATTACAGGTAACATTATTATTTTTGTTTGAAATAGGACATTTTTTACAGCTACCTTTAGCTAGATCAGCGCAATCATGGACTGTTTCTACCATCAATACACCTGAGGCCAAGAATCTCATCTCTTTCCATGGAATGTGGATGGTTTCAGTTGATTAAAAAGTTTTTTTTGACTATGGACAGAAGCTGTTGCAACATCAGGACTGAAAGATGTCTCTGTGAGAGCAGAGGTGGGGTTTTTTTGCAGTAAAAGGTAAGTCAAGTTGAAGGCATTTGCCTTCAACGCTCTCTATAAATGTATGAGCTGTATAAATCCTTTAGAAAAAAAAAAATCCACTGTTCCACTAGAAGCCAAGCTGTGGGATGGTCATGATGACCTTCAGCACCAAACCAAGACAAATTGACAGAGGAAGGGACTGGTCAGAGTATGAACCCTCAGTATCCAGTCCCTTCTCAGTGAAGAAATCAGAACAGCTCCAGGGTAGCAATGCTTCCTTTCATCTGCGTGTCATAAAAAACTTAATTCTCCACTAAGTGTTGGTAGAGAAGGAACCTTTGTAATCTGCCTCTTACAGAATGAACCCTGAAATTACAGGACTTGGTTGGACATGCTACCAGGAAGTCAGTTCTGGAGTGTGAAGAGCCAAGACAAAGTTCAGAAAAACACTGGCAAAAAGATGTTCACAAATCCAGTCCCCCATGTCAGAAAGGAATGATTCTGGCTCGTCGCTCTTAAGGATGCTTCCCAAAAAAACCGGGGGGGGGTTGGAGTTTCAGCAGCCTCCCTGCCAGACATGCTGGAGAAGCCAATGCAGCACACTGTACAGGAGCTGCAGTAACAACTGGCTCACAGGACTTTCACTATGGCTAAAAACTGGGATACAACCAGCAGTACATTTGAGAAAACCTCTGCACTGACTCTCAATCTTGAAAAGCTTCAACTTTGCCTGAAAAGAGAAGAGTTTCCTGTGCCCCAAGTGTATCAGCAGTTCCCAACGGCACTGAGGCAGAGCACTCGCAAGATTTGACAAGCCCAGAGTTTAGAACATCACAGCTTCCTGGGGAGATAAAGCCCTCACCAGCCTCTCTGACTGCAAAATGCTACCATTTTAGCTCTTTATGTCATCTCATACTGGTTTCACCAACTCAGAAAAAAACACCTCTGAGCCTCACAGGTGGAGCACAAAACCAAAATAAAATTTGGAAAACCCCTGAAATCAAGTTCAGACAGGAACAAAATGAGTAATACTGGAAATGTCAGATAGTAAAATGCTCTGTGAACATGGAAGCGGAGAGGAAGTGACATGGCAGCTGGCACATTCCATACTCCTCAACCTAAGAAAAAAAGACAAGAAATTCAGTACTAGAAAGTGAAAAAAATTAGTCTCAAGTTGGAGGTGTAAGTCTATCCAGCCACACCATAAGAAACCATACCTGTGAACAATTTTCGAAGAAATAGGCATTTTTGACTTTCAAGACTTTTTCAACTCTTTTACCAAGGACTTTGAGACAATTAATACTAAACTGAGACTAGGAAAAAAAGGTCTTCCCTTGGTTTTACAGTTCTAAAATTGTAATCTTGACTACTTTCCTGCTTCCATTCCTGACTGAGCCACGTACTTCCATTCTACAAGAGCCAGGTTAATGCTTCCAAACAGAAGCTGAGTTCAGGCTGTACATTCAGCTTCACTTTTCTGACATCAGGCCAAAAAACAGGAAAATGCTACAGACGTTGACAAGTACCACAGTATCTGAACAATGCAAGCAACTGCCCTACTACAGCATCCACGCTCAAAACTAAAAAACCCACAAACTCAAAATTATAAAGTCTTTTTATTCAAAAAACCCCAAAAAATCTCACCTTCAACAACATACACCTTAGTCAATGGGAAGTCAATGCTCTTTGCCATTGTTTCAATTTGTTGCTTGAGCTCTCCCTCCGGAAGTGGAATGAATTTATCAAACAAAGGTGCAATATAGTCTGCATAGATTGTAACAAGCACCTGCAAACACATGCAGATATTAAGAATGGGGCAAGGAAATGTGTGTTTAGTATTAAAGGTGGAGCGTAAGTACAAAAAGAGGGCACAATTTCAGAAAGAAAACACTTGATAAAGCAGAGTCCTGTATGAAGTAGGATCTATGGCCAGGGTCTCTATGGACTGCTTCTCCTGGTGGCAGGTCTTATGTTCTGCAGTTCAGCAGCAGATGCTGGGGCAGCTGCACAAACCACCTACAAACCTCGGCAGAACTGGTGGGAATAGTGCAGAAGGCAAGGCCACGGGCAGCTGGGAGCAGGGGGCTCATAGGTGACAGGCTGTCACTCCACACAATTCACCAATCCTGGAAAGCTCCAAAGTGTTTCATACTGAGCCGCGGAGCTGAAGGATCCAGGAGACAGCCTCACTTCTTCCAACTCCTGCTAACTTGCAAAGACACAGTCCAAAGAGACATAAGACATTTCATGTGCCCATTTTCTTTCCCTCCTTCCAGCTGTCTGCAGGGCTAAGGAATTGCCTGATGCCTCTGGGTCCACAGTGATAAACATCCTTGATCCCCAAAAAACCAAATCACCACAGTGCACCTGCATCTCTTCAAACTGGCATCAGCTGCAGCTTAGCTGAGCAAGCCAGAACTAGAATAACACTGTGTTGGGAAGGAAAGCTGAACTTCCTTTCCTCACACTCTGGACCTTCACAAAAGTGATCTGTATTTATTTATTTTAAAAGTTTAAATTCTGGTTAGCAAAAAAGGAATAAGACATGAGAAGCAAATGGACATCAACATTAACTTTGAAGTTATCTTCACATGTTTTATTTCACTGAAAACAACTACCTGGACTTTTGACAGTGTGTACACTGTTGAAAAAGTTCAATGAAATCAAACACCAGGGAAACTGACTTCTGCAAAGTCACAGCATGTGAGGATATCAATATGAAGGGCCAGTAGAAAATAAGTTATTTTTATTACTGTAACTGTTAAGGGCTTAAACTTCTGCAGATATTTTGCAGCAAGCGCAGGAGGGTATTTCATAGAGCAGAAATCAGCTCTTTAGGACAGACCAGTCTCAGACCATATAGCATGTAGGGACTAATTTTAAGTTTTTTTATCTCAGATCTTTGTGTAATGCCTTGATATCAGCAGACTGGTAGAAGGATGCAACTCTAACTCTGATTACAGAATCTTGGAGCTGGAATTTTTCCCTAAACCAAACTCTAAAGGGTAAACCTAACACCTCTTAGGGTGATTTTGCATGTCAAAGGCTGTTCAAACCAACACATTAAGGCCTGAAACCCTATAAAGCTGCAGTGAGGTGGTAAGCCTGAGAGAGCACCAGTTGTCTGGGCACGCACTTAATCCATAGACTGAAGGGACAGCAGCATGGACAGCCAGGGCTGAGGGCCTGGGAGAAGAGTGCGCCACTAGGTATTGCTACATATTCTTCCAGTACAGGAACACTGTAACTCTCCCAAGACATTTTGTTTTCTAGCTTTGTTGTGTAAAAGATAGGCCGACTCCTGTTTTATCAGGTTCTAAAGTATCTGTAATACCTCAGGACAAAATCTACACTGATAGCTCAAGGGGAAGGTGCAGGCAGAGTAAAAATAAAATACTAATTTGTGATATGAAAGTGAGAGAAAGAAATATGGCATCAGCTGAGTATGTTCTGGTTCTCACCTTGAAATTTAGTGCTTGGTACTACACACCTACACCTTTTCTTTCTAGTAAACCTGCTCAATAAAGGCTACAAAAGGGCATTCGTATAACACTTTTTACCATCTGTATTTTAAGGAAAAGATGGCAAGAATAAATACACTCAATGACAGGTATAAAGGAGGTTAAAGAAAAAAATCTTTCCGTGTACAAATGAGGGCAGGCCATTTCAGAAAATCCTGTACCTTTCATTCTGAAACCACAACTTATTTTAAAATTTCAACTTAATCCTTATATGAAAAAGCCAGTCTTTAAAGCCTTAAAGACTAAATATTTAACATATGAACTGGATATCACATAAAGAACTAATATCCAATTTTGCAAATAATAAGGCTTCGCTGGAAAAGTCTGCAAGTATGGACTGTAAATTGACAGAGAAGTAACTCAAATGCTGAGATATAGGATTTAAGAGCATGCTGCTGATCAAAGCTTGCAAGAAAAAGAACAGTTCTTTGAGAACTGTTGCCTGGACAAATCTTTCTGTAACAGTCATTTCAATACACATGACCTGGCATTTTTGACACCTAACACTGATTTTTCAGAATATGTTCAGTGACAAAATAAGGGAAGATGTCAGAGCATAAGGGCACCTGGACTGGAGAAAGCAGGAGCCAGCACAACAGATCAACAGAAACACTAAATAATTAAGTCAACAAACAAAATCTTGAAAGAACTCAAAGCTGAACCTACCACCTAAATGAGGCACTTCTGTTATTACACTGTTGTCACCAAGCTCCTCAGAACACATGCTGGTGCCAGCACTGTGCCAGTTATGGCCACACAGAAATCTGTTGACCCACAGAGGTTTTACCTCACTTACACATCAGGCGTCAGTGAAGCAAAACTACTACTAGGCAAAAAATGCACTTCAGATAATGAGATCTGTATCCCACGAAAACAGGATTATGAAAAGCCTTTGCAGTCATGATTTAAACTGAGCCACAATTCCTTTTATGTTCCCATATCTGAGAAAGTCAATACAACTATAAGATGTGCAAGTGGGAAATCAAAGTTTCCTGTGTTAACTGCAGTGGCATCCCATGTAGCATTACAATCACGTTTCTGTACAGATGTGGCCATTCAAAACCTCTGCTTTAGAGAGGAATCTTACAAATTGAAAGTCCAAGAAAACTTCAAAAATTATCTTAATCTAGGAAAAAAAAGGGAGAAAAGAAAAATAAAAAGCAACACCTCCTTGAGTCATGAATGGGAAGCTTAAGAATCACAATTCCTACCCAAGTATTCCTGAAAATTTTCTTGATAGTGCCCTCCACTTCAGCCTGGAAGTGTGAACTTGAGATGAGAATCAGGGCTTGGTTGGTCCATATTTACTGTTGGGCTAATAAGGCAGCCTTTATTACATCACTGTAATGTAGTAATTCTTTCACTTGTTAAGGTGCTTTTCTAATCTAAAAATGAATGATTATATACAACAGTACTTGTATAATGTCTGCAATGGTTTGTATATTGAGCAAAAAGGCAGTAGAGCACTATGCTGAAAGAGACAAAAAATTCAGCCTTCAGAGCTCAGAGTAACAGCAAAAAGTTGCTTATGATGTATACAAAAAGATCCTATTATATAAACCCTAAACACATCAGTTCCAATTCAGTACAAAGCAGCTCTATACCAAGCAGTACACTGAGGGCTGTGTGCAAGAGCCTCAGGGAAACAGCTGATGCAAACACCACAGTCCAAAGTATGATCTGCTTTGTCTTGCCTAACTGCCAGTAGTTATCCTTGTGTCCTTCCTATATTTAAGGAAAAATTCATCACCACATAGTGCTGTATTTCCACTACCTATCCTAAAGCTTTTTCAATGATGAAGACACTCCGGTACTGAAGAGCTAAAATATATCACATCAATGTGGACAATTAATATGAGCTGTTATTTCTGAACAAGTACAACTAAAAGCAAGACACACACTCTGTTAATGTTTGATGACGCTAAAAGTCACACGAGATTTAGACTTTTCTCCATTTCCTTTCAGTTGTGCTCAGCATGCTGAGCCATGCAAGTAAGCTGGTGTTTGGAAGAAACCCAAACATATTCTCATACTCACCAAGGAAACAACTAAGGTGAAGAGCCAGGCATAGATGAAGAAGTAGTCTCCCCCTATTTTAATAATGTAAAGCAGAAGAGATGTCACTGGCAACAGAATACACTGAGTCACAACAAACTTCTTGATAGCATCCTTAAAAAAAAATCCCAGCGTCTGAAAAGAAAGGATAAAGAATATCAGTGATATGTCAATGCAAATATTAATGTGCCACTGTGGTTAATGAACTGATCCCTTCAGATAAGACAAATGGGAAAACAGTGGAGCCAGTGTGGTAAGGAAATGAGAGTCAGTCAGAAAAGCTGGAAGAACATTTTCAACTCCTCTGCCAGTGGCTCCTTACATGCACACGGACTCAAGCCCATGCACATGCTTTCTTCCTTAGTCTGACCCAAACCCTTATTTTGTGTTGCACATTCATTAAAGGAGGAAAGAAAAATTTAAGCTTATGTGTCCCTTACTTTCTTTACCAATCTATATCCTAGACATCGAGGGATTCTTAGACAATAAGAAATACTCAAAAAAGCACAGTTACTGTAAAATGTTTTGTCTTTCACTTTACAGTTGCCTCCATTTGTCTTAACTTTCAGTTACCACTATGGTAATTGTCTTAAGTGAAAATACAGAGAAACCCTATTATAGATTTTCAGCAATACACTGGGCATTTTACTCCAAGCTTCCACTGACATGGAGTTACTACTCAAGTAGCTGTCTTGGGCTTTAAAATTAGCATAACTTTAACAGAAGCAATAGAAATTTCAAAGACCTCTACCTGAATGAATCTAATCTAGTAACGCATCAACAAATTGGGAGGGAGTGTCAACCTACCAGAAGGCAGGAGGGCTCTGCAGAGGGACCTGGATAGACTGGAGAGATGGGCTGACTCCAATGGAATGAAGTTCAACAAGGCCAAGTGCCGGGTCCTGCACTTTGGCCACAACAACCCCTGCAGCGCTAGGGCTGGGCACAGAGTGGCTGGAGAGCAGCCAGGTGGAAAGGGACCTGGGGGTGCTGATTGACAGGAAGTTGAACATGAGCCAGCAGTGTGCCCAGGTGGCCAAGAAGGCCAATGGCATCCTGGCCTGCATCAAGAACAGTGTGGCCAGCAGGAGCAGGGCAGTGATCCTTCCCCTGTACTCTGCGTTGGTGAGGCCGCACCTTGAGTATTGTGTTCAGCTCTGGGCCCCTCAGTTCAGAAAGGACATTGAGGTGCTGGAGCGGGTCCAGAGAAGAGCAACCAGGCTGGTGAAGGGACTTGAGCACAAGTCCTATGAGGAGAGGCTGAGGGAGCTGGGATTGTTTAGTCTAGAGAAGAGAAGGCTTAGAGGTGACCTCATCACTCTCTTCAGCTACCTGAAGGGAAGTTATAGCCAGGTGGGGGTTGGCCTCTTCTCCCAGGCAACCAACAACAGGACAAGGGGACATGGGCTCAAGCTCTGCCAGGGGAAGTTTAGGTTAGATGTTAGGAAGAAATTCTTTACAGAGAGGGTGATCAGGCATTGGAACGGCCTGCCCAGAGAGGTGGTGGATTCACCATCCCTGGAGGTTTTTAAAAAGAGATTGGACATGGCCCTTAGTGCCATGATATAGTAATTAGAGTTGGATCAGGGGTTGGACTTGATGATCTTGGAGGTCTTTTCCAACCCAATCTATTCTATGATTCTATGATTCTCTGCAACAGGAGCAGACACACATCTAACTCTAGAGGCTTAATATGTAAAGATCTTTCCAACAAGGCTGTACTGAAAGCATATATGACTTTAAAGTATTTACAAACAAAACAGGTTAACTACAGCCCATTTAGCTCATATTTTAATTTTAAATCTTTCTTTACTTCCAGCTCCACAGTCTTTGGAGGAGTAGAACTAGAAAACTGCATGGTGTCTTTCATCTTTGTCCAGCATATTTCCTGCTTCCTAAGGCAAATATGACCTTGAGAAAAATCCTCATTTTCAGCCAGCCACTCCTATAGAAGAAAGAGTCTATCTGAAGATCAGTCGATAATCATGCTAGAAATGCTAGAAATTTCCATGTCTGGGTTGGTACCAGGTGTGAATTTGGCTCTTCACCCTTCAGTCTGAAATGAGAGATGGAAATCTGACTGTTTGTAAGACATTTGGTACCTCAGACTGAACTGGACCTGGACTGAGACTTCAGCTCTCAGCATGAGGAGCACAGCTGTGAACAAACACTTGTAAAAGTGCCATGCAGGTAGCTCGATCAAGCACTTAACCCCCACGGTCAGTGTCAAGTCTTCCTTTTCATAGAATCATAGAATAGATTGGGTTGGAAAAGACCTCCAAGATCATCAAGTCCAACCCCTGATCCAACTCTAATTACTATATCATGGCACTAAGGGCCATGTCCAATCTCTTTTTAAAAACTTCCAGGGATGGTGAATCCACCACCTCTCTGGGCAGGCCGTTCCAATGCCTGATCACCCTCTCTGTAAAGAATTTCTTCCTAACATCTAACCTAAACTTCCCCTGGCAGAGCTTGAGCCCATGTCCCCTTGTCCTGTTGTTGGTTGCCTGGGAGAAGAGGCCAACCCCCACCTGGCTATAACTTCCCTTCAGGTAGTTGAAGAGAGTGATGAGGTCACCTCTAAGCCTTCTCTTCTCTAGACTAAACAACCCCAGCTCCCTCAGTCTCTCCTCATAGGACTTGTGCTCAAGTCCCTTCACCAGCCTGGTTGCTCTTCTCTGGACCCGCTCCAGCACCTCAATATCTTTCCTGAACTGAGGGGCCCAGAGCTGAACACAATACTCAAGGTGCGGCCTCACCAGTGCTGAGTACAGGGGAAGGATCACTTCCCTGCTCCTGCTGGCCACACTGTTCTTGATGCAGGCCAGGATGCCATTGGCCTTCTTGGCCACCTGGGCACACTGCTGGTTCATGTTCAGCTTCCTGTCGATCAGCACCCCCAGGTCCCTTTCCACCTGGCTGCTCTCCAGCCACTCTGTGCCCAGCCTGTAGCGCTGCAGGGGTTGTTGTGGCCAAAGTGCAGGACCCGGCACTTGGCCTTGTTGAACTTCATCCCATTGGAGTCAGCCCATCTCTCCAGTCTATCCAGGTCCCTCTGCAGAGCCCTCCTGCCTTCTGGTAGGTTGACACTCCCTCCCAACTTGGTGTCATCAGCAAATTTGCTGATGATGGACTCAATCCCCTCATCTAGATCATCGATAAAGATGTTAAACAGGACTGGGCCCAGCACTGATCCCTGAGGGACACCACTAGTGACCGGCTGCCAGCTGGATGCAGCCCCGTTCACCAACACTCTCTGGGCCCGGCCCTCCAACCAGTTCCTAACCCAGCACAGAGTGCCCCTGTCCAAGCCATGGGCTGCCAGCTTTTCCAGGAGTATATTATGGGAGACAGTGTCAAAGGCTTTGCTGAAGTCCAGATAGACACATCCACAGCCTTCCCTTCATCTACCAGGTGAGTCACCTGATCGTAAAAGGAGATCAGGTTGGTCAAACAGGATCTGCCTCTCCTAAACCCGTGCTGGCTGGGTCTGATCCCTTGTCCATCCCGTAGCTGCTGTGTGATTGCACACAGGATGATCTGCTCCATAACTCTGCCAGGCACCGAGGTCAGGCTGACAGGCCTGTAGTTACCAGGGTCAGCCTTGCAGCCTTTTTTATGGATTGGGGTGATATTTGCCAACTTCCAATCATGTGGGACCTTCCCAGTGAGCCAGGACTGTTGGAAGATAATGGAGAGTGGCTTGGCAAGCTCTTCTGCCAGCTCCCTCATTACCCTAGGATGGATCCCATCTGGTCCCATAGACTTGTGAGGATCCAGGTGGCTCAGTAAGTCACTAACTATTTCCTCCTGGAATACAGGGGGGCTATTTGGTTTCCTCGGGCTATTTGGTTTCCTCTCTCTGTCTACCAGCTCCAGAGGCCAGTTCCCTTGAGGGCCACCTGTCTTACTGGTAAAAACTGAGGCAAAGTAGGTGTTAAGTACCTCAGCCTTCTCCTCATCTCTATTAACTATGTTTCCCTCAGAGTCCATCAAAGAATGGAGGTTTTCTTTGCCCCTCCTTTTGTTATTAATGTATTTATAGAAGGACTTTTTGTTATCCCTAACAGAAGTGGCGAATTTAACTTCAAATTGCGCTTCTGTATCCCTGATTTTCTTTCTGCATGATCTAGCTGTCTTCCTGAATTCTTCGTAAGTAGCCAGCCCTCTCTTCCATAGTCGATAAACTCTCTTTTTATCCCTGATTTCCTTCACAATCTCCCTGTTTAACCAGGCTGGTTGTCTTCCCAGCCGGCTTGCCTTTTGGCACACCGGTATGGCCTGTTCCTGTGCACTCAAAACTTCCTGTTTGAAGCACATCCATCCCTCCTGGACTCCCTTGTTTTCAAGGGTTGTTTCCCAGGGTATGCTCTGGACTAGACTTCTGAATAGGTCAAAATCTGCCCTCCGAAGTCCAGCGTAGAGGTTTTATTGTTGTTTCTCCTTGAATCTCTGAGTATTGAAAATTCTATTATTTCATGATCACTATTTCCTAGGCGGCCTTCAACCACTACATCTCCCACCAGCTCCTCTCTGTTTGTAAACAGCAGGTCTAGCGGGGCCTTACCCCTGGTAGGTTCATTTACCAGTTGATGAAGGAAATTGTCCTCTATACACTCCAGGAAATTCCTAGACTGCCTCTTCTCTGCAGTATTGAGCTCCCAGCAGATATCTGGCAGGTTAAAGTCACCTACAAGGACAAGGGCTGACAATTTCTCATTTGATCAGGCAGTGCTTGCACTGACAACAGTGAAGCACACAGACTGTGTGCTCCAAGAAGAAAATGCTCAGAGATACACCCAGAATACTGCTTACCCTCCCTAGAGCACACAAACCACATGAACTCTGCAGGCTCTCAAGGCACTTTTAAAAGAAGCTCAAGCTGTTAAGTGCTGTATTTAGCCCTCTCCTTCTGCACAGAGGTAGGACCTGATCAAGTTAAGCTCTCCATCAATCAGCTACTCTGCCGACTGGCTATAATTCCACTGCCAGTCTCTGGACTTTTGTGTGCTGAACATAAAGGGCTTGCAGATCCTGCACCAAGATGGAACTTACTCCTCACTAAGGTAGGAGAAGCAACCAAGGTGCAGGCCTGATGCAATTACTCAGGATTGACATGAGAGACAAGAGTAAGAGATGGCTTTTGATATGTTTAAGGATTCTGAATGTCAAAAGAATGTCTAATCTAGGCCAGAAGCAAGAACAAGGACTTTGCCAGACTTTACAATCTTTGAGGACTGCAGAACTTAAGTGATAAAGAACAATCCAAATACATTAAACAGATATTTCCCCTGAAGAAAAGATTGGTTGACTCATGCTCTGGAAACATGGGAACATTCCTTCCTCCCTTGCTATGAGTAGATGCTAGCCTGTCAGTGTGCTCACTGCAGAGTCTGTAGAAGAGAAGGGGATCCCCAGGACTGTGCCTCAGAACCACCCAGGACATGAATGGCCATGGACACCCTCATTCTGACAACGACCATTTCCTCACTGGTAAGAGAAAAAAGTTATCACATGGGTTTTTAGAAGCACAAGATTTTTTTACGAGACTAGAGTGCTGAATGGAGTATAAAAGAGTTGTGAGTTTATCATGAGCTCAAGGTTTATGAGTGATTAGAAAAATCTTCAGATTTGCTTCCCAAAGCCTGGAGCAGAGCAGCTGCCCTTGGCCCAGTATCCAAATATCAGAGGTGGGGCAGACACACGGCCAAACCAGCCTTGTTGTTTTCTGGGAATACACACAGAGAACACAGCAAAACTCTGCAGTAGGAATTTTCATAGTTGGGCTTCCCTACTTAACGGTATGCCACTAAATAATTGATGTGGACCAAAATAATACTGGATGTGTCAGGACCTACACATTTCTGTTTTAAAGGGTGCAAACTGGATCACTGCATTTAGAGCTTTTTTATCACTTTTTTTCTTGGTTGTTTATAAAAAGGAATATGAAACATCCATTTATCAATTTACCAGGAATATAAGAGTTTAGAAACTTCTTTAGGTCTTATCTTGCTCAATCTTCCTGCCTCCATGGAGACTGGAAGATGAAACTGGCAAATGCCAGAGCATATCTACTGATATCAAAATGAGCCAAACAGATTTATCTCACATCTGCTACCCATCCATATTTCATTCTATTGCAAAAAAACCCAAAACCAACCAAACAACAACTTCCTAGGAAACTTAGAACAGAAAGTACTGTAGACAAGACCAGCTCGGTCCAAAGCGGAAAGCGTATCTTATGCTCTGGCATGAAATGGCTAATGATGTGTCCCAGACTGAGGTTCTTCTCCCAGAAAGAATACTTGATCTCATGAGAAACTGATACTGACACAGTTTAGTAAAGGCTGATATAAGAAATCAGCAGGTGAAACAAAATGAGGAGGAAAGTAATCCTCTGTTTTCTTTCACTTGGTCAGTGTCCATAAATCAGGAGTGACCCTATCAAGCAGTGACGCAGACTTCTAAAGGTGGGCATATGAAGGGCAAAGAATAGTCCATCCAAAATTGAATGGGTGAGGTATGAAACATTCTTTGTCCCACCCCCAGAACACACACTGAGAGGCACAGGCTCACAGAAGTGCTGCAGCATGGGCACTCCTGCAACAGCCACAAACCGTCACTGCTCTGATTTTTATGCAGTGCAAGTAGAAGAAATGTTCTTCAAACCAATGATCTTCAGTACACATATGGACAGACCAGTCCATCTAACCAACCTGAAGCCACTGGGTCAGTACAAGTGCTCTCTGCAATACCTGTTGATTGAAGCCATGTTTCTCTTCTATGACAAATGTATTGTATAAACTCCATGGGAGACCAGTCACAGCACTGAAGAGTGTTGCAAGCAGCAGAAATATCAATGACTGAACAATCTAAAACAAACAAACAAACAAACAAATCCACCTGGTATTTACTGACCCGTAACATAAATATTCTGGGTGTTAAAAATGGATTTTAGGTCAGTGGTTTAACTGAAACTGGTTAGAAGATGAAGCTAGATAAATTCACAGACATAATTTGTGATGATTAGATTACTGCTCACTGGAATAGCTTACAAAGGATTTGGGACATGAATTTGGATACATGCCTCATCCACAGCACAAAGACAACATAAGCAGCAACCTCAAATTTCTTACCCTTTTACTGTGGAGGAAGATTTTACTAATCTAGGATTAGTAAAAAGACAACACCCAAATAAAGAGCACCCAAAAGCCTGACCCACCACATTGTTTGACTCAAGTAGCTACAAGACTTGTAGGTTTTTAATATACAAGGTTATTTTAATTAGTAAGCTAATTTAAAAGTTCATATACTGTTACCAGTTTTCAGACTTACACCATCACTGTGTGCACCAGAAAGTATCTGATATTTTTACCATAATATGGGGTAGCTAAATCCCACTTTTAACTAAATGCCAACTTCAAAATAAAAATTATTACTGCAGCATGGAACAAATGTTCTCATAGAAATATAAAGCCTGCTTACCTCATATTCTTGTCCAAATCCAGCATGACCAGAGATCTGACCAGACAGTTTCCAGAGAAAAGGAATTCCTCCACAGAGGAGAATCATCTTGAAAACAAAACCACATACCAAAGATACAGTGTGAAACAGACTGTCATCCTAATCTACTAAAATTTCAGCATGATAAGGATCTTTTAAGGGTGAATAAGACAAGTTTTATAATTAGGCTTTTTGTCTCCCTCTGATCTTAACAGTGATAACGTGAGCCTGGCATATCTGGCTGAAATAAAGCATACTGGTAATTCTAACACAGCATCTCCCCTTCAGTTACCTTGCTGGGTTAATGAATCATACTTCAGCCTATTAAAGGCAAAAGCTTGCAAAAAATGACATCCAGTTTCATCAGCTTTGGTCACAACAGCCTCTTTTAAGTTCAGGCAGTTCCGAAAGCCAATAGAGGATGCAGTTTAAGATCTGAGAAAGTGGCAAACCCAGACAGCAAAGGCCACCTCACTTGAACTGGAACGTGTTAATTCCCAGGATAGATTCTGAGAAACAGAAAGACACAGCTCAGGATCACAGATAGGAGCAACAATTCACCATCACAGACACATAGAGAAGAAGCTGTACACAGCCTACACATGAGGGCTATCCATCGAAAAGCCCTCTAAGATCATTGAGTCCAGCTGTTACCCGGCACTGCCAAGCCCACCACTAACTCATGTCCCCAGGTCCCACATTCACACATCCCTCCAGGGATAGTGATTCCACTTCTGCCCTGGGCAGACTGTGCCAGGGCTTGAAAACCCCTTCCATGGATAAACCTCCTCTGAAGGGGATTTAATTTGAGGCTGTTTCCTCTTGTTCTCTGTTCCAATACTTGACCACCCTTTCAATATATATAATATCCGGTATAAGAAATATAATATCCAATCTAAACCTCTCCTGTCACAAGTTAAGGCCATTTTGCCTGGTCCAGTTGGTCGTGGGAGAAAGACACCAGCTCATGTTCAGCTGCTGTCAACAGGCAGCCCCAGGTCCTTTCCCAAAGGGCAGCTTTCCAGACTCTGCCTCCAGCCTGGAGCACTGCCTGGGGCTGTTGTGACCCAAGGGCAGGACCTGGGAGCTGAAAACTGTTCTGAAAACTGCTTATTCAGGCCAGTGTTCAATTAATTAGCTGGGGGCTTTAACTCACACATTCCATGTTTTTTTCCTTGGCTTTTGAACATCAGCATCACTATGACACAATCAGTTCAATAATGGCAGCAGCAGTTTGAGACACATCTATTTTCTAGATGTCTATCACCATCACAGCTGAAACAGTAGAAAAACATACACACTAAGATGCTTGTTGACTTAGTAACTGGCTTTGGCTGCTGTTTAGAAAGCACCGGCATAGTCTGGATTTTGAGGCTCAGGTGTGGAAGACAGCTGGATGCACTAATTTCCTTAACAAATCAATCAGCTGCCAAAAATATTGTAGACCTGTTATTACAGAAACAGGGACAGAACAGAAAGAAAAGGTCAGGAGAGAAAGCAAAAGCTGTGCTTTTCCTACACAGGCAGGCACAATTACAGAATGGTTTGGGTGGGAAGAGACCTCATTCCAACCCCCCTGCCGTAGGCAGGGACACCTTCCACTAGACCAGGTTGCTCCAAGCCCCCTCCAACCTAGCCTTGAACACTTTCAGGGATGGGGCAGCCACAGCTTCTTCATGGACCACTGACCCAAGAAACCCACGAACTCAAAAGAAGAGAAGGACTGAGAATTAGCATGAGAATAATTTAACCAACAGAAAGCAGAATACTAACTAATACTAATAATAAACTAACTAATACTAATACTAATAAAAGAACTATGTAACTTGTAGCCAATGAACTTCCACTTTGTTTCCCAATATGTATAAATGGCATAAAGTTTTGATGATCAAGGAGCCAGCCTTCTATGGGTTACCACCAGCTCCCAGCAACCCCAACTCTCTTAGCCTGTCTTTAAAGGAGAGGTGCTCGAGCCCTCTGAGCATTTCTGTGGCCTCCTCTGGACCCACTCTGGAGATCTGTGTCTTTCAGGCACTGGAGACCCCAGAGCTGGAGGCAGCACTGCAGCTGGGATCTCACCTGAGCGGAGCAGAGGGGCAGAATCACCCTGTTGCCCACACTGCTGTGGATCAGCACAGGACACAATTGGCTCTTTGGGCTGTAATTTCATGTTGCCAGCTCAAGTCCAATTTTTCATCCACCAAGTCCCTCTGCACAGGGCTGCTCTCAATCCACTCATCCCCCAGTCTGCGCTGGTGCTGGGGAATGCCCTGACCCACGTGCAGCACTTTGCACTTGGCCTCGCTGAACTCCATGTTTGTACAACCCCACTCCTCCAGCCTCTCAAGGTCATCCTGGACAGCAACCATCCCTCCTGCCCATCAGCTCCCCACTGCTCCTGGTGTTAGTGCAAACCTGCCCAGTGAAGATATTAAACAGCATTCACCCTAGGATGGACCCTCGAGAACCACCACTGGTTTCCACTTGGAAACTGAGCTTTCTCTCTTTGGATGCAGTGATCCAGCCAGTTCTTTATTCATCTAACAGTCCACCTGGCAAATCCAATTTTGTGGCTACAACGTTGTGGAGGACCATAACAGCAATAGGCCTGGATGAAGATAAGCACAGATTGCTGACTTGGCTCTTTGAATAGCACGGCATTAAATTCAGTGGAAAAAGAACTGCATTCCAATCATGTATATTTCCCTTAAAAACAACAAAGGAACCTGTTTTGGCTAGAGCTCTTGAAATTAAGATAAAGCCCCAGAACCTTTTGACTCATTGCATTTGCTCAGTGGTACCACCTCACCTTGCCCACCCAACCACTGCTAGATAGCAGCTTTGATTTACAAATGAAATACTGCCTCTAAAGTTGCTCAGAAACACAGAAGCTTTTCAAACTCACATAAGAATTGCCGCAAGTTTTATTCAGCATACCAAAAATCCCAATAAAAAGAAAGTAATAGGCTGCACTGACACAATATCCTTACAAGTTCATACAAAAGGAAACAACGTACAGGTTGGGCTGCAAAAGGAGATCAGGAAATGTGAAAGTTAAGAGGTGCCACAAGTCTTAAGTACTGGGTTTGCATCATCATTCTACAGTTACATGACTGACTACTTTACAATCTTATTTTCATTATCTTTTGTGACTGTTGTTTTTGCTTCCTTAAGTTTATCATGACAGAGGATCACACTTCAATTTTGCTTTGCAATGCTAAGCACTCCAAGACCTTTTTGACCCAGTTGTGCTACTGATGAGTAATGCATTTCAGCAGCGAGTTAGAAGTCTCTAAGACTCTTAAGACTGTTTGAAAATCACATAAACATATACTTTGCTCTCACTCAATGGTTCTAGTTTTTTCATATATGTGAACATTACTTGCCCAGTGTAATTCTTATATTACTTGCATCCTTCCAAACACAGGGAAAGGTCTGTATTTTAACAATTTAAAATAGCTCTCATGCTGCTTAATTATTTGGCAATGGAAACCATAATATAATAATAAAATAATAAAATGTAGGGTAATGTTGTAGTTGTGCAGTATGACTCAACACTGCAGAAAGAAATTATGTGCTGTCCGAATAATTATTTCTTATATGGTAAATACAGCCACAAACAAGGAATACAGAAATGTCAGTGCGTGCCATAAGATGCCAGAATGCCCGTGGTGCAGCTGCATGGGATCATTAAAAACCAAAGTGTTTCACAGTTCAAAGACATGAAAAATATCATATGAAAGGTACTTACAGTGCCCTCAACCTCTGAATAGAGGCCTGACCAAAAGCTGAAAGTACTTTTGTCCAGCTGATAGAGACGAGATTTTTCAAACGTTTCTGAATCCATGATCTGTCCCAGTTCTTGTGGTACATGAGTTGTTGTTCTATATACCCGTCTCTGAAAAATTGAAGAAACTAAAGTCTATATCTAGTATTTTTAAGGAGACAAGATTTCAAAGTAACACCTAATATGATCCAGTGGGCCACCACGGAAAGTTTAAAAAAACCACAACAAACTAACACACAAAATAACAAATATTCCTAAATGCCTGTTTTCTATCAAGTTTCAAATACAAAACTGAAGCATAAGTATTAACGTTACAACCAGGAATTGAGTTGCTGGCTTATTAGCTTATTTAGAATAGTTCAAACGCAGATTACACAAACTGATTTTTCCACAGGATGTGACTTACTGCACCACAGTAACGACTAAGCAGAATATGAAACCAAACACCAGATCCTCCAATGCAAACGATAAGACTTCACCGGAACACAGATCTACAGCATGGCTGCACAAACGAGGTGCTATTTCATTCTCAGTACAGAACTTGCCACTTGAAAAATTTAAAGAATAAAAGTCTTTTCCCTCTGCTGCCTTATCTTGTTTCAGTATACTTACTCCTTCTCAAAGGGGTACTCTCGGTCACTTCAAAACACATTCTCCCTCTCTACCCGGGGCACCAGGCTGCAGTGTCCCCGATCACAGGGCTCACCGGAGCTGGCAGCACCGCTCCCCGACCTCTGCAGCGGGCCCCGCGTTCTGGGCGCTGGGAACACCCTGGTGTGCGGCTGCTGCTGAACCTGCCAGGGCTCACCCTGCTCTGCCCCACGGGCAGGATGGGGGTGGAGATCCTGCTGGCAGCCAAGACCTGACAGAAGAGACACTCCGTGCTATATAATGATATACTCTGCGATAACAAAAGGGGGGTGGGATGTGCCTTCTAGGGTGGCTATCACTAGGAGGCCGCTCAGGCATCGCCTTCTCCTGGAGGTGGCGAGCGACGGCAGCGCTTGCGGGGTTCCCCCCGCTCTGTCCTTCACCTGTCGTTACTTCAAACCACCCGATTCCTCATTTTTGCTCTTCTCGCTCTCTCAGCTGTTCTGAGGACGAGAATAGAGCTGCTGGGGATGCTGGGCCGCCGGTGACCCCACCGCACGGACACAACCCACCGCTGTGAGCATCCCCACCACCCGCTGAGGACGCAGCCGGGACAGGGCCGAGCCCTGCCCAGGCCGGCGACAGGCCCCGCGTCGCTCGGCCCCGGCCCCCCTTCCACGTGAGGCCGGGCCGGAGCCGGCACAGCCCTGGCCCACCGGCGCCCGTCCCCGCTGGAGCCCCGCCGACCTGCCGGTGAGCCAGGAAGGCCTCCCAGAGGTAGACGGCCCAGGAAAAGAGCAGCACGGAGCAGAAGATACGGCGCTCGGCCGGCAGCTCTGCCCACAGCTCCCCGGACAGCGCCATTGCCGCCTCCCCCGCCCTGCGCTGCGGCGCCGCCTGCCGGCCGGAGGAGCCGCCGGGGGGCGGGGCGGCCCTGAGGGGCGGGCGCGGCTGGGCTGGGCTGGACTGGACTCGGGTGGGCTGGGCTCGGGTGGGCTGGGCTGGACTGGACTCGGGTGGGCTGGACTCGGGTGGGCTGGGCTCGGGTGGGCTGGGCTGGACTGGACTCGGGTGGGCTGGACTCGGGTGGGCTGGGCTGGGCTGGCTCAGCTCAGCTTGTCCACTCCAGTCAGGAGCCCACAGGGCTGGGTCAGCCTGGCAAGGATCAGGGTGTCAATGAACCAGATGTTTAAATTATTTTTCTTAAGTTACCCAGATCGTACACAATAATACATAGATTGTCCAAATCCTTTTACAGTAACACTAAGAAAAGTACAAAAATTAACACTGACTACTCTAGTACTCACTGATTTTCTTTCCCGTGCACATTGCAGGCAGCCCCTTGGTTGACTTCCAACAGCTGCTTTTTCTCTCTGTGCAGTGCAGTATCATCGACTCTAATTCTACTGTGGTAAGCTCTGTTAAGTCATTCCTAAAATAAAGCAGGGTGGCACACCACATCTTCCATAAAGTCATTTGTTTGGCTGCTTGCTCTCCCATTGCAGACAGATACTGCTGCAGGGATATTCCCAGAATGTGGGTTCCTTCCTTTTTAAAAAACAGGGAAGAATTCAAGGGATTTGCTGCTCCTGGTCAAGCCACAGAGAACCTGCCACAGAGGCAAGCAGCTGCTATGGACCACCCCTGGGGGTGAGCTGAGGCAGCAGTTAACTTGGCACACAATAGTGACTGACTCACGTGAAGGACCATGAACTGGGCTTCCCAGTACAAGAGAGACATGGAGCTACTGGAGTGAAGGGTCATGAAGGTAATGAAGGGACTGCAACATCTATGATATGAGGGAAGGGTGACTCCTCAGTGTTATACAACACTTTAAGCATTTCTTGTAATGGTTTTTGCCTAACTCAGTTTATTCTGAAGGTAAGCACATCTCTTTTCCTGAGTCAGAATAAACCAAAAATGTTTTGGGAAATAAAAAGCTACAAACCTACCAGGAATCAAGGGTTTATTTGGAGCCAAAACACCTGCTTAATATTTGGTCTCTGTAATGTTCCGTGAAGACAGCACAGTGCTGCTGAAATCCAGCTCACCCAGCAGCACTGGGGACACACATGCCACGCAGAGCACAGTGACTGTGAAACAGAGTGACACATTACTAGGGGAGTTAATGAATGCTCCTGTTTTGCCAGGTTTTGATATGGCATTTTAGTATCAATCATCTAGTTTCTACCAGTTCAAAGTATAACAGAACCTCTTTGTGTATTTTTAATCATTAACTTTTAATAAAATAATGCCAACTTCATTTTCTCATTTTCTATCAGTTACCTTTGTTAACTATTTGGCAGATTGGCCTGCAAAACATATTGAAGCCCAGCGTTTTCTCAAGCCGATATGTTCCCGCAGAAGAAATACTGCCAGGGCAGATGAGGCAGTGCTGCTCCTAGTCAGGCCTGCTACTGGCTGCCACTTTTCTGCTTTCACAGAAGCAGTTCTAGAAATTCATCCAAGGTGGCCATGCTAGAGCACTCCCTGGCACTGCACTGCATCTCAAATAATCCCATTCCTACTTCAGTCTCTACACTTGTAAATCTTAAGATAATTTCAAGAAGAGCAACACCTCTCCTGTCCCACCTTCCCCTCTCCAAACTCACAGGGAATACTGTTGTGGGGAGTCAGGAGAGCAGAAGGGATGAAAGGTACCAACTGTAACCTTTAGAGGGGAAGACCAAGTTTAGCACCTCACAGGGCAAGACAAAGGCAAGGTGGTTTAATTTCAGACTCGCCTGCTCTCTGTCATAACCATGCTCAGATTCTTGACAAGACATGGGAGGATTAACTGGAAACTGAATTTCTCTCAAATAATTCAAGGTAGTCAAGATGCAGAATTTGCAAAATAAATGTCACAAGGCTTTTCCAGCAGCATAAAATTTAAAGATCTTGCACGAGCAAAGGCAAACAGAAAACAAGAGGTAAGAAAAACCATGGAACTAACCCGTTGGCTCTGCTGAGCCCTACCAGAAGGACACAAGTCAGCCTGGAAGATCTCTCTGTAAAGGTATTTACAGTTTTTTACTAACCATGAGAACATGGCAGGGTAGCCAATTGGGGAATTTAGGCACATACAACCAATAAACATGTTGTCCAATAAAATCCACACATTAAAAGGTAGCTATTTTAAAAATGGAAGCAATGTTCTCTGATTATGAACATGCACCTGTGTTTCCTGAGTCTTCTGCTGTTCACAGTACTTCTTTTTTTTAGGAAGGCAATATGAAGGTGTTCCTTTACTGTGGAACAAAAAATTTCTCTGGTATGTTTGAAAGCAAGAAGCTGGAAATATTACATCTTAACTGTAAGACAAGTTCTGGCAGCACTTGGAAAGGAAAATGATGGCCTACCTCATGGCATGAAAACAGAAATAGACAGTAAAAACTCTTCAGACCATTACCCTTTTGTGGCCTCCTTTCCTGGTGTCCACCTGTGACAGGTAATTAGATCAGCCAAGCCCAAGAAGAAACTGGGATAAAGATGTGGATTCAAGCTGTACAGTTTTAATGCTGTGAAACCTTTTGTCTCGCTAAGACAGAAGTGCCTTTTTTAGATGACAAACAAGTGGAGTTCAAAGACTGAAATACACTGTTGGTCTGTGAACTGGAAAAGATATAATTTTTGTAACAATGAAGGAGCTGATTGACCAGTGTTGCACTGGTATCTTTCAACAAAAATATCAACACCTTGAGTCCACTTAGTAAAAGTCCTGGCAGTGCACAGCATGCCACATCACTACAGGAAAATGCCTCCAAGACGCTTTTGTGCAGCCCCTGAGGAAAACCCACTCACCATTTTCTATACGCAACGCCTGGACTGAGGAGCGTCGCATGACTTGTCTCCACATCTGGCAGACAGAAATGACATTTGTCTCTCTCTACTTCTGTGGTATATTCCAGCCTATGGAAATAGCAGTAATGAACAGCAGCAACCTACTCAATGGGCTCTGTAACACCACGTGTGCAACAGGTACCACCCTGCCCTGTGTGCAGTGGCGGTGATTCACACGCATGCGGCAACTCATTTGGTAAGAGCAGAATTATCTCTGAGGAAATGAAAGTTTCACACACAACTTGTTCCATGGGATTACAGAATTGTCACAGAATTCATGTGTAATGTGCAAAATTGTTTATGTATCAAGTGGCAGGACTAAATTTTTAACAGAAAAGCTGGAACTCTGAAGAAGTTTAACACAGCTTAAGCACAGTAGGACTACATAAGTGTAATTTTGTATGATTTTGTAGAGTTCTTTGGTGGCAAGCAGAGCTTATATGAAGAGCATACAAGAAATGCAAACTCGGTCACAGAATTAAAATGAAGCATGTTCCTTATTTTTGGACAATTTCTGTGGTCCCAGAATCCTTCCAATTATAAAAAGAATTCACAACTAGGTTTTATTCACTGTCAAAAAAGCTAACTGGGGAACCCAAAATGTGCACTGATACCTTCATAAGACACAACTTGCTTGGAATTCTGGCACACTCGTCACACACTCAGGTGGTGACATACAGTCTCAGAAGCACCTTCTACCTTTAAAGTAACAAAGATTTTCTTGTCCCTAATTTGCAAAGTCCTTTCTGCCTGTACTAATTATAATTCTTTCAAATCTGAAAAAAGGACAGAGAATGTTGTAAAATAAAAGTAATACTTTACTTTTCTGTATCTATTTCATCAGTCTGATAAATTATCTACAAATGCATAAAACTTAAGCAACATTTTCCAATGCACTCAGAATGGTCCCAAACTCAATTACAAGCACATTAAAGAGTTACTGTACAGTAAACAAATGGGTGAAAAACTGTAATTTATTGAAACTCATAACTCAAAAAATATAAGATGCTGTAGTGTACAATATGTTACACAAAGCACCCTAGGGTGCACATTCAAGTCAAGTAATAACTCCATCGCCCCCCAAACCCTGGTACCCCAGTACTTGTTCCATATACAATCATGCACATTTACTCTTCAAGAGGAAGCCCCCAGTATTCTGATGTGTTAAATAGCACCAAAATCAGCATTGTTCATTGAAAAAATTGGGGAGCTAAATTAACTTGGCCAATACTTTTGACAGATATTATACATTCATGGAATTAAACAGTCTAAACTAACCTAAAAGTGTGTACTGTAACAATTACTGTTCTAATTTGAAGTTCTCCCCATATAGCAGTAGTGGAGGCAATCTGCTCTAAGTTAAGCTACTTACGTACTTCCTACACACAGCTCATCTGCCTTTTTTGTTGGAAATAAGTCTATGAGAGGTGTGGAAAACTTGGATCGTTCAAGAACAACTACTGGTCGTAAGTAATGCAGCTGTTTTAAGGCGAGGTCTCCACAGTCCGTTAGGGCCTTATCCAGGATTGCCCTCAGATTTTCTAAAGAAGGGGCAGATGAGGACTCTGACAGCAAGGGCTGGATCTCTGTTAATTGCCCAGGATTATTGGAGGTTATGGTTACATTTTCATCATTTACAAAGCTGTTTACTGGTGTATCTCCCTGACTGTCTTCCTCTTTTTTCATGGTTTCATCTATTGGCAACTGCTCAGAAGACTCCCACTCTAATACCTCATCACAATCATCATCATCATCATCATCATAATCTTTTCCCTCACTTTCCTGAATAAATTTTAAAAATGAAGACTCGAATCCCATTGGTTTATATGTCTTTAAATCAAATGGTTTGGACACTGGAGGCTTCTGAAATTTGTCTTTTGTAGCACAAAGTACATTTCTTTTTCCATTCAGATTAATTGCACTATGCTGACATCCTTCTGGGTCTTTCTCTTTTGGCAACTCTAACTGTAAACTGGAGAAACAAGGGCTATTCTCTCTTTCGCTGTTTTCAGAAAAATCTTCAGTTTTAGACACAGCTGTC